TAATTGAACGAATTTTTGACTTTGATTTGATTTAATTAAACAAATTTTTGATTTGAAAAACTACGGATTTAAATTTTGTTATAAAATGAAAACTAACAATTTATTTTTTAAATAACCTAAATGATTATGCTATTGTCAAAATAAAAATGAAAGGGTTGATAATATAATTAAAACACGAATATTCTAAAACATATATTTATTTTGCTTATACTTACAGCTGTAAGGCATTTGCAAGGCTGGACTTTGTACTATAACAATATATCGATACATATGGACGATTATGAATAATTCTAAAATCGATTAACAGACTCGGACGAATAAAAACAAACATAACTAAAAACTATTTATAATCATCCATTCGTATGTTTTACATAATGTAAATACATTAACTAATTAAGAACGGTGTGATTTAATTTTTTATAATAAATATACGTATCACGATAAAAATAATATCAAAGAAATTGTGTGATGACAGAAAAAATAAACATATCGATTTCGTTTACAAATGCTGATGGAATTACATGCAATTACACTAAAGAAATGTAAAAATCGATTCTAAAACAATATAAAAACTACACATTTAGCCAAATTCTAATACCGCTATCACAAAAAAGTATCAATCATCGATATCATATAAAAAGTAGTAAATAAAAAACTATATATAATTAATTTGTATTGAACAGTAATCGAACTTGCTCTAACGTTCATACGCCAAAGTGTAAATCACACCGTTCCTTTAATAATAATTAAACATTAAACACGTGGAAAGCCTTGAAAGGTGATATGTTTTTTATTGTTCTCATGCGTACAACTATACACAACAATTTATTTATATATATGTATATACACAAATATTTTAAACTATCACAAAGAGGATAGAACCTTTATGGCATTGCCAAGAATCGGCCATTTTTATTTTTTTCTAAACTTAAAGCGCACAATGAAATGAGAAATTAATTAGAGAGAAATAAATTAGCAATATAATATCCTAAGGTATCACATTTCCGAGATTTTTGAAGGTAAAATATCGCAAAATGATAATAATTACAGTCATTATTTTCTTTTTGCGATATTTAGTATTATTTGTATTTAAAAATAGTTTCCATATAAGCGATCTTTTAACATCAAAATATATTGGAAACGTGACACCTTAGCACACCATTTTGCTAATATTATTTGTTTTTTTTTTAAGTGCCCTCTATTCATTCATAAAAGTTTAATCGTGCGCCGCTACATTGAAACAAAATTAAAATGGCGGCCGATTTGCTGATGTCAGTTACCATAAAGAAAAATGTTCGCACCCCTTTAAAAAAAAATAAAAACCCGACACTTCCCACTTATATCCTAACATCAGATCATAATCACATAACATTCTTATTAACGGTCGGTTAAAAATTAACATATTTTTTTCATTATTACATTAAAATTTCAATTATACTTACACAAATGTTATAAACATTTTTAAGTACTTTTTTTAAATTATCCCAAAAATTAAGTGAATTTACATAGAAATGTATACAAAAGAATAATAATAATGTTGCAAATATTTTATAAGAATTTTATCTATTTTACAAAAAAAAAAACGTAATATTTAAAGAATAAAAATGATTTGTAACATTAAAATGACATTCCTTATTTTTTTAAAACTTTGTATCTATTATTTGACCATAGATACTTTTGATATAAGTATATAGGTTATTATACTTTTTACAGGGAAGTAAAAATCAAAATAAATCCGCGAAATAATCGGAAAAGATAGCTTTATTTAAAATGTCAAAAATTCGCAAAGTTTTTCAAATGTTTAACAAACGTCAAATTGTACAGTTTGACGTGTGCTGGACATAAAAATCAAGATTGTGTCATTTTTTTTTTATTTTGTTAACTTTTACAGTTTTTATTACATCATTATTCTATGGCAAGTTTTTTTTTATTGTTATTTAAAAAACCATCTGGCAAGCTAATTTGACATTTCTAACAGAATTCGCAGTAATACCTAATTATTATTATTATTTAAGAAAAAATCGAAAATAATAGTTAAATATATTATTATCAATTCCGGCATTTTATTGTCACATTTTTTGAAATTATGAATCACTTTATTCAATTACTATAACATTGTATTTTAAATATGGACGATACGATAGTTTCAAATTCACTATATGTGTATTATTTACTATTAAAAGATATGGCAATATTGTGTATATAATAAGTACTAATATTGTACATATTTTTTTAATTAAAAAAAATAAGCCTTAAAAGTAAAAAAAAAATCGAACGATGACAGCTCATTTTTTGTGCATTCAAAGAACTTATCTTAAAACTACATAATATATTTATGTACAATTTTCTAAGTACTTAACGCTAACTGTGGCTGAAATGCACTGGACCATTCGGTTTCAATTCAATTAAAAAATATATATTTATTAGAATTACTAAGATACAAAATAAATATTTAAAAAAATGACCAATTTTTATTAGCATCTATTATTAAATACTAGCGACTCACCCTCGCTACGCTTGGGATCGTCCCTGTGTTGATTCCCCATACAAACTTTCATGCCCATTTTCACCCTCTTAAGGGATGATTTCCGGGATAAAAATGTATCCTATGTCCTTCCCAGGGTCACAAACTATCTTCTCACCAAATTTCATCTAAATCGGTCCAGTAGATCCGGAGATTACCCCTACAACATCACAAACTTTACCTCTTTATAATATTAGTATTTAGCATTTTCTATATATTATGAAAGTGGCAGTTGTCAATTATTTTATCTATACATATAATAAAACTCTGGGTCGAATCTGTACATTAAATATTTTTTGGAAAATCTTATTGAAATATACATTATTATCGAATTTTTGTCTGCCTGGGAACGCATCACGAGAAAACCACTGGACAGATTTTGATGAAATTTGGCATGATGATAGCTGGTTATCCGGGTCAACATATAGAATACTTTTTACTGCGGGAAAATATCTCACTACAGAGACTCTAACTAGGGATGAACATGAGCGGAGCAAGGGCGAGTCGCTAGTGTATATGAGAATGGCAGTTGTCAATTATATTACAAAATTATAAGAACACATAAATCGTCAAAAAGTTACTGAAACCGCGAGTATTTCAAATCGACTAGACGCATGCTAATAAAAAGAGTATCGAATCGTCGAATATTTGTATTAATATTTATATGAAATGTAACAAATTATAAAAAAAATATATATATATATATATATATATATATATATATATATATAATCTATTATTTTTATTATTTCATTAACAAAATGATCCAGTGTCATTTAAATTTATTTTATATATTGAGGATCATTTGCACGAAAACTCTTTAATTATAATGTATTAAATATGTTTGTGTGTATGCGTGTATTAAGCTCATTTTAAAGTCCCACTGCTGGGGGTGGGCCTCCCTTCAATACGATCAGGCTATACTCCACCACGCTGGCGAACTGCGGGCGGATTGAACGTGTCTGCAGACAACTTGCTAGGTTCTCTCACACATGCAGGTTTCCTCACTATGTTTTCCCTCACCGTAAGACAAGTGGCAATTATATTGGGAATTATTAGCACATGATAATATCAGAGGTACGAGACTCGGGATTTGAACCCGCTACCACTGCCTATACAAAAATATGTTTAAAATTATATTATTTAATGTTTTTAAGTACATATAATTCATTCAAATCAATTAAAGAAGTTTCGTGCAAATAAGCCAGGTGTTTAAAATTGTAAAGCATATTTGGTCGGTATTATAACGTACGGAGGTAGAATACTATGTATATACAACACTAGCGGTTACCCATCACTATTTTTATTTAAAAAACTATTTTTCTATAGAATTTTACTAAAACCGATTCAGTAACTTTCAAGGCACGTTGTATTTCTAAAGGTAATGTGATATCCATAACTAAGCTGTTATTATTATAAATTGTACACAAATTATTAACTACATTAATGTTAATAACGAAATTAATGATTTTAACGAAATAAAAAATATTTCAAGCACGTATGTCGTAGATTAAATACGTAAATATTATGTAATTTCAAAAATTATCAAAAAACAAATGTCTTTGCATTAAAAAATTAGGAATGCTATAATTTTGTTACAAACAAAACGACGAAAAAGGGTTTTAATGTTATTTCATCTAATTTTATTCTTAATTCCGAAAAAAATAATAATTAAAATGTATAAACTGGTAGTTTTTTTTTCTTTTAAATTATTATTGTTACTGGGCAAAAGCTTCATTTTTGTAATATGGTTTTAAACATTGTTTACAGATAATATTTAAAAAGTATATTTATCTTAGCGTGTGAAAAATATTTAAAAAATATCAATCTCTACTGTGATTTAAAAGCAAAAAGCAGTTTTGACTAGTTTATTCATTGTTTAAGGCACTTTTTATAACTGTGTGAAAATTGTTTAATTTTTTTTTATTTAAATTTCTTTTTACATTACACCGTCGTTTATTTAACACATACTTTCAACTCGAATGCGATTTAAAGATACAATTATTATTTTCATTTGAATATATTTTTACTTATAATTATTCACTTTTTTTAGTTTTTTTTTGCTTACACAAATAAAAAAGAACGAAAAGTAAAAGCATAAAAAATACGGGACTTTGAACTAGAAATTCTCGGGAATTTCGTGGTTATAACGAGTTCGCAAGTTTAGGTAAATATATGCAGTCTATTCTGATCACTGGTAATAAGTAATACAGACATCAAAATGACGTCAATAGTAGTCACTCTGCATTTGTAGATTTTTTCTTAAAATTTATATATCTCGTTGTATGCTATACGGAAAAAAATATACCTTTTTTATAAAATTAGTAAAGACGTTAAATAAACGATGAAATGTAAAAAATCCGAAGTGATTTGTAACTTGTATTATTAAAATATAATTTTATTCGTATGCTTTTTCGATGTAAGAAAAGAAATACATCACTAAACATATCCATAACCTAAAAAAAAACAATGTTTATTGAACACTAACCGCATTATCATATGTATCGTTAGCATTCACATCACTATCTATAGCTGGCAAGTTGTCGATAACGGAACTTATGCTTTCAGGAACATTACTAACGGGATTAACAGAATCGGAGTTATCAACATTAACGGGATTTACCGTAGTAACGAAAAGGTTGTTATCGTTATTGTCATTAATATCATTCGTATTATCCGTTACGTCAATAATGTTAACGGATATGTCATTAGCGTTAGTATCTACACCGGAAGCGAGATCTTCATAACATGGTGGCATTTCCACGTTACTTCTCGCTTCGTTCTCGTTATCGTTATTTATTCCCTCACGACTGAGGTATTCTGGGGGCGGTCCGTACTTTTGTCGCATTGCTTCATTATACGGCGGTGGTCTAGACCCGTTGACAACGGGATAATTTTCAAAATTAGCACCCAAAAGTCTGATAGTGCGGCCATTTAATGTGTACGTATCGTTAGAATTTAGCCGGACAAAATCTAAATCATCTATATTAATTTCCGCGACGTTTGGCGTGTCTGGTCTGGGCTCGTTATTTCTACCAAACCTTGGTATACTTAGTTGAAACCGTCCCAAATGTAACGTTAACGGTCTTTGAACTGTCAGTTGGTCTATCACTCTGTCGATGGTATTTCTCCTGAACGTCCGTCTTCTGAAGAACTCTATCGGTGTTGCCATGTAGTTCAACTCCCGCGCAGTGAGATCTGGGTTAGTGAAGTATAGGTCACTATCGCAATAGGTGGGTGAGCGGTAGTCGAGGGTGCGGGTTCGATCTCTGGTAGGTGAATTGTTTAATGAGGCGGATCTGACGTCTGTCATTTCCACTTCGCAGCACTGGGTTGGTACCTGTAAATATGTAAAAATATTATATTAGATTTTGTTTGGAAATTAAACAGTTTATTAATCAAAATTTACCCACCAGTGTGAGATCTGATAATATCGGTTCAGACAAACATTTCGGAGCTATCATATAACAGACAGACAACAATTTTAATCTTTCTATGGGATTTGTTATGATATAATTATTCCTTATTTAGAATGCGTTCCACTAAGCGCTCATAATGATCACGCTCACTATCACGGTTTTTCCCATTCCACACGTTTGGAAGCGTTAAATCGAAATCTCAAGTGGAATGGTTTGAAACCTATCCAATTTAACCGGTTAAATAACGAGCGATGAATTAATCATAGTGTGTGGTTGGTGAACAATGCGTGTTCCCTATAGTTAAGTATGCAGAGGGATAATCAAACGTCCAAAGTTACATATATTTATTATATTCACTTTAAGTTAGCTACAAATATCCCTAGCACAATATATACTTTAATAGTAATTAAGTGAGAAACGAAGCGGTATAAGTGACAAACGAATCGGTAGGCGGTAACGGGACAACTGGGGTTCGTGGCGCGAAACAAATGTTATATAATCAAAATGTGCGCGTCAGCACTGCCACTACAACATTACCGAAACAGTTTTTTGTTTAAACTGTTTCCGAGCCATGCCCAGGACTTTGCAATCTGAAATTATTTATACTAGCTACCAACGAGGCAGTCACTTACCTGCCTATATCTAGTACAGAACATAGCAGAAAGCCTCGACAGGCCGAAGCCCGAGCATTGCGGAGGCGGCGCAGACGGAGACTGCGGGGGCGAAGGACTGCAGGGCTCCTGGTAAGTAAAAAATAAAAATATTCCTAGTAGGAGAAAGATTGTGAGGATGTATGGATGTGTTTATCTCTTTCACACAAAAACTAGTGAACGGATTTCGATGAAACTTTACTCTAATGTAGCTTAGCTTATACATCAGAGTAACACAATAGCTTATAATTTATAAAAATATAGTATTAATTAATAAATAATAGAACTACACGAGCGAAGCCGCGGGAAAACGCTAATCATAAATAATTCTGCCGTTTTTATCCGCCCAGCTGTAAACGGATCTTCTTTTCATACGTCAGGTACTGCTATATAAAGTATTACATTTGGTCGATTTTGCATGACTTTCCAGATTTTATGAAATTCATTCAAACATGCAGGTTTCCTCAAGGTGCAAGTTTCTTCCTCAAGATGGTTTCCTTCGCCATGATATTAATAAGCGGTGATCGTTTCAGAAATGAGTTAGACACATAAAAATATCAAAGATGCGGGACCCAGGTTTCAACCTGTTTAGCTTGATTTTTCAAACAAGCGCGTTACTGTTATATACCTGGCTAATAATATATTGTCAACACATTTTTATTCAGCACAAATTATCACGACGTTTGATTGAACGTCAACATCAAATAAGGATTGGAAAAAAATGTACTGTCCCTCTCTTACCATCCGATGGACTAGAACTCATACTATTACTCTGCCTCTCACTTCCCAACTCCGACGTGTTGCTGAGAATTTCTCAACAGAAAACTCCAATAAATACACTCGGCCTGACATGAGACTCGAACCCAAGACCTCCGGATCTACAACCACTAGACCGATAAACTATAATAAAGGCCACTAACCACGTGTGCAGGGCTGGCGGGTGTCGCGTCCAACAGCCGTGTGGACTCGTAGCGTGGTGGGTAACGAGCCTAAATGGAAGAAATGTTTATTAAAAAAATCTGTAAATAATTTCAATAACGGAATATTCAAAATTGTGTACTTATTAAGAATTGTAATTAATTTCTATAACGGAATGTTCATATGACGTAACATTAGATATTTTATAACGGAAAAGATTACATTATAAAAAGTAAACACTATTTATTAAAATACATAAATATATTAACTGACCCAACAGACTTTATGCGATCATTAATTATGTGTATGATCTTGAAATTTATATAAAAAAAATATTGAAAAAAAAAACTTGAGTTTTACCGGAATTTTCCAATTTTCAAGGCCACTTTCAGGCCCATATCTTATCATTTTAATTTATCTCTTAAATGAAGCGCTTCCCAATGACCAGCCAGCACTTATTATTAATTTTAATTTATTTAAATATTTTATTGTTCAAAACTAAATACATACAAAAAATTGTAGTATTTATTATTAACCAATTTAGCTATGCAAGGATGTTTGTAAGTGTATTTTTTACACAATAACATAAATATAAACATATTGCAATAAATAATTTTATGATTGTATATAAATTCTTGTAACGAAATTTATAACGGTATTTTATTTTATAACGGAATAAATTACGATCCATTAAAAAAATATCAAAATAAATACGGTACTTATTCAGCTTGGTAATAATTAGTTATATTTATTTGTATTATGATTTGGCCAATACAATATAGTACATAAAACCTCAAAAAAAAAGAAGTAAAAAAGCTTATGTTCAATTTTACTGTATTTATTTTATATATTTTTATATATCAAATATTTTATCGATTGTTTATTATTTTGAACGTTACTTGTTGGGTAAAGATAGAAAGGGTGGATGGACTACCTGGTTCGCCGTTGTCCCGCGTGGGTTCTTAAGTCGCGTTTCGTACACCAATCACTTTCACACAACACCGGGTGATTTGCTTAAAGTTTGTAATTGTGAAATAAGATAGTTTATTGCGTTTCGCACGATAACTTTGACGCGTAGTCTTAAATTTGATGGGGAGAATGCGGAGCTCGTCCCATCGCCGTACGCGGCCGTTGAAGCTTTTTTTTGTACTACCTCCAGGTAAAGGAATATCGAGGGAATTTAGGATGTGACGGTAGGAAGATATATATAGTGATGTCAAGTAAAGAATGTGTACCTAACATACCGCCCCCCAAAGAGCGGCTTAGCTCTTTCATTTGAACGAACCCCTTTGAAATTTGCTAAAAGGTTGACGTAAACAAAAGAGTAAAAAAAAAAAATATATGTTGCTTGCTAAAAACTAAAGCTATTACTACTACCTAAACAAAAAAAAGTATTGTTTTTATTAATTGAAAGATGGCAGCAAAGGGCAAAGCTTGACTACTGGTCTGAGCAAAGTGCCAGTAGAAGTTTTTAATTCTACGACGCGAACAGTGCCGTCAGAACCCGGGCAAATGCGAGTCACACGAGCTTTCTTCCAGTGAAGCGGTGGCAAGTTGGGATCCTTGATAAGAACTAAATCACCAACTTGAAAATTTGAAATCTTGGCAAGCCATTTAGGTCGCTGCTGTAGAGTATGTAGATACTCAGCTTGCCAACGCCTCCAGAAGTGCTGAGTAATCTGGCGCAAAAGCTGCCATCGTTTGAGAGTATTAAAATTTATCTGCTCCAAGTCTTGCTCAGGCAAAGCCAATAGCGGCTGACCGATGATGAAGTGGCCGGGCGTTAAGACTTCTAGATCGTTAGGATCGCTACTTAGGGGATATAACGGTCGAGAATTCAACGCGGCTTCTATTTTGCTAAAAACAGTGACGAGCTCTTCAAAGAGAAGTGAGCGATTGCCTATAACACGAAGAAGAATAAGTTTTGCAGATTTAATCGCGCTCTCCCATAAACCGCCCATATGTGGACTGGCAGGAGGATTAAAATGCCATACAATTTGTCGACTGGCTAATGAACGTTTTATGTCATCATGCGAGTTTTTGAGTAATTGTGTAACTTCTTTCAAGTAGTTGTTAGCTCCAACGAAGTTGGTACCACAGTCACTGTAAACATCGGTGGGAAGACCCCTTCGCGATACGAAGCGATCAAAGCAAGCTAAAAAGGCGTCTGTCGACAGCTCGGAAACCAGTTCCAAGTGGACAGCTTTGGTGGTGAAACAAATCCATAAACATAAATATGCCTTAACAGATCGAGCGTTGCGCAGTCGCGAGGTTTTCAGAAGAAAAGGACCTGCAAAATCCACTCCAACTCTTTGAAAGGGTCTGCAAGATGTGACTCGAGAAGGAGGTAAATCACTCATGAAAGGTTCAGTCGCCTTGGGACGTAATCTATAGCAATGTTGACATTGAAATATTTGCCGACGGATTGCACGGCGTGCTGATAAAATCCAAAATTTACGTTGCAGTAGATTTAAAAGAGTATTGACACCAGGGTGTAGGAATGCCCGGTGATAATGATCAATGAGCAAGCGAGTAACGTGATGTGCCTTCGGAAGCAAAAGTGGATGTTTAGCGTTAAATGATAAAGATGAGTTTACAATCCGACCACCTACTCTCAGCAAATTTTGAGAGTCAAGAAATGGATTAAGACGTCGAAGGCTATCTTTGAGAGGTTTCCCATTACGCAACAACGAAATTGTTGAAGGAAATTCTTCCGACTGTACAGTTGATATAATGGTATTCAAACTATCGTTCAATTCGGAAACAGATAGTGATCCCGTGTGTCGCTTCGTTGGATTGCGTGAATTATGCAAAAATCGCTTACACCAAGCTACAACAGCCTGTAGCTTGCGAAGGGAACTGAATTTGTGCAAGAAAGGTAAATCGACGCTAACCTTAGCAATGTGTGATATAGGGGATGGTAATTTCAGACCAGGTAAATTCGCTTGGCTCAACATAGGTGTGTCTCCAGGCCATGTCGAAGAATCACCTTCAAGCCAAGGTGGAGACCACCACAAGATGGTTTTAGCTAGTTCAGAGGGGTAGAGACCTCGACTAGCGGCATCAGCAGGATTTAGTGATGATGGAACGTATCTCCAAATAGCTCTTGGTATTAGAGCTTGAATTTGGGACACTCGATTTCCTTCAAACGTTTGTAAAGTATGAGGAGAAGATTTAAGCCATGTGAGCACGATGCTGGAATCACACCAGGCCACTGTGCTGCTGATTTTAATTTTATGTTTTAGAGTTTTGATAATATGCTCAAGTAAGCGAGCGAGAAGATGTGCGCCGCACAATTCCAATTTGGGAATCGTGAGCTTTTGCTTGAGAGGAGCAACTCGAGACTTCGCCAACATTAGTTGGGCCGAAGTTTTACCATAAGAATTTTTGACGCGCAGGTAGACGCAAGCTGCGTGCCCGCGTTCGGAAGCATCACTGAAACCGTGGAGTTCACAATCGCTTAGTTGATCAGTGAGTACCCAGCGTGGAATAACAATTTTGTTAAGATGATGAAAATTTGACATAAAAGATAGCCAAGCCTTTTGAATATCAGAAGGTAGAGAATCGTCCCAACCACATTTGAGAACCCAGAGCCTCTGCATAACATGTTTCGCATAGAAGGTTACAGGTGCTAGAAAACCGCAAGGGTCATAGAGTCGGGCTATATTAGAAAGTATGCCTCGCATGGTGAGTGTATTGTTCATATCTGCAACCCTATAAATAAAACTATCATTAGAAGCACTCCAGGCCATGCCTAAGACTTTAAATATGTTATCGCAGTCGTGTTCAAACAGATAGGGCTGCTCGCAATGATCAGCAGGAAAGTCGCTTATGAATTCCTTACAGTTACTCGACCACTTACGCAAGAGAAAACCGCCCTGTGATAGGATACTGACCAGTACCTGCTGTAATTCCCTAGCAGATTCCACGGAATCACACCCGCTGACGATATCATCGACGAAAGTGTCGTTTAGCAGCACTTGCGAAGCTTCTGGATGTTGATTGGAATTAAGAGAAGCAAGCTCGTGTATAACACGGATTGCTTGGAAGGCAGAGCTTGAAACACCGTAGGTAACAGTGGTAAGCTCGTATTCCTTAAGAGGTTGGTCAGGAGATTCGCGCCAGAATATAGTTTGATATTTGCAGTCAGCATCGTCCATGCGCACCTGACGATACATTTGTTTGATGTCAGAGGTGAAGACGATCTTGTGAATCCTGAAGCGCATAATAATATCTTCAATATTTCTTTGCAATTTAGGCCCTGTCATTAGGACCTGATTTAACGAAACACCGGTTGAGCTGGAAGCCGAAGCGTCAAAAACTGCACGAAGCTTAGTCGTGCTACTAGATTCGCGCAGAACACCATGATGCGGAATGTAGTATCGCTCACTTGCGTCAGAGCAAGAAGCTTCACGCATATGACCCGAACTAAGATAGTCTCGCATAAACTCTACATAGAGTTCACGCAAGCGCGGATCCCTGATAAGCTTACGTTCCAAATTGTAGAAGCGTTTCAGGGCATTGATACGTGTGTCCTCCAAAGGCTTGTGATTCACCTTGAAGGGAAGACGAACTTGAAAACGACCAGTGTCGTCTCTACGATGCGTTTCGCAAAAGTGTTTTTCGCATAGAACATCCTCAGGATCTTGAATAGGTTGACTGGAGAACTCTTCTGCTTCCCAGAACCTTGTAAGTGCAAGATTGAGGTCAAATGTGCAGGCCATCGACACCACATCTTGAACGTGTGACGATGCTGCGGGAGCTTTGCCCATAATTACCCATCCAAAGATAGAAGAGTAGGCAGTAGGCATGTTGTCACCTAGACTGAACCTTCTACCATCAAGGATCTGTTCGTACAAGTCAATGCCCAAGAGCAGGTCGACTTGTCCAGGAATGATAAAACTTTTGTCTGCTAATACTAAATTGCTACACAGATTTAAAACTGATTTGTTAACTTGAACTGATGGCAGATTGTTTGTAATGCGCCTCAAAACAATAAAATTGGAAGTTAATGTTTTAGAAGCATTTATCAGAGGCTTAATATGACATGTTACCCTGCCTAGAGTTTGCTGAGGGGATGCTGCACCTAAACCAAAAATTGATGAAGATTGAGTTCGATGAAGTTTCAATTTTTGAGCTAAATTTTCTGTAATAATAGACACCTGAGAGCCACAATCAATTAATGCGCGAGCAATGTGAGTATAACCATTTACATCTAAAATTCCTACGAGGGCTGTACCAAGAAGCATAGTGGATGCACCATCGGCACCATGTAAAGTTTGAAGTTGGACTGCGGAACTAGTAGTCGACACAGCAGCTTCATTGCTATTAGGAGCTGATGCATGCTGAGTATAATTATTGTCAGTTGTGGCCTTTGAAATGTGCAATTTTGTGTGATGATGGCCATGACATATCTGACATACACTTCTAGAAGTACATTTTGAAACATGATGTGGTCTCAAGCAGTTAAAGCAAAGTTTACGTTGAATAACAAAAGATTTTCTTTGTTCCTGAGTCATAGCGTTAAATTTTAAACAGTTATATATGCTGTGCTTACTCTGGCAACAAGGGCAAGAATAATTTGCAATATAATTTAATTTAGGTTTCTCTTCAATAATATTTAATGAGTTATGTGTATTAGTTTTTGTATGAAAAGTTGAACCTGAAATGTTTTCTAATATTCTCAATTGAATTTCAAAAAATTGTATAAAATCATCAAATGTGGGAATATTTATGGGATTAATTTGTGACTCAAATTTACTTCTAAATTCAATAGGAATCTTTCTTAGTAATATATGTACTAATAAGAAACTCCATGACTTCACATTAAACTCTAAAGCAGTTAAAGCATTTGTATTTTCTTTAATAGTGTTTAAAAACTTGTTTAAAGACTTAAAATGTATTTGTGTAAGGTTAGGTAAGTTAAGAATAGACTCAACATACTTGTCCGCTATGACTCTTTTGTTTTCATATCGCTCAGCCAACAATTTGTATGCAATATTATAGTTTTCATTAGATATAGTTAAGTTTTTGATAAGAGATAAAGGCTCCTTGTCTAATACACTCAGTAAATAATGCATTTTTTCAATTTCACTTAACTTTTTGTTATTATGAATTAAACTGTTGAAAATAGAAATAAAATTTGGCCATTCAATATGAGCACCTGAGAATCTAGTTAATGATATTTTAGGTAAATGAAACTCGCAGCTAGGCACTGGAATTACTTGTGTATCACAATTTGCACTAGATTTTGACTCGAATAAAGAAGTATGATACACTTGTATTGAGTAAAACATGTCATTTGAAATATTATAATTCTTTTCAATTTCGCTACGCTTATCTTCGCCAAAAGAATCGATATTTGCTATTAAAAATGAGAAAGACTCCTCCATTTGCTGCCGGTATCTTTCTATATCCTTAAACCGTACAAGAAACTGTTGCTTTTCCTTCATGTTTACAGAAGGTTTATTAATAATGTTACCACCCAAATCATATAACTGCTTTATATGATTTAGTGCTATTTCATATTTTACTAAATGCATTTTGAGGTCAGACATCGTTGATCGTTATATATTTTAATTACGTATTGTACAATATACAAATTACTAATATATTATGATAGTATGCAAAATGTAAACAAATGTGACAATTTGACAAATGACAAGTAACAAGTGACAAATGACAAGACACTATTTGACATTGACGGTTGACCGATTCGCAATCCGGAATGAAACAGTGATGCCATTATGAAATTGTTAATTTTACGTATGCAATATGGCGTCAAGCGAAATGTAAAAATTAGATGTATATTATTGTAGGTATATATGTAATGTTTTTTGATGGAAATAAGGATGATTTATTTAAGATGAGGTTTGATTACTAAAGGATATCCAGGATCTGAAGGACCATAAAAGGTTGTTGGGTAAAGATAGAAAGGGTGGATGGACTACCTGGTTCGCCGTTGTCCCGCGTGGGTTCTTAAGTCGCGTTTTGTACACCAATCACTTTCACACAACACCGGGTGATTTGCTTAAAGTTTGTAATTGTGAAATAAGATAGTTTATTGCGTTTTGCACGATAACTTTGACGCGTAGTCTTAAATTTGATGGGGAGAATGCGGAGCTCGTCCCATCGCCGTACGCGGCCGTTGAAGCTTTTTTTTGTACTACCTCCAGGTAAAGGAATATCGAGGGAATTTAGGATGTGACGGTAGGAAGATATATATAGTGATGTCAAGTAAAGAATGTGTACCTAACATTACTATTTAAAGAGTTTTACGCAAAATAGGCGCACGGACGTCGAGTTGCGGAGAAATGCCCGAATATACCATACTAAGAATAAAAAGAGCATAATTCATATATTTCCCATAAAGCACCATAAAAAGCAGTGCACCCACCGCGTAGTGGTGCGCGGTGTCGCGGTGCGCGGCCGCGTACTCGCGCAGCGCCGCGCGCTTCAGGTGCATCTTGCACAGCGCCGACACCAGCAGCACCGCCGCCACCATGAAGATGAGCGCGCACGCTGCACACACACACACACACACACATATTATATCTCGCAGGTGAATTGAAAACCGTGACTTAACCGGGTTTGCTTTACTACTGTTGAAAATTTAACTAGAGTTCTTAAACTCTCTAAACTCTATCTAAACGATAATGAAATAAAAATACTTTACATACTTATTTAGAAATATCGAAATGTAAAAAAAAAAGACTAATTACTTCAACTTATTCTTTTGTAAAAGTTTTTACAAAAATTTAAAATAAAACAACCATACCAGACAAACAAACTTATCAAAATAGATAAAAAAAAATAAAAAATATATATTTATCTCGTTAAGACAACTTATTACTTATTTAGATATCACAGAAAAAAAAAACAATTTAATAGTAAAATAATAATAATAATAACTATACATAACAACTCACCGGTCACAGTGTATATCGTAGACTGTATGAACCCATAGTCGTCCGGAGCATGTCTGTCTTCAAACAACGGTGGGTATTCCACTTCTACGTAACCTGTTAAATACAAATAGGACAAACATACACACAAATGATCTTACTAAATTATATTCATAATAAATAATAATTTATTATATTTTCTCACTCACTCTCATATTTTCTTATAACAGGCAAGTATAAGTACTAGCGACTTAACCTCACTTCGCTCGGATGCGTCAAGGGACAAGGATTTTGTTCGGAATTTCATGGCTTTTAATTTTTTTTGTGCGCAACCATAATCCTTTTAAATAAAAGTAGCCTAAGTTACTCCTTATAACATCAGCTATCTGCTAGTGAAAGTTCCATCAAAATTTCTCCAACAGTTTCGTAAATAAGCCAGAGCAAACAGACCGACAGAGAGACAGATAATTTAAAAAAAAAATGTTTATTCCCTATAAGTACCGTATTGTATATTTCATATGCATTTAGTTAAATGTTGTTATTTTGACATTACAAAACGGTCACTTCAATTTTAATTATCTGTATAATGTATATAGATTATTAAAATAAACAGTATCAAATACACTAACTATACACCACTACCAGCACTCTGCAACTCGACAAATCACAACTTAGACACTTCTAGATATAATTAACTCATTTATAGAAATCACAATCGAGTTACAACACAAAGTATACCAAGACTTATTTACATATAGTCAAAACTTGGTCACTTAGACACAACTTATGCCCGATTTGACCAACATCACTTAAGCTACCACCTACGTATGGGATCCCTAGCTTAAAAGTTCCCCTGAACTAGCCCCTAAATTAAATTTCGTTTTACCGTCGTCAGAGCCCGTATTTCTAGTACCTCTATTTAGGTAGAATTTTATTATTAATATTAATTTTTAGGTGACCCCTAACTGTTGGTGAAACAGAAACTGTCCCCTAACAGCCCCCTAAACATGCTTAGGGGATCCCTTTAACTTAGGTGACGTTGGTGAAATTGGCCATCAGTCATTCATAAACACAACTTAGCCCTTCATAATAACAACTTATATGCAGCCCTTTGTTTTAATGTCCCACTGCTGGGCGTGGGCCTCCCTTCAATACGATGGAGATCGGGCCATAGTCCACCACGCCGGCCAAGTGCGGGCGGATTTTACATGTGTTTCGAAAACTTGCTAGGTTCTTTCAGACAGGCAGGTTTCCTCACGATGTTTTCCTTCGCCGTAAGACAAGTGGTAATCATGTTGGAAATGATTCGCACATGCTAATATCAGAGGTGCGAGGCCCGGGATATGAACCCGTTTCACTCGGCTTCCCAAGCGAGCGCGTTACCACTGGACTACCACTGCCTATAATAATAACAAATTAGTCATTTATAAACAACTTATTCATACCTTCTAAATTAGAATATCTCGGGTGTTCATCGCAGCAGGCCGGCTGCCGGCACAGCGCGGCGCCGCGGCAGCACGCCGCCTCGGGGATGCAGCGACCGCTCGAGCAGTTCAATTTGTCGCTACCTGCGTGTTAATAGCACAATTACTACTTCGAGATCATAAACAAAATTGTGTGTGTGTGTGTGTATGTATGTGAAATTTTGAAATTTGTAATACATAAAAATACAATACTTACACATAGTTTGAGTAAAAATTTTGAGGATTATGAAAAAATATATATATAATCACAAGCTATTTCTTCAAATTTCAAAATTTAGTAATTTTTACATAGCTGTAACTAGTCTTTTTGTAAAGATAACCATACTTTGTTTTAGAGTTTTGTTAAGCTCAAATATTGTACGTTAAGAATATAAAATGGTGAGGTTTTTTGTAAAGAATTGAGTAAATTATGTGTAAATTCAATTTAAAACAAAAAAGATTTTTTCTCATGTTAATTAAATGGGACATTAAAACAAAAATAGCGACCCCTTAGAGTTGAGCTATAGGGCTTATGTTTGGTGAGGATTTTTTTATATCAAATGAAAGCATCTGAGAGGGTAAGAGTTAAAAAAAATAAAAATAAAAAATATTTTTCGAAGCACCCTAATATACATGTATGCATGTATATGTGTACATTTAGAGTAGGTGAAACAAAAATAATTAGTGACATCCAAATATGAATATATACGTCAATTCATAACAACAAACTTGTGAGTACTTAACAATATTCATGATTGTGTCTGTATGTCTGTCTCTGTGTGTGTGTGTGTGTGTGTGTGTGTGTGTGTGTGTGTGTGTGTGTGTGTGTGTCACCTGCGCAGGGGCTGGGCGCGCACATGGGCGGCAGCTCGTCCTCGGCGCGCGCGCAGTCGCGGCGGCCGTCGCACACGTACGCGGGCAGCACGCAGCGCGCGTCGCACCGGAACGCGCCGCGCGCGCAGTGCGTCGGCCCTGGGAGTATAAACCACATGGTTACTGTGTATCTTTTAACAATTATTTACTTATAATACACTGAGCAGTACACGCTGGTGTGGCGAAGTAAAAATATTATTAATGAAATAAAAAAAGTCGCGTGACAATTAAAGCCTGTGGATGTAGTTTTCATTTAAAAAAAGAAACAAAAAAAAGCAGTACTCGCGGCTTCGCCCGCGTTCAAACTTCTGTTCATTACCAAACTCCACAGTATCACCGACTGGACGAAACTGAAGATTGCCTAAAAATTTCATCTAAATCGCTCCAGCGGTTTCGGAGTCCATAGGAAACATACATACACACATTGATTTTTATATACGTTTTTTTTAATCTAATTAAAGGTTAAATTTTGAACATTTTGTATGTGATAATATATTTTAATATTTCAGCTTTACTCCTTACTAAATTATTTATCATACAAATTCATCAAAAGAAACAACTTATTCGGTTCAACAGATCTAAAGTAAATAATAAGCTAATAATCTGAATAAAACTGCCCTAAAAGGGTTTCATGATTCCTCTCAATTGTACAAAACCCTCACAATCAAATAAATATACAATACCCTATAGCTTACCTCTAGGTTGCACCAGTATATACTTGGTGATACTGAACGGTGGGGCGGAGCACATGTAGTGTCCACTGTCGGAGGGCTGGAGGAAAGTCCTTTCCAGAGTACTGTTTGGGTACGGACCTGACGATGGCTCTATTGTGAAGGGCCTGGAAATAAGTAAAAAATACAACAATACATTTAGTTTCAATGTTGAAAATTTACACTATTCATTCAACTTGTATAGGCAAAAACGGAAACCTAACAATTTTATTATGTCTGTCTGTATGTCACAGCCATTACGCATGAAAAATATTGGAGACTGGAGTTGAATATAAACAGTAAATATAACTGATTAGTAGTTTTCATTAACTATATATACCTAATCAGATATTTTTGAAATTGGTGTGCTTTAACTTGTATTGACTGGAAATTATTGAGTATTTTTCACTTTTTAGTCGGTTTTTTAGGTCCTTTCTATTTCCAGGAGCTTTTAGGGGTGGCTTTTTTTTCAAATTTAAATGGACTAATTTTGAGGTATACCCTAATGCAATAAAAAAAGAATAATGAAAATCCAACTCGTGGCCAAATATAAAAATAAAATAAAAATACGTGTCAAAAGAAACTTCTTTTTTCGTCGGTTAAAAATTAGGTAAGTAAATCTCTTATATAAACTATTAGACAACTGTAGTTTTACGAAAAATAAAAAGAAGGGGTAACACTATAACAGAGAGAAAAAACCAAAATTTCAAACCCACATAATATTAATATAGGTCATTGAAATTGAAATCAATGTTTTTAAATCACTTTTTTGAAGTTATATATACTTCTTTTGGCACGTTTGGAAAAATTATGAGAAAAAATGTTTTACGATGCGCGCGCACACCGACAGCCAAAAAGCGACATGATGAAGTTAGCTGCATTCCTTTTACAAACAGAGAGTTGTGACATACGGGATGAAATCTTTAGCTATTTTTGTTCTGTTACGCCAAAGAAGTATAACTACTTACGTGCGTGCATAAGTACACACACACACACGTTTTCTTTTTTCAAGGCTTGTATTGGACTGTTGTACATATTATTTAAAGTAGTTATTCAACTTTTTCCCTTACCTGCCTCCATCAGTGCCATTATCATTCACGTAATTCCACACAAACACCCTTGGGGAAGTATCCCCTCGCACTTCACACACCAAAGTTAGATTATCATAGGCTCTACGCACTAGCACATCTGTATACTCGGTATCACCTGGGCTGTATAGGGCTAGAAATGGTGGCTGCGGTTCGCTTGTGCCTGGAACAGTTTGAAATAGTTTTAACTTTATACATAATATTCACACTCAGAATGATAATTATTAAATTTGATAATTATTATCAAAGGCAATATAAGCCCATCAAAATAAACTAGCGGTAAGAATAGATACTATTGACATGAAGTAGATATAACAATTACGCTGGAACCAAGACAACAAGAATTTTAATGGTTTGTTATTTCAATCTTAATATTGTCTTTTTGCAAGGACACCATATCAAAGAAGAAACATTACTTATTATATGGATGGAACAATAATTATTTTTAGAATAGATTATTTAATTATTCTAAATTCAGAAGAAAATCTAAGCTAATATTCTACAATGTGTTTTTGTAGGTCTATACTTTAAATATATTGTGATATATTTAAAGTATAGACCTATAGAGAATAAATGAATTATATGATGTACTCCAGTGGGAATCGAACCCACAACTGCTGGCACAGCAATTAGGGTCACTACAAACTGAGTCAAACGTGTTGTCAAATGTTTCTTTAATTCCACTAAAATAATAATAAAACTGAAGAAATATATAAGGAAACAAGTGTATGTAAAAATAGTAATAACACTTGAATATAAGGAATTGTGTAAATAAAAATAAAGCTACATAAAAAAAGAGACAAAAGGACAATTATATATAACCTTTCCTTGAATTTTAATTTATGTATTTTTACACTTACAGACCTTCAGAGGTAAATACATTGATCAAAATTGACATATTTTGTAATGTCGTTACTGATGTAAGTATACCAAATTATTTATCATGCAAACATCACTACTAATATTATAAATGTGAAGGTTTGTGAGGATGGATGGATGTTTGTTACTCTTTAACGCGAGAACGGTTGAACGGATCTGGATGAAATTTGACACAGAAATAGATTATAGTCTGGAATAACACATAGGTTACCTTTAATCATAGAAAAACGTATGGTTCCTGTGGGATAGATTTATTTTTGTCTAGGGACGAACCAGAAGCAAAGCAAGATCGAGTCGCTAGTATGATTATAAATTGAATACCAGGTTTTGTTTGGGATTTCAATTTTGGGGTATATCTATAAAAATAGCATATATTACGAAGTTACCTTTTTAGCTATCTTTAAGCGAGAACATTTTTAAAATGATCATCTATGTTTTACAAGCAAATAAGCAATTTACATCTGCATATTATGTGTACAATTATGTATCTACATATTCAATATCATTTTACAGACAACTATTTATAAGTTGACTTACATATAATGAGTTTTATATCCCTTACTTGAGAAATGATTGATTCCCTGTACAAAGTTCCACCCTCCTTTTCACCCCCTTAAGGAATGATTTCCAGGGTAAAAACTATCTCCATACCAAATTTCGTCTAAATCGGATTAAATGTGAAAAGGTAACAGACAGACAGATAGAGTTTCGTCTAAATTGGTTCAGTGGATTAAATGTGAAAAGGAAACAGACAGACAGAGTTACTTTCACATTTATAATATTAGTATGGATTATTGAATTTAATAAAAGTGTATTAATAACAAAAACATCTGCATATTATAATTATTAATTGTAATAAATCTTTTATTAATTTATGTTGAATTTTAATCATGTTTTTGTTCCATTTTTTTTTATGTATACGTTTATTTTCATGGATAGCAAATATTTTTATAACATAACTGTTTTAGAACTACACGGTTGATTATAGTTAAATGTTAATGTGAAAAGAGCCTAAGAAAAAGGAATGTTATAAAAAATTCCGTTATGTTTGATACATAGAAGTATGCCGTAGAAAAATATAATAACGGTACCCGTATTATAATACGAATAAAGCCGTCAAAAAGTCACACCTTCAACGAATAGTTAAGATCTATAATAATTCAAGGCCCTCTATAGCACAAAATATATTTTTTAAATTACATGAATTTAGGTTCCTAAAAAATGCACGGGTAAACTTAATATATTTAATACATACATGTTTCTGTGATATAAAGAAGGATGGTAACGCACGTAAAAACGTCTTTCACAAATCCAAACATTTTTATTTATTTCACATTTTCACTCAAGTCTCAACTGACATTCAACAAACTACGCCATTTTTGTTTCGTTTTGGCCCTGTACGTTCCGTTTATCGTTTCACAATTATATAAAATTTGTATATGTATCTGCTAATAAAAATAAACTGTTTATTTAAACGTGTTAATTTATTTAACACGATATAAAATAGTGATGATATAAATTTTAATATTTTTTTAATGATATATTTCTTAAATAGTTTAAAATAAAACATAGACTCATGTCAAATTATAATTTAAATTTACCTTACCTATAAGCCACAGAACAAAGAACATTGAAACATAATTTACTTATACTAATTAAATGTATACATTTCTATTTTAAATGTATCCATCTTTCTTTTGTTTAAATAATAATGCTATTTTTTTTTGTGAAATCGATAATTATTTTCAATCGATTCTTTGTTCATAACATCCCTAATAGATAATTTTAAATGTGACTGATGACATTTCAAGTCTTGTATTGATGACACATAATAGGTACATCACTTTCTAAGTTTCTATGCCAAATAGTAAATACAATTTTTATTTTTATGTCTAAATTGAATAATAATTAATATAGTGTGAAAACAAAATGGATATAAATAAATTGCCAAATGATAAAAAGCTATATCTATGCAGATGGTATTTTAAAGGTAAAATAAGAAAGTTTTACATACATTAAATGTATAAGTCTAATAAATTTATCTAATTTATAAATTAACAAAGCGCTTTTAAACTAATTGTAGTATATAATGGTTTTTTATATCCCTGTAAATGTCCAGTTTTATGTAAATGTAGGATTTTCTCTGTATTGAAATATACATAGTTGGAGATGTAGCAACTTCTTTCACGGTGGAAGACCAGGTATAGATAAAAGCTCAAATATTGATAATGAAAGACCAAAAGTTTGAATATCAATTCAGTTTCTCTTCAGTTATTAATCTAACTACTAGTTTCTATGCAAAATCAATAGTTTGGCTAAAAATCTATCTATACATAGTATAATACAAAGTAGCTGTCTGCATCTCTCTGTTTCTCTGCTTACTTCTTCCAAACCATGTAACGAATTATGATACGGTTTTCACTAATATAAAGACTGATAAACGAAGAAGGTTTATGTAGTTATTGTAAATATTTGGTACTTTATATGACTAATTAATCCTAGACGGTGTTTTGTCAAAAAAAACTAATTTCGTACAATTACATGGCCAACACTGGCTAAACCTTTAGTTAGGTATACATAAAAATAATGTACTAGAAAATTTAAGGTCTTAAAAAAGCCTACAGAAAAGTCCACGCAATGTTTCTATCTCCTAAGTTCATTATTACTATATAAAACATACCTAGGGATGTACCCAAGTTTTTTTAACTGTATTTTACATTATTTCAGTTGGATGCGTTCTCTTGCCGTTTGTCTGGGCAGTTAATGCAGTATGGTTTTTCAAGGAGGCCTTTATTAAGCCACCATATGATGAGCAGAAACAAATAAAGAGATGTAAGTTATTAGAGCTGTTTCGAATATTTCTCTTTACTTGTTATTAATTTGTTAAATCAATAATTTAAGTTGCTTTAATTATTGTGTATTTTATATTATATTAAAAAACAAAATTTTTATGTGAGTAATTTTTATTGTAAAATTTTGTTAGTTTAATCATATTTAAATTTTTCCTTTTGGGCTAGGACATTTTTTTAACAAATTTTAGTTTTTCCTATACAATTCCTTCATTTCCAGATGTAATAATGAGTGGGGCTGGGGCGATTGTATGGGCAATTGTTCTATTGTCTTGGGTAGTTGCATTCCAAGTACAGAGGGTTTCATGGGGATCTACAGGAGATTATCTATCTTTTGTGGTGCCTCTTGGACGAGCATAACTTCTTTTGCCGTTGTCAGTAACGAAAATAAACTATGGAATTAGTTTAAAATATTACTATTGCATAACAAATGAATAAAACGCGAATAGCTATTGGTTTTTTCTGACAATTACTAAAAAATGAATATTTTCCATATAGAATTTGTGTTAGTAAAGAAATGTCAAATCAAAAAAATTCAGCTTTATTTATAAGTTCTAATTTTAAGTTTATGTGTAAATACTAAATTAAATAAAAATCATGAATACTTATGTAGTTTTATTTGTACAGTACATATATACAAGATAACATAAATGCGACAATATTTAATTATTCTATGACAACAAACAGACAGATGTAAAATTTTATATAAAGATACATATAGATTTGGTTCAGAGCAAAAATGTACATAAAAAAAGAACTTAGCTTTTCAACTTACATAATATATGTATTTTAATTAATAAATTAATAACTTTAAATCAGATGTACGATATGAGTTCAGAATTTATAAACATTTTTCTAACAAATCTCTAATATTTGATCATTTTTTCTTATAATGATTTATTTTAGTGTTAATTAAGAAAAATGAGTAACTTCAAATTCCCTATACAAAATTTCATCCCCGTTTTCACCCCCTTACGGGATTATTTTCGGGATAAAAACTATCCTATGTCCTTCCCAGGGTCTCAAACTATCTTATAAAATTTCATCTTAATTGGTCCAGTAGTGTCGGAGCCTATTCAGTACAAACAAACAAATAAAAAATCAAATCTTTCTTCGTTATAATATTAGTACAGATATTGTTGAAAAAAAGGTAAAATGTTAGATTAAGATTGATTTAATTTTTTATGTATTTAAATTATATTGTCACTATTACAAAAGTGATAGTTATAACTTATTAGCACACACAGTGCACGTATCTTTATATATATAATTCTTCTGTGAGTGTGTATGTCACTGAACTTCTCTCAAACGACTGGACCGATTTTGATGAAATTTTTTGTGTGTGTTCAAGGGGATCTGGGAATGGTTTAGAATTTAGATTCACAATTTGAATAATAATTTTCATCAAAATAATTATTAAAAAAAGTTTGAAATTTTCAAATTAAAGACGTGTAGACAGGACAACGTCTGTCGGGTCCGCTAGTAAATACATATAAATTGTGCGTTCAACTGAGGTTCGTTCAAACATTTTTTGTAAGTTATTCAAATTATATTCTATACTTTGGTTGAACTTATTAAATAACTTCAACTTATTATGAAAGTCACATTATTATTATTATTACACCATAATGTTTTTTTCTGTTGTGTGGGTTTATAATGTTTATAATGTGGAATTTGTATCTAATCCACAAAACTGTTATTTTTTTTACATTGTTCTATGATTTTCTCTATTAATCTTCTACTTAAAGTTCAATAGGTTTCTAAGGAAACAAATTATAACAGCAAAATAAATATAATCCGACTAAAATATGTGGTCATGTTAAGACAGTGTAAATATTAAAATGAGTTTATAACGTAGTCTACCACGCTGGCCAAGTGCACTGAGCATGTCTTTCGATAACTTGCTAGGTTCTCTCAGATACGCAGGTATCCTCACGATATTTTCCTTCACCGTAAGACAAGTTCAATCATGTTGGAAATGATTCGTACATGAAAATATCAAAAGTGCGAGATCCAGGATTTGAACCTGCTTCGAAATACGAGTTAAAGCAAGTCCATACACATTTGAATCGGATTATACTGTTTCGCTTTTATAGAACATCATAAATCTACATTCATTAGAATAACTCATCTCTATTTTTCAGTCAACAGATTAGATATGGTTTTTTTATATTAGTAAAAAGTTCCTAATTTATTTTGCTATAATTTTTTTGTTATTTAAAAATATTTCGCGCAAAGTTAATTATAAAGTCCATAGATATATATTTTACTCATATTTTTGTGAATTATTTTATATAAAAAAAATCACAAAAAATATTAACCTTAAAAAAAGTAAAACTGAAAAAAAAACTTTTTAAAGTCATAAAATATTTATTTTTTTGTAGTAAACATATCAAAGTCGTAGAACAACACGATCCATTTGTAGTTATAATACTGTTCACTCAATACGCACGAGCCGGGGCGAGGCGAGGCGCCGCTCCTGCCTTATTTTGGCTATTTCCGATTTTGCTATCCTGAAACCATAAAAAAATATACAATTAATAATAAAACATTAGATTTACGCGAATATTTGATATTTTAAATAAAACTAAAATCTTTTCGAATTTTATCGCTGAGTCTCAACCTTTCTCGTGACCATGATTGCTGTAAACTGCAAAGCATTCAAAACGTCGGGGACCAAAAATTAAAATAAATCCGTAAAAATCCTAAAAGATAGTTTTATTCAAAATATACAGTTGTTTATTGATATATCTATAAATTTTTTTTAACTTTATTCAATAAAATATTATTTACTGTACATGTTTTTAAAAAAGAATGTATGTAAATAAAATTTGTTGAACGTCTTATCTATTATCAGGCTTGTCACTTTGATCTTAAATCTGATTCAAAGTTAAACAAATATAATACAAAAAATTATGACATTAGGAAAAAAGAAAAAAAAAACAATTCAATTCTCTTGTTCAAAACGTGCCAATTCAATTAAAAATTAAAAAAAAACTACTAATAATACGAAAACCTAAAAGAACCCTAACTTTATACCAATTAAGGTTCTTATTTGTATATTTAATAAAAACTCGATTGGTTTGTGGTATCCGATTATTATTTACTAGCGACTCACCCTCGCTTCGCTCGGGTTCTTCCCAAGCTTGCTTCCCCATATGTCCTTCCCAGGGTCTCAAACTATCTTCTCACCAAATTTCATCTAAATCGGTTCAGTAGATCCAGAGATTACCCCCTACAAACTCACAAACTCACAAACTTAACCTCTTTATTATAACCTCTCTATATTTATAATATTATAGTATATATTACCTCAGCAACAGCAGCAACGCTATGACATCGCAAGATATCAACATGTAGAACACGTAGGACCAGCTGCCGGCGCTCGAGACCACGCCCGCCACCATCGGGCCCACCGCTGCGCCTAGATATGGTTATTATATTAAAAACCTAAATACATTTTAAATAAATTAAATTAAAAACTAAACTATTATAAATTCGTAAGATTGTATGTATGAGTGTGTTTTTTTCCTGTGACAGGAAAAATATAATAACGTATCATAGGGTCCCAGTATGTTGGACTTGGTGTTTTATTTGACCGATACCGACTAAAAAATCCCATCTCCCCTTCTGTACCTTCATGATACCTCGTGGGATTGCCGATATGCATTACTTCACGACTGTGTGTGTGTGTGTGTGGGTATGTGTTTGTGTGTATGTTTGTCACTCTATCACGCTGTAACGTCTGGACGGATTGGATGAAATTTAGTACACAAATAATACTATGAGCTGTAGTAACACATAAGTTGTAAAAAATAAATGTTGCTAAAAGCACCACATTAATATATTTATAAATAAATAACATTATCTGAAGGTATGTAATTTTTTTTTTTTAAATAAAAGTTTTTTTTAATAAATCGAGCAGGTTTTTGATCTTATTTAATAAAAAGGAAATAATGTAATAATTATTATTTTCTAAAAAAAAAAACATCCTAAACTTACTAAGTATTGCTTATGATAATTCACTTCTTGTTGTTTATCTAACACATAAACTTTATTAAGCGCAGCAAAATAAACATTTTTATGAAATTTTTCTGCAGGGACAAAATTAATAACCAAATTCATTTTGCCAATTGTGAAAAATTACCAATTTTACCATTTTTTTATAATGGTTATTATGAAATGGTAAATGTTATTATTGTAATGGTATAAGAAAAATTGTAACTTACCTATACTGCCAGTGCCGTCTATGATGGCGGTCACTGTGGCCAGCGCGTGGGAATCCCCGGCTAAGCTACTGTGCGTACCTTAAAATAAAGATTTTCTATGCTATATAATGCAAAAAGATTTCAAATCCGATAAAAGAAACAAGTTCAGTTTTATATCTAAACAAATAAATAAAATTTAAGTATCTGTTTGTAAAGTAAAAATAACAGCTTTTTCTAAATGCATAAGATGTCTGTCAGTTTGTTTCGGCTATTCTCCAATAAAATCTCATCTCAAATAAGTTTAAAAAGTGATACAAAATTCTTTTCACATATTAATATTTTATATATATATATATATATATATATATAATATATATATATATATACATCAACCTAATAAATTGTACATTGTACAACTAATAGTGATTTTGCAGTATAAAAAAATCATAAAATAGGCGATTTTCCCCTATTATTTTAACCGATATCCGTTGTAAAACAATACCAATGTTCAACAATGAGTAATTTTTGTTACAATGTGTACGTAAATTACTTACACTGACAACCCTAAAATCATTTCATCAATTTTATGTATTCCGGTAATGTCAATCCAGAAATTGTTCCCATTCTTTTCGGCGCGAACCTCATCGCCCTAACCAAAAAGGACGGAGGGGTGAGACCAATTGCTGTTGGATCAACACTTCGACGTCTGGCCTCCAAAATTGCTGTTCGACATATTTTACCAAAATTAAATTCGGAATTTGAACCCGTACAGTTAGGTTTTGGTGTAAAAGGAGCCTGTGAGGCAGCCGTCCATGCCTTACGCTCTTTCCTAACTTACGCCCAGCCTGACGTGTTGCTCAAAATTGACGTCAAAAATGCTTTCAATTCGGTAAATAGGGATACCCTGCTGACAGAAATAAAACAGCATATACCGGAAATATACAATTATCTTCTTCTCAGTTACGCTGACCCAACAAAATTATTATATCATTCTAATGAACTATCCTCGGAAGTAGGTTGTCAACAGGGTGATCCCCTTGGGCCTGCAATTTTTAGTTTGGCTATAAATCCGATAATTAAAAAATTAAATTCTAAATTCAACGTCTGGTATTTGGACAACGGAACTCTAGGAGGTGATGTGGAGACTGTGTTTTCGGACCTTTTTTTAATCAAAAATAAATTTGAAGCCATTGGTTTGGAACTTAATTTTAGCAAATGCGAACTTTTTATAAATAACTGTGACTTAAATTTAAATGATGTAAAACAAAAATTTAATATTCTGGCTCCAAATATTAAAATAGTTAACAGTAATTCCCTTTACCTTTTAGGTTCTCCAATTTTTGATGAATCTATTTCGGAATATATTAATAATTCAATCACTAAATTTCAAAATTCTGTTGACCGTCTCCTTGAAATTAGTCCACATTATGCACTTTGCATCTTAAAATGCTGTCTTTTCGTCCCAAAATTTACGTATGTGCTCCGTTGCTGCTCCTTTTGGAATTATCCAGATCTTTTAACACAAGTAGACGACTTAATCAAAATCAGCTTAGAATCGATTCTTAATATGCAACTGAACGAGCAATCTTGGACCCAAGCATCCCTACCTATCCGTTATGGTGGTTTAGGGATTCGCAAAATTTCCAGTGTCGCTTTACCAGCCTTCCTATCTTCTATTCATAGTTCAGCGAATCTCATAAGTAAAATTTTAAGGGCATCCCCTTCAAACTTTGAGATTGCTGGTTTGGAAGAAGCTAGAAACGCTTTTTTAATTGCATGCCCAGGTCAAAATTTTCCAGTTTCTGCAAATTCACAGAGGAGCTGGGACGACATAAACTGCAAATTGACTTATGACAATCTTTTAAGCTGTAGTACAGGCTCGGCGCGTGCTAGGCTTTTGGCCGTGGGTATGCATGAGGCTGGCTACTGGCTTCACGCGTACCCTTCGTCAAATACAGGAACATTTCTGGAGCCTGAAACGCTCCGAATCGCAACCTGTCTACGGCTTGGGGTTCCGGTCTGCGCTCCTCATAAATGTCCCTGTGGTAGTGACGTCGATAAGCTAGGACATCATGGTCTGTCATGCCAAAAAAGTGCAGGCCGCTTCTCGAGACATGCCGCGCTTAACGATATCATACGCCGGTCCCTTGCCACCATCAACGTGCCAAGTCTACTTGAGCCGACTGGTATTGCAAGAGACGATGGCAAGAGACCGGATGGTATGAGTTTAATTCCATGGAAGATGGGCCGAGTGCTGGTATGGGATGCAACCTGTTCAGACACGCTCGCCCCTTCCCATCTACATGGAACCAACAACAGAGCTGGTGCGGCTTGTGAAGCGGCTGAAAAAACCAAAGCATACAAATACAGGGATCTAGGTTCTGAATATGATTTTGTTCCTTTCGGTGTCGAGACCCTTGGTCCGTGGGGTCCTAGCGCTATAAGACTTTTTAAGGAAATAGCAAAAAGGTTATACGACGTCACAGGAGACCGAAGAGCTGGCAGCTACTTCGGACAGAGAATTAGTCTAGCTATTCAAAGGGGGAACGCTGCCAGTATCTTCGGAACCTTGCCTAAAGGGACTCCTTTTAATAATATTTTTTAGTTATTATATTATGTATATATACTTAAGGTTTTTTTTAGTTTAATGTAATTTATAGACTTAAAATATTCTGTAAATATTCGTGTGTATAATAACTTATTAAATTAAACATTTTCCCGACTCTCATATGAAAGTAGGGACGCCAATAGGGAGAACTTTTCCGCATATCAACTCTACCCCATACGAACACCCTGTACTTCATTTCCTAACAGTCATAATAGAACTCACCTAATTCAGCGCTAACCGCAGTAGTGATGAGAGCGTAAGGTCCATTCACCAGCACGCCGGCCACTATCAGCAACGCTACGTTGAGAGTGTACGACATCGCTCCCCACGTCTGGTATGCTAGGAGCTGGGAAATATATAAAATATATGTATAGTTTGAAGATTCTTGTGCAGCATAATTTTCTTATATAATAGCGACTCGCTATGTGGCTATCAACAGTATCTGTGTTATAACTTATAAGTTTCATTTAAATCCGTTCAGACGTTTCGGCGTGAATGAGTAACAAACACACACTTTCACATTTATAAAAATAAGTCATGTGTTAATATAAAAAAATCGACAAACACCCAAGTACCGTCGAAAACCATAAAAAACTCGTCTGATTGTACACAAACAAACACACTTTCAATATTTCATTAACAGTAAATACAACACAACATTTGTTTGTTTGTCTTTCTTTCACGTGGAAACGGAAGGACGGATTGCGTTTTTTTGTGTGGAGATAATTGGAGGGCTGGAGAGTGACATAGGCTACTTTTTACCACGCGAGATTATCTCATTCGCACGGGAAAACATGTTATAATAATACAACTCAAAAAAATATTTATGACCAGAATTACTTGAGATTTGGTATTGATGCTCTTCAGTACAATTGCAATAAATAGGTTGTTTAGCATTTTTCGAAATTCATCGCATAAGGGGGTAAAATGAGGCATGAAAGTTTGAATGAAACCTACCTTTATAAAGTCTTTTGTAGTTTTAGCGCGAGCGAAACCGCGGATTCTGCTAGTTATTATATAAATGATGACACAAACAAACGAGCACTCACAGTGGGCGCGCACACGGCGTAGAACACGGCGCACACGAGGGCGGGCGCGCCGGCGCAGTCCGCCAGCAGCCCCGCCAGCGCCGCGCCCGCCACGCCGCCCACGTCGAACGCCGTGCTCAGCTCGCCCGACTGCTTGGGCGTCAGGTTTGCTGCGGGTGACACAAACAGACACACTCATAGTGGGACAGTAAGGCATAGTTATTTGGATGTTAGGTTACTTGAGACTCGTCTGGCTGTTTAGGGGTAAAGTTTTCTGTGTTGGGGGAGGGGGGAGGGGGAATCAATGAATATTTAATGAGATTACCAAATACTAACGCGATATTTAAAAAAGAAATTTAATGTTGTTAATATAATGTACCTACACCTCACTAAATTATCATACAACATACATACATACATATATGTTATATTTTCTAGTTATTTGATGTAATTTAAAATTTCTTATTTTCTTTTAAAATATGGCTAGGGAGCCAAATAACATGAATCCGTGCTAATATTATAATTTATAAATGCGAAAGTAACTATGTCTGTCTGTCTATTATCTTTTCATGCTTAATCCTTTGAACCGATTTAGATTTTGGTATGGAAAGATAGTTTGAGACCCTGAGAAGAACATAGGATAGTTTTTATCCCGGAAATCATCCCAGGGGGTGGGGAGTTGGAAGTCCTTATGGAGAATCAATCATTTCAAATACGACAAAAATAATACTCACTTGATGAATTTATATACAAAGGGAGCCAGTACAAAAACGTGTAACTGACTAGTTTCGCGAAGAACAGCGATAATGAAAACTCAATCACTCCCGGTATAGCCAACGCGCGCGAGAGCGACACAGCACTACCGTTAGAGCGAGAGGAACGACGCGACAACAAGGCCGTCTCTTCTGTTACATCTTCCTGTTGGTACTGGAAATAAATATATTTTTATTTCTCTACTAATGTTATATTATAGTGTGTCTGGTTTATTAATTTGACATTCTTTCATGTAGCAATGAACAGTTTTTTTTTAATACAGGTATTTTTATAGGCGTTAAGAGATTATTCTATACATAAAAAACAAAAAAGAAACTTCTAAGTTTATTCTAGTGGTCTAACTAGTTTTTGTAATAAAGATAAATTCGTTGATAATTCTAAAGCAGACGAGAAATCAAATAATTGCAGGAGAACAATAAGTCATTATTTTTTATAGAACTGAGGAATCTAAAGCGGATTATACAACATACAACATAAAAAATAACGTTTTATTAAAAGGAATCTTTCAATTTAATTCACAGAAAACAAAAAATTTGACAAATCTTGAATTCTAATGTTTAATAAAATACAGAGATTTCAGCATACAATAGTAAAAATTTTTTTTCATGATTGGTAAATAAATATAACCAACCGTGAAAAATAAAAAACGAAATAGTTCAAAAGTTGGTAAAAATAGAAAGAAACAAAATGGTAAATTAGAAATTAGAACTAGAAAAAGAGAAAATATATAAATAGATTTTACCAATTTTCAAGTGAAGTTAGTACAAATGACAATAAAGCTCTTACCGGCGGTGAGTTAGCCGAGTGGCGCGAGGGTCGCAAGCTCGCAGCCTGCAAACATGCTGTTATTTAGTGATAGTGAGACAGTGATAATGAGATACAGTGATAATGAGATACAGTGATTGTGAGACATAGTGATAGATAAAAATGGCGGTAATGAAATAGAGATAGATATAGTGATTGAGATAAGTAGGTTAAAAAAAACCTTTTTCCGATATATTACAACTATAAGAAAAGATTTGTATAAAAGATATTGTGCATTATTTTCAACAAAAATATTAAAAAAATGCACCTTAACATATCGTTATTAAGATGCATGTACAAAAATATAACCAATTTCCACTCACAGACGTTCGAATTATGTATAAAACACATACCTTATGTATAACATAATTAAATTTATATTTTTTTAATATATACCAATTTAAAAGCTATGGTCTGATAGTCTTACCGATATCATTAATATATTTTAAAAATATCTAATTTATATTACAAAGCGCTTACAATACATATTTTTTTCCAATTATAATTGTTTGTATTCTAATGTACGACACTCACACCACCAAAATTTAATATTTTATCTTTTACAATACGTCGCCGTACTTATTTATTCAAACGACCAATACTTGTTGAACTTTACTGTAGACAGTTTCTTTCCTCTATTTAAAAAACGAAGCATTATTTCTAAAAATTTTATATACATATATATGTAGAAAAAATAATTTTTTTCGGCTTTATAAAATAAAACGTGTATTTAATAGAATTGACATTTAAAAGTCAATAATTCTATGTTAAAAACTCTTTCGGTGAATTGGTCATTTGGACAAATAAGTACTGAGAAGACGAGTAATAAAAAAAGCCATGCAACAGATAATAAAGCGAACTTACCTGATCCCCAACTATGATTTGAGCTGTTTCTTCTTCATCATCAGATCTATGCGACTGGCGGCTAGACTAGAAAATATATATTAAATTATTTGAGAAAAATCAAGATAACTTATTAATATACTTCCCATCTATACCGGTAAATAAAATTGAAGTGTCTGTTTGTAATGTCAAAATAACAGCTTTTTACTATTCACATGAAATTATATACTGTACTTATAAGAAAAACACAACTTTAAAAAAATATTTTTAGTCTGTCTGTGTGTTTGGTCACATAGCAGCCTAATGTTATAAGGTGTAACTTGGGCTAGTTTTATTTTAGAAAAAGAATTAGGGTTTCACTCAAAAAAACTAAAACGCACCCGATTGAAGCGAGGGTATGTCGTTAGTTGATATATGTATGTATAAAGAATATAATATTATATATTTGTCAGACGATAACACCGGTTACCATGGCAACACGGCAATGTATTCTATCCCATTCTCTCGCCGGCTTAATCCTATATATTTGTGTGCTTGTCTCTTTTTAGTGTCACATTTTCGTAATAATAATATGATCATTGCTATCGATACATACCGGTCTATCCACAGTCACGCCAACGTTCCTGGGGTCCGGGACTAGGAACAGGAAGACGAACATACCGACTATACCCATCACTAGCGCCGGGTAAACAAACGATAGAGACCAATCGTGCTCTACGTATTCCGCCGCCATCACTGTCCCTGTTCAGGGAGAAATGGTGCTTTTGGTCAATTCAATTATTTTGTTATTGGCTTCGAAGTGTGCCAATTGAGCACAGATTACTTCGCCAATGTGACGTAGAATGGAGAAGGTACGAGAAACACACCTTGCCAAATTGTACCTCACTTTGGCCAATGCATGTTGTTTTTTGAACCAACTCCAATAAGGAAGTTTTGTTTGTCCGTATGTTTTTTTATGTTACGAGTGCTTGAACAATTTTGCTAGTTTGAATTGTATTCTATTGAAGTACATAGAGGCCGAGATGGTCCCATATAATTTTCTAATAATAAGAAAAATCTATGAAATTTTATGTTACACGTACAGACGAATATATGTCGTATATGAATTACCTCATTACAATATATAAAAAGATTCAATTCTAATAACCATATTTGATATTTTAAATAAACTATATTTTTGGTCTTCCTTACGATTATATTTTGATTTTTTTATTCCCGAAAATCTGAAAAGATTTACGTAAGCAAAGAAAGTATATCAATTAATCATACCTAAAATATTTCCGAGGGAAGTGTGTGAATTCCACAGTCCAAATATAAGTCCTTTCTTGGCATTTCCAAACCATTTGCCAACGATGGCCACAGTGCCGGGCCAACCTGTGGTCTGGGCAATGCCTGCGCCAGCCTACAATATAACAATCAAATTAAAAAAGAAAGATAGATAAACGTTTAACCGTCTTCAAAATGAAGAGAAAAGAGGAGAGAGATTGTAGATATTAGTGTGACAAAATAATCAGAATCCAAAGCCAATATTTTATTTAAGGCCAAACTTAATATTATGTTTATTTCGCCAGCATCTTTAAAAAAATGTGAAGTTTAGATGTAGAACAATATGATGTATAAAGCCTTACAAAATCTTTCACTGAAAATAATTTAGTCTGTCAGGTCTTGGAAATAGGTCAGTCCTGTAAAGATCTGGCTGAAAAAACTCATCGATAGATCTTTTTTGAAGTTTTTTTCATTTTCTAGTTACCCAACATTAAAAAGTTCGAAAGCGTCAATCGTTCCAATTAATTGGTTATCATAGATACTCTATACATATTATTAAAACTATACATTAAATAATAATAATAAAAAGTAGATTAAGAAATAAATTTTAATAAAATCTATCAAAACTATAAACAGATCAAAATATTGATGAAATCCAATAGAAAAAAAATCATACAAACCTGAACTAACAAATAATACGATATATCGTGTACATCCAACGTCCTGCCAAGTCCGAACAGGTAGCAAAAGATGGCCGACACTAACATACCTAGTGATAAGAAATACCTCAAATCTACTCTCTCTGCTATCATACCTGGAATTTAAGACATTAATGGCTTTATAACATGACTTGGTTAAAGATGGCCTAAGCCCTTGGATTCAAGGTTGAGTCTTGGATCAGACCAAGAATAGTGGTTGGGTTTTTCTGTCAAGAAATTCTCAGCCCGAGTTGGGAAGTTGGTGGTTTTTCCCGCCCGTGTCGAGGTAAGCCTTTTGGCCTGCACCTGATTTTTATCTGGTCGTGCCAAATTGTGGTGGTCGTACCGGAGGTAACAGTAATATAGACTAGTAGTTTTTACTACATAGTGCATATATGTATGTAACATTATATAGCAACTTACCGTGCTTAAAACCGAAACTATCGTAAGAAGTCGTGTCTGTATATTTGTATTTCATATTTGATGATAAAAATTCTTACCAGAAACAAACATGGCCCCCGCGTAGGAGAAGAGGAAGGCCGAATCCAGAGTGCCCAACAATGTGTTCGCATCTTTCGTATCTGCAACAACACTACAGTTAGCTTTATCATTCAGTTGTTATACATTATATTTGCGTGATATTGTATTTGTTCGCAACAGATACAAACAGGTATTTGACAGACTCAAAAAAAGAGGTACTTATAATTCATCTGTTCCAGGAAGGCCGGACGTAAGACTTTTGCCAAAACCAATCAGCAGTATGGAAGAAGTACTGCGCCGACGATTGCTAGTCCATATTAATATTATAAATGTGATAGTTTGTGAGTATGGATGTTTGTTACTCTTTTACGCCAGAACAGCTGAACGAATCTGGATGAAATTTGGCACAGAGATAGATTATATGAAATAGCGCATAGGCTATTTTATATCCCGGGAAAATGTACGGTTCTCGCGGGATAGGTTTGTTTTTTTTCCTAGAGGCAAACCCGAGCGAAGCAAGGGCGAGCCGCTAGTATTACATAAATTACCAGACACCATCATTATATTGGTCAAAAAGAAGAAATAACAGCGTATATACATTTTAAACATAATATATTACATTCAAAGTAGGTTAAATGGCAGCATTCCGCACAAATGTTATCTCGTGAATATTTTAAATCAGGTCAAGTAAAAACTAGACGAAATGTATAATTTGAAATAGTTACGCGGCGATATATTTTTACATGAGAAAAAGTGTGCTTTTATTTTCATATCGCTTTTCAACTTCCTTTAACGCCCACGTCTTATATTATTACTATCCGACTTCTCCAGAAACAAGGAAATGTAATGTTTTATGATATGTTTCATTATTTAACTGAAACTTTTTAATATAATCTTATATATAAAATTTCCATGTCACAATGTTAGTTACCGTACTCCTCCGAAACGGCTTTACCGATTTTTACCAAATTTTATATGCGTATTCAGTAGGTCTGAGAATCGGCTACTATCTATTTTCCATACCCCTAAGTGATAAGGATATGGGTGGTCCTCCCAGACCCCACCCCAGGGACGAACCCGAGCGGAGCGAGGGTGAGTCGCTAGTTATTATATAATAAAAGGTTTAATTCACAAAATGAAAATATATCTAGTATATGTGACATAACAAAAAATTAGAGTTACTATTAAATTTAATATTAAATTCACCGACCAATCTCCCTCATGTCTTGTCGTGACACTAGCGAAGTAATCTATGCTTAACTGGCAAGTTTGAAGCCATTTACGAGGGAATTGTTCTTCTAAGTTTTCTTTTAGAGCACTCAAAATGTATTTTTATCATAATAAAACAAAAACTACTTCGTTGGTCTAGTGGCCAGTATACGTATGTATGACTACACGTGAGGCTGCAGATTCCAAGGTTGTAATGTATAGTGATTAGGTTTTTGTAAATAGGAGAGTAACAACACCCCATGTCGAGGCAGAGAACGTAAAGTTATCAGTCTTGCACCTAATTTCTCACCAGTCGTGTCGAATTGTCATCCCACTGGAGTGTGAGAGTAAAAGAAATAGGTAGTACACGAGGGATATAAAATTAGTAAATACTTACTAAAAGGTGCCCAATTGCACCACTGATCATCTCCAGGTCTTATCCCGGGGGGTGGGACTAGAGTGCTGCAGTTTTGGTGGAGGACACTCTTCACCACTGATATGGGTTTCCTCGTCAAGTGATATGTCATGTACGTAAAGTATGTGAGAATAAGCACACTCGCTTGATACCTAGAAGAAAAAAAACTTTGTAAATGTTTGTTTCAATAATGGTAAATTTCATTCAGATATGGTAAATTTTATTATTATTTCATATTATTTCTGTACATGTGTGTTTGTTTGTTACTTTTTCACGTTGAAATAGCTTGTTTCTACACACGTACACTATAACCTGCAGAGACATATAGGCTACCAATAGGCATCTAGGAATATTGACCAAACAAAGGAAAAATAAATCATTAGTGGTCAAAATAAATATAAGTTGCTTGCAGATTTTATACCTGCTATGTCTCATGTAAAAACAGATACTCAACACAATACACCATTTACAATTAATTTATTTCCATTTCAGGATAATAAATCATGACATTTAGTCCTCTGCACATTGCCAATGTTAAATCAAAGGGTGAAGGTTCTAGTCACTAGCCATCTTTGTAAAATATATATTCAAGAGTACAATGTTTTGATATATCACTTAGTATTGATATTGAAGGTTGGACTTTTTTATATTATGATAATAATTCAAAAAGATTACATTCAAGCTAAATTTCAGCAAGTAATACTACAGCAACAATAGCATTCCCAAGGAGGGTTGACGTCAGGCAGGCGGCCGGTCGTAAAACTTTTGCCAAATCCTATTAGTAGTACAGAAGATGTACTGCGCCGACCCCTAATGATTGGGAAATGGGCAGGGAGAAGATAATACAACAGCAACAATACATGTTAGACTGTCAGAGCGCAACACAGCCATCAATGTAGTTAAATTAAAAAAATCTAAAGGTTCTTGAATATATAAATGTTTGATCATGTTTTTAAGTCAAAGTAGTAGCCCGAGAGCTCGTGACGAATTTTGGGAAGGTCCTTTTGGCAAGTTGAAATTGTGAAAAAATATAATTTCAAGAATTGGCGAGTCCAGTCCCGCGAGTCTGGTATAGCTTTAGCGGTTATTTCATTACTGCGCAGTATATAACATTTGCAAAAAAAATATCCAAAAAAAAAACATATTTTTGGCAACTTGATTTTTGTTGTTTGTTTAATCTTTTAATTTAGTTTTGATATAATTCAAAAAAAAGAACCCCAGACGTTTTTGTCGGTTATAAAGTATTGCCAGACCTCTCCAAAGATTCATTTTTTTTATTCCAAAAAATATACTTTTGGCAATCTGAAATTTTAATCACGTATTTATTGGGTAATTTTCAATAATACTTGCAAATCGCCAGACGAATTTACCGGTTATAAACCATTCCCAGACGTAAATAAAGTTTACAAATGAGTACTACAAAAAAGTCTAATGCTTAGCCATAGGTGCGAGAAAGATAGCTTATCGAGGTATGCCAGCAGCTGATGTGGGCCCATATAACTTTATTTAAGTCTTAAGAAACACAAACACTCATTTGAACATAGCCTGATCTAACACCTTGAGGAGTTAGGATTAGCTTATCTAACCTTGTGACTTGACATTATTAATTCAAAATTACATCTGTACGTAAATTAAGGCAGTGGTAGCCCAGTGGTAACGCGCTCGCTTGGGAACCCGAATAAAGCGGGTTCAAATCCCGATTCTCGCACCTCTGATATTTTTATGTGAGAATCATTTCCAACATGATTACCACTTGCCTTACTGTGAAGGATAACATCGTAAAGAAACATGCATGTGTGAGAGAACCTAGCAAGTTCGAAGGACATGTGAAGTCCGCCAATCCGCACTTCGCCACCATGGTGGACTATGGTCTGACCCCCTGGAAGGGAGGCCCGTACCCCGCAGTGGGACGTTAAAAAGGGCTGAATACAATATATCTGTGCGACCAAATCTGACACACTCTGAGTCAGTTTTTGTTTATACATATGTGTTTAGAAAACTATTATATCACATAACATAATCTTTAAAAGTAATGGGCAACTATTTATGGTTTAAAATAATACACCTGCGTGCAGCCCTTTGAAGATAGGAGAAATGGATTAATACTTGGATCAAACTGTACACTTATACAGAACCCTACAAATATGAAATAATTGAATTGATAAAAGGAGTGTTAATTATCTTATTACCCAAACGTCAACCTTCACAAATTATTATTCATTTATGGTTAAACATGACCATGTCGGCATTACATGATATGATAGCATTATATTACATAGCAATCAAAATGATGATTCACACAAGCAGGCATGAGCTAAGTATGACTAATACATCTGTATAAAGTTTGAGAATAAATACGATGAAAACGGTAAACTGCTTTATTGAAAATAACATACAATCATTATAGATATTTTAAACCTAAAAAGATGAAAATAAAAAGATATGGAATCTATCGAGCTGTTAAATGAAATTTGGCATTTTTTTTTCATATTAATCTCAGTAATATTTGGAATAGAATACCCAATACAAAGTAGTAAAAATATGTAGTAAGCATTTGCTGCTCATATAAAGCCAACATTTATACAGTTTCAATGAGTGAGTCTCTCTCCGGTTCCTCTCAGCAGAACTGCTTTCTGAGCCGGTGATAACTTCCTCATGGACTGACTACACTGAAACTGTTAATATTAAACTAGCTGTGCACCGCGGTTTCCTCCTCATTAAATTTGTTTGATTATGAACATCACTTTTACAATAATTTATGAAAGATTACTTGACATTTATGATTAATGATCCGCCGCTTTGGGTAGTATCATAATGATATATAGCCTATAGCCTTCCTCAATAAACCGGCTATCTAATGCAAATTGGATTAATAGTTCCTGAGATTAGAGTGTTCGAACAAACAAACTCTGCCTCTTTATAATATTAGTATAGATTGATGATTCAAAAGTGCTTCTAATCAATATATTTGAATAAAGTTTCATTCAATCATTCATTTTAATTCACAGTTACACGATAATCATTAATCTTTCCAATCTCAATTACTGATTATAATCTGATAAATGCTATGACCATTTTACTTTACAAAACATGGTAAAATTATCTATAAAATTGAATTTTGAGTAAACTTATTATGTTTCATAATTTATATGTACATTATATCATTGTTTTATAAATAGAAGCATTCTTTACAATTCACTAAAGCATTTAAAAAAAAACTCATATTAAGTTATTCCCAAAAAGTCAAGATCAGTTTAGATAATAATTTCATAGAAATAAAGGTTTCATAACAACAAAGTTGCAATTTATCACTGAAAGAAATGACTTTGAATAATTTTTTAATTGTAAAAGGACCTCAATAAAAAAAAAACTATTTAACTATTTTAAGTCAGTATCAATAAAATTTGTGTTTAAGGATAAAATTATAAAATGAATAACACTAATATAATAATTACAAAATATTTAAGTATATTATTGAAACAAAACAGCAAGAAAATTAATTAGTTTGTTAACTTATTAGCTTGTCTACGTATTGAACTTACCATCTTAATCTATTTATTTGAAACCGAGGACATAACCATGAGCTTAATTTTTGTAAACATTGAATTCCGACTGGAGCATCTCTGCTAACTCCGCTCATTTTGAAACACTTTAACCACTTTCCTCTCATAAAACAAGTCTATATATAACCACAAATTATGCAAGCACGAAATCACACAAAGATCTAACTCACACTCATTGTTTAGAATGTAAAATCTTTTGTTTTATAACAATAATATTATAAACGGTATTTCACTATTACAATATGTTTTAACATAAAATACTTCTTCTCTAATATAAAAATTATATGTATTACGTGGGTTTCGCTAAGAGATAATTAATTTGTTTCAGCTAAAGCTATTAAATTAATGCAATCGGTAATTATTTGGAGATTTTAGTTCGAATTCGGTTGCGATCTTTTGACACGTCCCCATTTTGAATGTCAAGTGTCAATGTCTCTTTTACGTTCAGTAATCAGTTCCACGAAGTAATGGAACCTATACATATAATAAAATAGTAACTTAGCAAAATCTGTACATGAAATGTTTTTAAAGACAATAACTTTAACGAATTGTTTACGGAATAAATACCCTAAAATAATAGTTATTAAAATTTTCGGTTTATCTGTATGTTTGTATTTCTGGGTGCGTTTCATACAAAAAAGTACTGAACCGATTTTAACTAAATTTTGTTTAGTGATAACTTATTACTCGAAGCAGGATACCTTTACTACAGGAAAATACTTCATTCACGGGAACACACGGGCAAACACTTTAACTGGTTCCATCGAGTCGTCCTTAGAAATTTACATGGCTAACGCTGGCTAAGCCTTAAGAGATACATTAAAACAATGTACTAGAAAACTGTAGGTCTTAGAAAGGACTACATAAAAGACTGCACATGTCTAACTCCTAAAGCGCACTCGCAATAACTGTTTATATCTATTTAAAACGTAGCTATGGACGCACTCGAGAGAAACGAGAGCACGTCGCTGTAATTTACATAAAAAATTACAATTAAAAATATATTTGTAAAAGATAATATTTAATGTATTTCATATTGTAGTAACAATTAATAATTAAATAAAAGACTTAACGTGTGTGGTAAAGGTAAAGAAACCTCAACAACAACGTAGTCGTCGAAACAGCAATAAATGATAAGAAATTCTATATTTATAGATACTGTACTTGCAACTCATCCTTCGCTTCGCTTCAGGTTCGTCCCTTGACAAAAACAAATCTATCCCACGGGAATCGTACATTTTCCGGGATACAAAGTAACATATATACTAATCCAGACTATAATCTATCTCTGTGCCAAATTTCATCCAGATCAGATCAGCCGTTCTGACGTGAAAGTGTAAGAAACATGCATCCATCCTCACAAACTTTCTTATGAGTCGCTAATGTTTCTATAAAATAGTATTGAAAAGACAAAATATAATATATAATAATTTGCTGGAGATAAGAGGAATTTTTTATCCCCAAAGAATCTGCATTGCATTGGGCATTGCTATTGCCCTTGCCATATTTCCACTTCGACCGTACTTGTATAGTGATATTTATTATTTACTAGCGGCTCACTCTGGCTTCGCTCGGGTTTGTCGCTAGGTACGTTTTAAATAGATATAAATAGTTATTAGTCAGCGTTAGCCATATATATATATATATTTTAATAAGGTTGTTAAGTATTCTTAAATAAGTATTCTTAAATTTTATAATTTTCCGCGCAATTTTTTAAATTTTTTCTTTCATAAGAACCTTCTCCTGACAATAACAACTAACAAGAACAACAAAAAAAGTTAAATCGATCCAGCCGTTCACGCGTGGTGGCGTGACCAAGGGAAATAGGGATTCATTTTTATATTACATACATTACATGTCGAACATTATTTTGTATGTACCTATATTAAAATTAAATATAATTTTAGTTTCATTGTATTTTTTACTGCCAGTCGAGAGTTTGACTAGCCTATCATTTTTTTTATCAATTCTCATCTTAATACGTGGTACTTGGTAAGGAACAAAGTTATAAGCAAAATACCTACCTAGTATCTAGTAACCGATTTCGTATCAAGTGAAGGTTAAATAATAATTATATACGACCAACATGTGATTATGGGTAATTTATAGCCCGTGTAATTAAACTTCTTTAGTAGCTTTTAATAACTGCTGTGAGTAAATCTGTGATATAATTAAAGAATATGCTTTATATTGTAAGTAAATAAATTTTTGTTTGCTTTAAAATTGGATAGAATTATTTTAAGCACACAACTTTTGGAGAGTGTGTGAGTCCACTTTCCAAAAGTTGTGCCATGGGTTTCCACGTAAGGGAAGCCCTTGCACTGACGACAGGGATCGTGTTTATATGTGGTAGAGACTAGTGGTCCATAAAGCGTAGCTTTCGCCTTTTCGTTAGATTTTTTTTATTTTGAACACAGCCATTTTGGTGAAGGATCAAACTCGAAAACGATAGGCAAGTGTTGGACAGTTGCAGAAGGATTGGAAGAGTCAAAATAAATGTTGTAACTTTTAGCCTCCGACGTAACTTCTGTCTCTTGACTTTCTTTAAAATAATTTGTTATAAAATAAAAACAAAGCAATCATAAGGACTGCCGACAGAAGTAAAAACTTAAAACTATAAACAAACTGTTGTTATTTCTGGATATTCAAATTAATTGTTTGATCTTAGATTGAATTTTGTAAATTAAAACTGTTTACATTTATCTGGTTCTGACATCTATCGGCACTCTGAGTGTTAGCGTTAACACGTCACGTGACCATGTCGATGACGACTTAGGTACATGAATTTACTCCTCATCCAAACCTGCTTATAGAAGTTTTCACTTCAGTAATACCTAAAATTTATTTTCATGGATGATTTTTGATGATAAGACCAATTATCCCCCCTATTCAAATTATAACCCACTCATTTAGGATCTGGGTCTCATACACCAAACATCACCCGACGGTTATTTGTGCTAATACCTGATACCTTTTCTGTGTACAACGAGGATTACATTAATATCTGGATATACGGAGATATGCGTAAATATCTATCCTCACAATATGGCACTAACTAATTTAAATACTTATATCGCTGAAAATCAAAGTCTGGTTAAATCAACTCAGATCTTGCAGCCCAATCTCAGCATGTGCGATGTGGATATTTCATATAAATAGTTTTATCTTTTGTATTTATTAAATGGATATCAATATATTTTTTTCTAGAAATCATCGCTGGCCGTGTTGTTTACATCTGTAGCACTCGCCAGCATCAGTATAAGACGGGCAGGATGGCTGGATCGCGTTGTGGAGTATCACAAAAAGAGTTTTCTTGAAGATTTAAAAAATCTTCGCGCTGTTAACTTAAAAGGTAATAATACAAGGTATCTTTCGAGGTCTTCTATGGTACGTAATGTTTGAAATAGGTAGGTAGGTAATGTTTCAAAAGTACTAAAAATAAGAATAGATAGGTACAAGGAATATCTCGAAGTTTTTTATCATATAAAATGATCAACATTTTAACAAATGCAATGAAAATATATAAGCAGGTCCAATATGAATAACAATGATAATAAAAATTTACCTAAAAAAGGATTATCATTATACCTACATTTTGTTTCATATTATTATTTCGCTTTTTACACTGCCAGTCTTTTTTTTTTTAATATGTTTACACCAGCAAGAATCGAACGTCCACCACCTGGATATGTAGATTCTAAGGACTGGGATTATGACTCCGTGATCCGTCTCCTGACTCTCATACGGGACAGTGAAGGTGCTAAATCTGTTAGAGTGGCTCTACGCCGCGCCATGAAGTCTAACAGACGGTTTATGAGCGTTGGCATGAGTTTCATAGCTTTTCCTAGTTTGGCAAAGGTATGTTAATTATCGGACTGTAAATGCGAAAGTTTATATGTGCGCGTTTAGATGAAATTTAGTATAGAGATAATAATAAAATGGACCAAGTCTCCAAGAGGTGGCGCTGCTTCTATATAATATTAGGTACTCGTGACTCACCCTCGCTTCACTCGTGTTCGTCCATAGGTTTTCATTTTTTTGAGCGGAACCCTAATTAATTTTCTACAATAAAAGTAGCCTATATTACTCCCTATAACATCAATATTTCAGTGAAAGTCCCGTCAAAATCAGTCCAGCCGTTTCAGAGATTATCCGGAAGAAACAGACAGACAAAAATAAAAAAAAAATGTGTTTTTCTTATAAGTATCGTATATAATTTCATATGCATTTAGTAAAACGCTGTGTTATTTTGACATTACAAACAGACATTTATTGTATGTTGTAAGTATATAAAAAAAATATTGTCTAAACCAGGATAGCGAAAATAACTTTTATTATAATGAGGATATTGGAGAGTTCTACGCGGACATAGAACCTAATATAGTAAAATGGGACTTGGAAAATGATGATATTATACTTGTTCAAAATCCTGTGGAAGCAAAATTGCCGAATGCCAGGATAAGTATTCAATTACTTAGGTATGTATTATATTGATTATTATTTTAACAATTCGACGATTCGACGACACGTTTGGCTCAGTGTGTAGTAACCCTACTTGCTATGCCAGCGGTTGCAGGTTCGAATCCCGCTGGGGACATTCATTTGTGTGATGAGCACGAATGTTTGTACTCCAGTCATGGGTGTTTATATTTATAATATGTATGTATTTAAAGTTATATATGTGTAGTGTATCAACTATCTAGTATCCATAACACAAGCCTCGTAGCTTACCACGGAACTAGAATCTAGATGGTGCTGTGTGTTAATGTCCCAACATATTTATTTATTTTAACAATTGGTATTATAATTTTGGTGGTAGATATTTTAGACAATACTTTTTCTGGTAATTCCCCGACAATGGAGTTGTTAGTCTTGATCGTAACAGTAAAAAAAACCTTTCTTTATTAAAGAATTTTTAAATTACAGGTCGATTTTAGAAAACAGAGCTCTAGTCGCTCGATCTATGCCTACTACGAAAAAAATAATGTAAGGATCACATTTTAAAATTTTAATTTATTACCTACTAGCAGAACCCGCGGCTTCGCTTGCGCTAAAACTACAAAAAAAAATCTCTAAAAAGGTAGTTTCATACAAACTTTCATCCCCTATTTTACCACCATATAGGACGAATTTCCATAAATGCTAATACACGTGTTTATTTTATTTAATCCCTCAACGACCGCGGACACGCCGGCGTTACAGTTAACAATAGATTTCTTAGAAATTTACCTGGAGGGGTTAAGAGCATTAATACCAAGTTTCAAGTAATTCTGATCATAAATATATTTTTGGATTGTAATAAAACGTGTTCTCCAGTAGGATTAGATAATCTCGCGCGGTAAAGTAGCCTATGTCACTCTCCAGCCCTCCAACTATCTCCACAGAAAAAATCACGCCAATCCGTCACTCCGTTTTGACGTGAAAGAAGGACAAACAAACAAACACACTTTCACATTTATAATATTAGTATGGATGTTGTAGCATGATAATTTAATAACATTTTTTTTCCAAAGCCCTTGGTCGCCCATTAGTACAAAATCAACCAGTCTACAAGAATCATCAACGAGTGAAGGTAATTCTTAAATATAAATTGCATTAAACGCCTAAATTATATTTATTTTCTATCATATTTTATTGAGACATTTATAATTTGATTAGTTTTAATTTATTACCTACTAGTAGAACCCGCGGCTTCGCTCGCGCTAAAACTACAAAAAAAATCTCTAAAAAGGTAGTTTCATAAACACGAAAAAAAAAACAATCAATCAGAATCGGATTAGTATTTTCAGACTTATCAAATTTACACAAAGAATATTGAACACATTTAGAAACTTAACCTCTTTACTATTACATAGTTTTTTCCATTAGTCTGTAGTACTTACTCCCTTTGGAGTTAAAAAAAAGCCAATAAAAATACTTAATCTGTTTTTTTTAGCGGACCTGAACAACAGGGTACAAGAAACAACAATTCAAGGTCCTTCCGGTAACAGTACCAACTCCTCAATAACAACTGTTGCCGGATAAAATAATCAAAATATCAATTTGGGCATGACAATAAATTAATAACACAAATATTTGTTTTTTTTTTTAATTATACGTATAGTAATATTTTTAAGGCAGTGGTAACCCAGTGGTAACGTGCTCGCTTGGGAAATCGAGTGAAGAGGGTTCAAATCCCGGGTCTCGCACCTCTGATATTTTCATGTGCGAATCATTTCTAACAGGACTACCACTTGTCTTGTGATGAAGGAAAACATCGTGAGGAAACCTGCATGTCTGAGAGAACCTAGGAGTTTTCAAAAGACATGTAAAGTCCGCCAACCTGACCGTGACTCCCACGTATTGAAGGAAGGCCTACTTCCAGCAGTGGGGCGTTAAAAGGGGCTGAATGCAATGCAATATTATACTGTAATCTTAGATTTATTAGTATAAATTTCAAGACTGGGGGATGGTATCGTATGTTCGTGCTGGTTTCCACAACTCGAAGACTGCACCTATTTTGCGTGTAAGAGTGGGGGATGCGGTGAGGGGTGATTAAAATCAAACCACAAATAAATTAATATATTTATTACTATACAGTTTACCCTTATATATATATGATTAGGGGCTGTGTTAGATATCTGTAAACATACTGACAGATGAAGTGTAATTGGGAAGTAGGTGGAGGCTAATTGCACGGCTATACCTAGGCCTGGGGGGAGGGGGGGGGATGTCTACGGCTACGTCTAGGCCTGGGGGGTGCTCGGAGGCCAGTCCAGGTGCACGGCGGCCACGTCCAGCGCCAGCAGGTCGACCCTGGCGCCGAGGCCGGCCGCCAGCGCCGGCGCGCTGCGCCCGCACTCGCCGTGCGCCCACTCCTTCACGTACGTGCCCGCTGTTGTTGTCACACGGATCTTGAACAGTTGGGGATACTCTGTGGAGTAAATTTTGTTTGTAGAAATAATAAATAGATGGCAACACCGATCGATAGTGGTAACACTAGCGAGCGTTGTTTATTTATTTTATTAAGAAAACCAACAAAAGTTACATTAATACATTCGTGATTACATTTACAAATCAAAGATAAATGAATTTTTTCCAGCAGGTTGCAATAAATTAAAAACAAAATATCATTAGTTCCTAAAATATGTCATTAAATTAATATAAATAAGTCATATCGAGGTCAAAAAAGTGATTGTTGGTGACAGTTGAGCGGCCATCTTTGTGGTTTTATGGTCACGGAGTGACAAGGTCTTACACATCTCAACGGTCATTATAATATAATAGTTACAAACGGTTCTTACCCACAAATTTATGCAATGATTTTAAGAAATACAAAAATAGCAAAATATTTAATAATTTTAAAGTTAATATACATCTGCAAAAAAATCCAAAAATATAGTTTTATTTTTAAATATCAAATATTCGTGTAAATCTAAGAAAGTATTGAGTAAACACCGATCATTTCACTTTACCTGGTATCATTTCACCGGTAAGTTCCAATATCTCCCGAGTGCGGGTAAGCAACGGTCGCCGGTGCAACACTCGGATGGGTGTGCGTTGTTGAATGACGGCATACTTTTGTGTGTATGTATTTATCGCTTCTATGTCTTTTTCAGTAACTCGAATTGGCGAGTTTGGGGATACCTGGGAAATATAATGTTTTTTGATATTTTAATTTAGCTGACTGTCTCGGTGGTGTAGTGGCTAGATAGTACGGCTGTATATCTACAGGTCCTGGGTTCGAGTCCCGGGTCGGGCCAAGTTTAGTTATTGAGTCTTTCTGTTTAGTAAGCCTCAGTAACAGCCCGGAGTTGGGAACTTGGCGGTGTCACACCCCCGTGCCTCGGATTTTTAAACTTTGTATCAATATTATCATGAATAAACCCTACAATTATCCTACTTCTAAAATTCTAAATTTGTGTCATTATCTTTTACTTCTACGTCCACATGAAGATCACACACACATCTTTAGAAATGTACTTATGTATTTAAAAAGAAAAGGTTTTATTTAAGTACATATAGTGGGTTTAGTTAGTAAATAGCCTTAAATTTTGTTATTATATAATTTGGTATATTTTTTTGTTATTAATTAAATTTTCATTTTGAAAGTTATTTAAAAATCAAACACTCACATCGTCATGTTTAGAATGCGATAATTTAATACATATCGCGTCGTACGTTTTGCTTTTTGTTTCTTCACCCTTCTTCAATTGTACCAAATCTTCTCTGAAACAAACAAAAAAATAAAAAAAAATAAAAATAATCCCAATAATCCCAAGAATAAACATCCCGCGGGATCTTAAAAAGAAATACGAATTTTAGGAGCTTTTTGGCAGTTTTTAGGATAATAAATACCGTTTAATGTTGATCAAACGTTTGACGATGACGTCACCGCTCTTATTGATCTCCTCACACACGCGCGACAGGTCCGCCTCTGTTAACTGTCGTATTGGATCTGTTATCTGGAAACAAACACACATACAATACTTTCTTAGATTTACGCGAATATTCGACATTTTTAAAGAAAACTGTTTTCGGATTTTTTCGCGGATTTATTTTGATTTTTGGTTCCCGACGTTTCGAATGCTTTACAGCAATCATGGTCGCCGGAGACTAAGGTTTTAGACGTCTCAAAGGCATTACATAGTTGTTACAGAAAGTCTATCCACAATTTTACAAAATTATTTCAAAAAATTCAAAAACGGGCACCTCTATATCTTAGAATATTCGTTAATTTTAATTTAAATAATATTAATTTAATAAGTGTTTTAATTGAGTTTGGGAAAAAATCCGAAAAGATATTTTTATTTAAAACACATATATATCATTTTGTTAAGACTAATTATCCCACTGTTGGGCGTGGGCCTAGTTCAACACGAGGGGAATCAGACCTTCTACCAAGCTGGACAAGTGCGGTTCTAAACTAGTCAAGTTCTCTCAGACATATGTACATAATATCAGAATATCAGAAATGCCAGACCCGGGATTTGAACCCGCTTCACTTAGATACCACTGAAAATTACCTATTTTTTTAAATAAAGGAACAATTCCTTTGAATAATACTTTTCATCCATATCCCATGCATTTATCTCATCCTGTATAAGTCCTACCTCAATAGCAAACGGCCTGCCCTCCCCCAAGCATCGAACGTCGACATCTTCTCGACCGGCGGCTATTATTTTTAATTTACGGTCCGCTTCTTCTTCGTTGAGTCTGAAAAATTACTTTTAATCAAAAAAGGTACTTCAATTCCAAATTCATTTTAAAATAAATAAATATGTTGGGACACTAACACACAGCGCCATCTAGGTAGTTCCATGGTAAGCTACGAGGCTTGTGTTATGAATACCGGTTAGTTGATACATACATATTATAAATACTTATATATAGATAATTTTAAAAATACTTAGGAATGGAAATTTCTATTGAAAACTGAACCCTCTCTTAAAATATAACCTGCTAGTGATTTATCCCAACTCTCACAAAAGATATAGACGGAGTCCACCAAAACAATGTCGGAATCCAAAAATATTAACGTAATTTGCTGTTTATGCTATTAATCTCGATTATGCCATAAGAGTCGTTAATTTTATTCAGTTCAAACCTAGGAACCTTCAAAGATAATAATGTAATATTGTAATATTTTTGTTTGTCCGTTTGTTTGTTTATTTTGGTTAATCTCCGAAACGGCTGCATTGATTTTGACGGGACTTTCACTGGCAGATAGTTGATATTATATGGTTTTATTTTAGAAAAAGTATTAGGGTTTGGTTAAAAAAAAACAGAAAAAAAAATTTGAACGAGCGAACCGAGGGTGAAGTCACCAGTATCTAAATAAATATGTTTTTAATTTCTTTTAATTTTTTTGTGCAAGTAGTACATACTTGAACAAATCTGCCAGAGGTTTGTAGATTATTTCTTGCACGGAAGATGGTAGAACTCTCTTCCCATCTAAGATCCACGGGGACTGTGGGAGATTGCGACTTAGTTTTATGTATCTGAAAATATTAATATTATTAATTAGCAAAGCAAAATTAATTTCTATCGGTAAATTAAAAATACACTTAAACTGCTAAACTAATTTTGTATGCAAGGTGTCTTACCTAGCGAGGGAAATAGGTCTAAACTACTATAATATTATTAAGAGTTAAAGTTTGTGAGTTTGTAGGGGGTAATTTCTGGATCTACTGAACCGATTTAGATGAAATTTGGTAAGAAGATAGTTTGAGACCCTGGGAAGAACATAGGATGCTCTTTATTTCAGAAATCATCCCTTAAGGGGATGAAAATTGGGGATGAAAGTTTGTATTGGGAAGCAAGCTAGGTACGAACTCTGCATCGCTAGTTTATAAGTAAGAAATCCTGAAAACAACTATCATTAGTTCCCAAATCTCCCCCCAGTGTGCACCGACCTGCCCGCCACGTACACGGGCGCGTGCGCGCAGGCCACGCCCGCGGGGCGCGCGCGCGCCGCCGCCGCCGCCAGCCCGCCGCCCGCCGCCAGCAGCGCGGGGAGGGTGGCCCTCTCTAGTGCCTGGGGGAGTAAATGTCATTTTGAAAAATATCCAGCCCCTTTCCAACGTCCCACAGCTGGGCGTGGGCCCCCCTTCAATACGAGAGGGTTAGGATAATTCACCACGCCGGCCAAGTGCGGGCGGACTGAGCATGTCTGCAGACAACTTGCTAGGTTCTCTCAGATATGCAGGTTTCTTTTCCGTTCACCGTAATACAAGTGGTGATCATGTTGGAAATGATTAGCAAATAAAAATATGTAGAGGGGTTATGGTCTTTATCACCTGGGTAATAAGTGTCATTTTGAAGAATATTTTTTCTTTAAGGGCAGAATGGTTATAAGTTTGCCTAAAAGCGACTTACAGTCCTTAGTTGCCTTAGTAGCTTATATGATATTTTAATTTACAGCGTATCTGTATACTTTTCATCCGAATCCGTCCAGCCATTTTAGCGTGTAGGAGAAACAAACATACAAACAAACAAACAATCATATTATTAATAACCATAGACCGATAAAATTAAACTGTGTAGATAAAAAAAATACCTGTTCAACTGATCTCCGCGTGAATTCTGTGACGAAACGTCGTTTTTGTTTACTTCTCTCTTCAAATAACTGGGGTGACACATTTTTTAAAATCTCCAGTTCCTTAAAAAGTAAAAAAAAACATACAGAATAAAATAGAACACAAGATATGAGAACACCTCATATTCTTCGAACGTCACTAGTAGCACTAGTAAATATAATAAATAAATAATAAATATATTGGGACATTAACACATAGCACCACCTAGTTCCATGGTATGCTACAAGGCTTGTGTTATGGATACCAGATAGTTAATACACTACACATATATAACTTTGAATATATACATATTATAAATATAAACATCCATGACTGGAGCACAAGCATTCGTGCTCATCACACAAATGAATGCCCCAGCGGGACTCGAACCCGCGACCGCTGGCACAGCAAGTAAGATCACTACAAACTGAGCCAAACGTGTCTAGGTCACAATAAAACCAAAGGCTTCCACTTTCATTTTGGATTGACAAACATGAAAAATGATTCTATATAATACGGAATAAGCTTGATTAAAATAAATTCCCAGCTCTAAAAAACTAAAATTTAGTTGTTTTTTTTAAGATCATACTGATACGGATATTTTAAACACCCGCCATTTGGCGCGCTCGGCGTGACGTCACAGTATGAAACAGAAAAATTACGAATTTAGTTTGTAGCGACCAAATCGCTAATCGCTCTGTTATTATAATACTCTGACGTCATATTCGGTCTGACCAATGGCGTGAGTTTCAACTACTTTGAATTTCCCACCTATATTGGCGCTTTTTAATAATTATTTTCTTAATGAAAAAGAATTTACATTAAAAAATATTGACATAGGCTTAATTCAAAAGCACAAAATATAAATTGCACCTTTATTTAAATCACACGCATATTGCCTAATCCCTATTCAAATCTATACATATAATAAAATTGTAACTAAGTCGAATCTGCACATTAATACTTTTTTTGGAAAATCTAATTGAAATAGACATTATTATCGATACAGAGTCCGAATCTATAGTTTTTAGAATTTTTATCTGTCTGTCTGTTACTAAAAATCACTGGACAGATTTTGATATGATGAAATGAATTTGGTATGATGATAGCTGGTTATCCGGGTCAACATATAGGATACTTTTTACCGCGGAAAAATATCTCATTTCTGAGAAAAAATAAAAAAAACTACATTGTAAGAGTATACTAATATGTAAAACCTAAGAATTTGGTTTTTGGTCATATGAACGCGGGCGGAGCCGCGGGCAATGCTAGTGGACCATATTATGATAGCATGACTTAATTCACGACTAGCGCCATCTATTACCTCAAAACAACAAACATAAAAACTAAACATTATATTTAAGCAAAGAAAGTGCTTTAACATGATTATATAAAAAATGATAAAACCACTCAAAAAAAGCCATCGGGAAAACTTGGTTCGAAAACCATTGTAATATTTTACTAAGGGACATTAATTTATTAATATTATATGTGATGTCCGTATATCGATATAATGTTTAAATTACTAATAATTATGTTATCTTTTATGTTATTGGCCAAGGTACGATATACATGTGTACAAGTATAAAAAAAACTGTACTTATAATTTTTATTCTGTGCAGAATAATTTCATAAGGATAACTTACTTGTAAATCATCTTGGTAATCCATATTAACAGTTATAAGTAATGGTGATATCGCCCCAGAGTCCAACGTTCTGTTTATGTGCGTACTGAGTTTGTTCCCAAAAGACCATTTCCATGCTTCCTTCAAAGCTGTTATAGTTTCTACAAAAATAAAATAATACTATAACGATACCGATTATTAACATTTTTCATTGATTATCTTTATATATATAATTCTTCTGTGAGTGTGTATGTCACTGAACTTCTCTCAAACGACTGGACCGATTTTGATGAAATTTTTTGTGTGTTCAAGGGGATCTGGGAATGGTTTAGATTCACAATTTGAATAATAATTTTCATCAAAAAAATTATTAAAAAAAGTTTGAAAATTTTCAAATTAAAGACGTGTAGACAGGACAACGTCTGTCGGGTCCGCTAGTATATAATGGACTAGTGACTCTGGTTGCTGTTGCAGTTGCTTCCCCAAAAAAACTATTGTGTCCTTCCAGGGTCTAAAACTATCTTCTTAACAAATTTCATCTAAATCGGTTCTGTAGTTTCGGAGCTTATTTGAACAAACAAAAAGAAAAAAAAATCGTCTTTATAATATTAGTATAGATCCAAAACCATTTTCCACATATTTTTCTTAAAGAGGCACTTAATGTTATATCAAACATACATTAAAATGTACTGAAATACCAATCTTTCCAAAAAATATTAGTAACTCAGCAGTAGGAGAACTCGTAACATCTAAACTAAATCTACTGAATGCATAAAAAACAGTTGTTTATTTTGAAATAATTTCTTTTAGATGCATTAACAGAACCCCCTATTTCCAACTGGGTAAAAAAACATCAAGGATACGAGATACTCACTAGGGTCATATCCAGGGAATTTATCAACAAGTCTTAATGTGATGGCTCTCTCTCGTAGTAATGTCGCTATTGGAGCTGACAAAGCACATGCAAATGTTGAGCTTTCATAGCTGGAAATAAAGTTATAAATAAACATGGTAGGTGTATTCAAAATTTTAATAAATAATTTCAATTTGATTAAATTTTATTTATTTTTTTATAAATAAATATGTTGGGACATTAACACACAGCACCATCTAGTTCTATGGTAAGCTACGAGGCTTGTGTTATGGATACCAGATAGTTGATACACTACACAAATATAACTTTAGATATATTTAACATACATTATAAATATAAACACCCATGACTGGAATACAAACATTCACGCTCATCACACAAATGAATGTCCCCAGTGGGACTCGAACCCACAACCACTGACATAGCAAGTAGGCTCACTACAAACTGAGCCAGAGCTATAATTCTCTTGTTAATTACTTAAAAACAAGCCAGTTAAGCATAGATTACTTTGTCAATGTCACTTAGTATGGAGAAGACTTTAAATAGTTTCTGTTCATAGTTTCACTAGCATGATGGGTATTTTGGTAAAAATAATCCATACTACACTCAAATCTGTTCAGCAATCATGGCCTGTCCAAACATAATATATAATGCAGAAACTTTTGAATTTAATAATACTGCTATGATTATTTTATATTCTTTATTGAAGTAAGTGTAAATAAGCATAATAATGACATTTTTACTTAAAACAAAAGAAATATAGTCATTTGTTATTCCTTTGTGTCTTCTCTGTTCTAACTGACATTGACGACATAATCTGTGCTCAACTGGCACGCTTTGACGCTATTAGCAAGAAAATTGAATCAAATTCATATCTTATGATATACATAAAAATTTTTTTACTAAAAGCGCCACTAAATGTAACATTTCATTAATGTTCATATAAAGTCATACTGACACATTTTGACCACATAATTTACTTTAAAAGAAATTTAATATCCATACCCTTTTTTATCCAATACTTCCTTCACCATATCATAACTTTCCTGCCACCTTTCTTCTTCCAGCACACCTATACAACTCGAGCATATATTGACTTTACGTTTTTTAAGTGGTGGGGATAAATCATTATTTGAAATACCATTTATGTCAACATTATTATCATGGATATAACCATTCAATGTTTGATTATCTTTTTCACTTTTAATGCTACTTGTTTCTAAATCTTCTTTAGCAACATCTGTAGATGACTCTGTCGCGTCTTCAGGTGTTGATTCAGATTTTGTTTGCTCTTGATACTAGAAAAATTATTACACTGTGTTAATTCATATAACGTTTAATAATAATGTTTATGAAATTGATATAAATGAAGCGAAAATATTGCCATTATAAAGTAGTGTTGGGCCAATGAATTAAAATTAGAATTAAAATAGAAAAGTAATTTTCTGCATGAATTTATTCAAGTAATCTTATCTTAAATTATTCAATTAATAACAATAACATTATACATACTTTAGTAACATAAACTTTGTAATTCTCATATGCACTAGGATGTTTAACACCCATATATCTGACACAACATATATCACAACAACCGAGTGTTTTACAAAATTTATATATTGCTTTTGGTTCCATGATTAAAACTACTTATAAAATTAATCTTTAAAATAGCGTGGCGGTGATTTCCACCAAAACATTAAGCATTAATTCTTGACATTTGTCATATTGAAAAAAAAAATGCGTTACATGAAACAGATAATTCATTGATTATGCAACTTTTTTATTATTTCAAAATTAGTTATTTACAAATTAATTTACAAAATTTATTATTGTACTGTCTGGTTATTTAAAAAGAATTTAAAATATTTTCTTTAAATAAATATATAATAAAAACAAACGTATAACGTAACGCAAACTGAAGATTTGCCATTCTAAAAAATAATCAGCTGATCAAAAAAACAATAAAAATCACATTTAACATTTAACAAAGTATGAACTACCGAAATCTGAATATACAGAAATAACTCGTTTTCATTGAAGTAAATAATATCTTATATTATATTAGTCTTGTCACTTTTATTTTATTAGATATTATAATAAAAGTCTACAAAATGTTTGACTTCTCTAATCTCTTCACTCTTCAGTATTGCCGCGTTATTATCCGACCCAGGGATCGCTCGCCGTCAAATCTGTGTATTTATGTAATTATAAATAGAAAAATTCTAAATTATCATTAAAAACACTTTTTGTAGCATATTTTTATTTATTATTAACCGTTTTCTATACAAAATGGGCACAGTCCATGCCAAGGTACGAAAATTATAACTTATACTTTTTAATACTAGTTTAAATAAAAACAGGTTATGTGTTCGAAGATTATTTAATAAAAATTGTTTGTTTACAATCTTGCTTTGATGAATTTTAATCTACCTATTGCTTTCTTCAAATATTATTTAATATACGATTTGATATAATGAATATTCTAATTTTTCTGTACCTAGTTACTGAAAATAAATTTGATGAAAACTAAAATAATGTAAAGAAAGTACCAAAATTATATGATATATTATGTTTATTTCAGGCTGAAAATAACGATAAGAGTTCTGCAAGTGGCCTTTTTGAATTTGACGAGCCTGTAAACATAGAGGAGCCCATACCTAAGCCAAATATAAAGTTAAATGGAGTTAGAGTGAGTATCATGTCTGATTTTTTTTAAGTAAGAATAATAACTTACCAAAGCATTACCTACCAAGTTATCATGTGGAGTCAAGTTGAACTGGCGAAAACGAGATTCATATACACAAATTGTACTCCTCATAATATAAAGACAAATACTCAGATTACTACACCAAATGTTGATTAATTGGTTTTTGCTTATATTTTATGAATTTACTATGTTACATTAACTGTGATATAAACTCAGGATTTTTCCTATTTCTCGCTAGTATATTTTAAGACAGTAGTGGCTAGTTACATTTAGTTGATATATCCCCAATGCATGCAAATACCTTAACATATCAGTATAAAAATAGTGTAGTATCCAAAGCATATTTCTAGCCAAGGAAAAATCAACATCAAAGCAAGACAATCTGTTTTTGTATTTAAGAAGGATCAAGGATAGATGATATTTTCCCCTCGGAGATCATTCACCAAAGGCATGCTACGAGCTGTCCGGGCTTATATCGCTCACGCTTTCGTCTCAACTCTGTCTTTTTCAACATTTTTGAAGTTATATTTCTTTCGGTACGTTTGGAAAAAGATATGAAAGTAAAATTTTTACAATACGCACTCACACCGACAGCCAAAAAGCGACATGATGAAGTTAGCTGTATTCCTTTTACAAACAGACAGTTGTGACAAACGGGATGAAATCTTTAGCTATTTTTGTACTGTTACGCCAAAGAAGTATAACTAAGTACCTACACACACAGTTTTGTTTTAATATTTAATTTTTATATATTTTATCAGGCGCGTGTCGACCGCGTGCACGTAGACGGCCTAAGCAGAACTAAAGACGATATAATTCGCAGCACTGTCGACGATCTCTTTCACGCTACCGACTTTGAAGATGTTATATTGAGGGCACATAAGGTGAGTAATGTCTATAATTAGTACTCTTTTTCGGTTATTTTCGCGGTTTTATTTTAATATTTTTTTAACGTTCCGAATGCTTCACAGCAATCATGCTCATAGCAGTAATCATAAATCCGAAAATCAAGACGTCGGGAATAAGAAATCCATTTTAAACTACCACAAAATCCGATAAATTTTTTTTTCAAGAAGTTTAATTTAAATGAAATATAAGCTTGACGTTTTCTCAGAAAAGACACCTATATGACATTTATAACAAAAATTCAAAACCTTATCTAAATACAAAATGTGATCCAAATCGCTAGAGACGTTTCCGAGATATGCAAAATAAATTTATATACATATATATAAAAGAATTGGTCATTTAATGTTATAAGATAAGATACATCTTTATATATTAAGAATGTCACCGAATTCCTCCTAAACTTCTGGACCGATTTTGATGAAATTTCTTGTGTCTCATAGTATATATAACAATAAAACAGTTAACATCAATTATGCCACCCAAAAAAAGAGTCGACTTTCGGATAAAACCAGGTCTGTTAGGTCCACTAGTTATATATTATGAGATACATTATATAAAAGGTAGTGGTAGCCCAGTGGTAACGCGCTCGCTTGAGAAGCCAAATGAAGTGGGTTCGAATCCCGAGTGTCGCACCTCTGATATTCTCATGTGCGAATCATTTCCAACATGATCACCACTTTTCTTACGGTGAAGGAAAACATGGTTAGGAAACCTGCGTGGCTGAGAGAACCTAGCAAGGCCCGCGTGGTGGACTGTGGCCTGATCATAATGGAGGCCCCTGCCCAGCAGTGGGACTTTAAAAAAGGGCTGAATACACATTAAACATGATATTTATTTATAGGTGCGACGCGCTCTAGACTCCATGGGTTGTTTCAAGGACATTGGTGTTTTGATTGATGTGTCCAATGGTCCTGGGTCGACTCCTGAAGGGTTGGAGGTAATTTAATACAGGCAAAGTCGCGTTTATTAACTAGTTTTTACACACGGTTTTGTCTGTATGAAGAGTGTTATAAGTATTATAGAGACGCATATAAATCTTTACAGTTAAATAAAATTGAAGTGTCTCTTTGTAATGTCGAAATAACAGCTTTTTATTCATTTAGTATATGAAATTTTATATGGTACTTATAAGAAAAACACAATTTTGAATTTTTTTGTATGTATGGTTGTTTGTTCCGGCTTATCTGCGAAACGGTTGGACCGATTTTGATGGGACTTTCACTGGCAGATAGCTGATGTTATAAGGAGTAACTTAGGCTACTTTTATTTTAGAAAATGAATTAGGATGCCGCAAAAAATTAAAATGCATGAAATTGTGAACAAAATCTTATCTTTATACCTATGTAAAGCGAGGGTAAGTAGCTTGTTTATAATATTACTAGCGACTCACCCTCGTTTCGCTCGGGTTCGTCCCTAGGTTGATTCCCCATACAAACTCTCATCCCCATTATCACCTCCTTAAGGGATGATCTCCGGGATAAAAAGTATCCTTTGTCCTTCCCAGGGTCTCAAATTATCTTCTTACCAAATTTTATCGGTTCAGTAGATACAGAGATTACCTACAACGTCACAAACTCACAAACTTTACCCCTTTATAATATTAGTATAGATTATACAGGAAGCACAATCTTAATGCAAATTTGTTTACTAACAGTAGCATGTGTTACTCCAGGTTATATGTATTAAATTTCATCCAAATCTATCGAACTGTGTGTGAAGTGACAAACATACATACACTTGTATTTATATATACATAGCTGATGCTTGTGTGATTTTCAACAGGTGACATTTCAAGTGAAAGAATTGTCTCGTATCGTCGGCGGCATCAACACCACTGTTAGCGAAAATGAAGGAAATCTGGTTGTAGGTAAGTTATGGGGGGAGTAGGTCGACTTAAGGCCTCATTTTTGCCACAGAATAATGAAAAAAATGTCTTACGGTTTGATTTCTTCTTTACATATTCTAAAAGTATATTGTGTGCTTGATAAGGTTATATAAATAAATAATAAATATGTTGGTACATTAACACACAGCAACATCTAATCCATGGTAAGCTACGCTGGTGTTATGGATACCAGATAGTTGATACACTACACATATGTAACTTTAAATACATACATATTATAATTATAAACACCCATAACTGGAGTACAAACATTCGTGCTCATCACAATGAATGTCCCCAGCGGGACTCGAACCCGCGACCGCTGGCACAGTATACAGTAGAGTTACTACAAACTGAGTCAAAATATTTGATGACAAATATTTATGAGAGAAAAAAACTACAATTAATACTACTTGTGATTTCTAACTTTAGTCTAACTGGGATTTTCATTCAAAATGAGACATTTTCAGTAAGACAACTTTTTTTATATGGTCTACTTTCAAGAATATGTAAAAAAAACAAATCCTATGACATTTTTTTTTTCATTATTTAGGAATGAAAATGTGGCCTTATCGATATTCTTCCTTTAAAATGTAAAAAGTGACGATTCAAAAGTGCTTTTAAAAGTCTATTTGAACAGGGGCGGATCTATACATAGACTTTTTGGTCTGCAGCCCAGGGCCCCCTAAGATATAGCGGGCCCCCTGTTGAGAACAATGAATATTGTTGTGAATTTATAAAATAAAAAACTATCTAAAATAATAAAAATTAAGGCTCTAGGATGAATTAAGCGCGAAACAATAGCATTATTTTAATTTTATCTAGTCATATCTATTACTAGCATTGCCCGCGGCTCTGCCCGCGTTCAGATGACCGAAAAGTGAAAACCAAATTCTTAGGTTTTACATATTGGTATACTCTTACAATGCAGTTTTTGTATTTTTTCTCAGAAATTGAATTTTTTAAAAGTATCCTATATGTTGACCCGGATAACCAACTGTCATCATACCAAATTTCATCCAAATCTGTCCAGAGGCTTTCTCGTGATGTGGTAACAGACAGACAGACAGACAAAAATTCTAAAAACTATATATTTGGATTCTGTATTGATAATAATGTCTATTTCAATTAGATTTTCCAAAAAATATTTGATGTACAGATTCGACTTAGTTACAATTTTATTATATGTATAGGTTATAGATTTCATAAAGACAAAATGACAGTTAAGGCCTGCCCCCAAGAACTGTTAGCCCGGGGCCCCTCAAATTCACAATCCGCCCCCTGTATTTGAATGTAGTATATCTATACTAATATTATAAAGAAGTAAAGTTTGTGAGTTCGTGAATTGTGAGTTTGTGACGTTGTAGGGGATAATTTCTGCATCTACTGAACCGATTTAGATGAAAATTGGTAAAAAGATAATTTGAGACCCTGGGAAGGACATACGATAATTTTTTCCCGGAAATTATCTCTTAAGTGGGCGAAAATGGGGATGAAAATTTGTATAGGGAATGAAGCTAGGGACGAAGTGACTCGCTAGTGTAGTATATCTTGATTTGCCGTGTCCGGCTCCGGGCAGGCGTGAAGCTGCCCAACGTGGCGGGGCGCGGCGAGCGCGTGGCGGCGGAGTACAGCGTGGGCCACCGCAGCACCTCCAACTGCAGCGTGGCCGCCACCAAGCCCTGCCCGCGCGCCCCGCTCGCGCCCGTGTCAGTATGCACACGCACGCACACACGCACACACACACACACGCCCGCACACACGCACGCGCGCACGCACACACACACACACACACGCGCGCGCGCGCGCATACACGCACGCACACGCACACACGCACGCACACACACACGCACGCACACCCACACGCACACGCACGCACACGCACACATACGCACACACACGCACGCGCGCACATACACACGCACACACACACACACGCGCACACACACACACACACACACACACACACACACACACACACACACACACACACACACACACACACACACACACACATAAATATATATACGTAAAAGACATCTATTCCATATAGGTACCTTTCACCAGAATAAAATTTGCTTACAATCTTTTTGCTCACTTTAACCATGTAGATTTTATGAACTGTTCTGTTATAAATTTCAAGAAATCAATTATTCAACAATTTTCACAATATTTTCATATACTTTAAATTGTGTTTATAGTATATTTATATGTGTATATGTTTGTGTCAACTTTTTGCTTAATTTAGTCTAATATTTTCTACTCTAATTATGTATTTCTTATTTGTGGTAACTTTATTGGTAAATGTGTGTAATTTTTTATTTTAAGTTGTATGTTCTGTAATACTGTTTGTTTACCTAAAATAAAAAATTAATTAAAAATAAAATAAAATACATACATATACAAACAGATATATACACATCAGGGTGGAATATTCTCAATTAAGTCACTTTTAGTTCTTAAACAAAAAAAACCTTTCACAGGTAGATAGCTGATGCTATAAGTAGTAACTTAGGCTACTTTTATTTTAGAAAAAACAATTAGGGTTCCGCGCAAAAAAATAAAACGTACCTAGAGCACACGACCGGAGTTTAAATAAATAAAATAAAAAAACGTGTGTACGCACGTAAGAAGTTATACTTCTTTGGCGTAACAGAACAAATATAGCTAAAGATTTCATCCCGTATGTCACAACTCTCTGTTTGTGAAAGGAATGCAGCTAACTTCATCATGTCGCTTTTTGGCTGTCTGTGTGCGCGAGCATCGTAAAAATTTGACTCTCATATTTTTTTTCAAACGTGCCTAAAGAAGTATAACTTCAAAATAATAGTATTCTGAATATTCTCTAACAGAATATCAGCGACGGTGTACCAACAAAACCACGAGTATCCGTGGTCCGGATACAAACTGTTGGACCGAGGTGTTCTACTCGATATCGCGTTTCGGACTTCACCTGTGGTACGTATGCGTGTAATGGTGTCAACTGTTCATATGTAATACATACATATGGACAGTTGACACCAGGAACTTCTGTAAGAAAATACTTGTTATAGTCTTGAAAACTCGATTATTTGTCTATTATGTGTGAAATTAGATTTTTAGTTGCTTGGAATCAATAAAATCAATTGATTCGGAGAAGTGACGTCACAGGTTGCTATTACCATCGACGATTTATATCGATGTTTTCGGTGAGAAATCGATGTTAAATAGGTATACATTGCCAATATAAATATATTAAGGAAGAAACTGAGAACTTCTGGATGGAAAATTCCAATAATAATAAATAATAAATTCTACTCGAGACTCGAACCTAACCAAACCTCGAACCAAAGATCTAAGCGGCTACATATGTACCGGACCTATTATGGTTATTCTACATGCTGTTTTATTCTGCCAGAGCAGATGGCAGATGTTGCTTATCCTTCAAATTATTGTTTAAAAAGAATATATGCAGTAAAATGTCAAATGTTAAAAGGTTTTGTGCCTGTTTTCATTAATTGGTTCAAAATTAATGTCAAAATTTGTTAATCTGTAATATTTCATACAATTTCAGACTAAACACAATCTCCAATGGGAGGGTCTGGTTCGGGATACTTCGGTTCTTAGTAAAACTACTAGTTTCAAAGTGCGCGAGAGCAGTGGTGAGTTGTTTTTTAATTTTAATGTTTTGAACTCAAGGCTTTTTATCTGATGTATTAAAAAAAAACAAAAAATATTTTATGTAATGGAATGGGATATATAAATTTTTGTTTTGAATTTTTTTGTATATATACAATTGAAAACGGTTAAATGAATTTCAATAGGGGCTTTTTTTATTGAACAGATAATCGTTCAAATTTAGTATATTTATCAAGTATTAAAAAAACTAAACATTATTAATACAAAATAAATTTTTAAGTAAATAAAATCATTCTCACTATTCATCTTATTTTAACATTTTGCCGAAGGTCCACAAATGAAGTCCGTCATCCGTCACATAGTAACAGTGGACCACCGTGACGACGCCATTTTCCCCACGCGTGGGACGTGGGTCCAGTTCAGTAGTGAGCTAGCGGGGCTAGGGGGTGGGATTGCCAACATCAAAACCGAGTTACAGGCGCAAGCTAACAAGGAGATTGGACCGGATACTGTGAGTTTTTTAGGAGATTCCCCAATTTCCCGATGAGGATGTCTAGGTTCAAGCCCAACGCGTGGGATGTGGGTTTAGTTCCTAGTGAGTTAGCTAGGCTAGGGAGTAGGGCTGGGGCTAACATTAAATAAATATGTTGGGACATTAACACACAGCACCATCTAGTTCCATGGTAAGCTACGAGGCTTGTGTTATGGATACCAGACAGTTGATACACTACACATATATAACTTTAAATACATACATATTATAAATATAAACACCCATGACTGAAGTACGCACATTCGTGCTCATCACACAAATGAATGCCCCCAGCGGGACTCGAACTTGCGACCGCTGGCACACCAAGTAGGGTCACTACAAACTGAGCCAAACGTGTCGTCATTAAAAGTGAATTGCAGACGCAGACAAACAAAAACATTGAATCGGTTAATATGAATGCCTAGGTTTATTTTCTTTGGAGTTATTTGAGTTCATTAAAATGAGGTGGCGTTTAAATTTAGAAAATTTAAAAAAGAAAATGTATATTGGATGGTATACAGCGATCATGTCGTGTCTCTTCCGTGACTATGATTGTTGTAAATTAAAAATAAAACCGCGAAAAAGATCGTAATGGATATTTTTATTTTAAAACTAGCGATTCACCCTCGATTTGCTCGGCTTCGTCTCTAGGTGATTTTTTAAATTGACATAACTTTTTTATTTATGAATTAAATTATTTTTTTGTTGAAATAAAACAAATATTAAATGTTTAGTGAAGCTTACCACAATATATTAGTAAAAAAATTGGTTAATCTGTTTCAAACACAAACAACAAAAAAATCGACACACAGGCAAAAATTCTGAACATCATTGTTTTGGGTTCTCTTGCGTTAACAAAGACCCCCAATAGTAATTCTTATCAAAATACTTTCTATGTACAAACAGCGATCAGTGACATTTTAATTATATGTATATATAAATAGTTCCTGGGTCACCGAACTTCGCTCGGTTTTTTTGGCCTAAAGTACAATTTTCTTTTTCTTTAAAAAAACTAAAAACTTGAATACATATTAAAAAAACAAAAGAGAAAGAAAGAAAAACTTTGTATGCGACCGAGATTCGAACCTGGATACCTGTGATTGTTTATCTTGCACCTGGGCCGCTTGACTACGATGCTTATGCCCGAGCGTGTAAATTACCGACCATATTTTGCGTGGAATAGCAAAAGAAAACTGCATGAAAACTCGAAAACACGCGTTTTCTCAGACATAAGACTAATCTAGATCGACTTATCGCCCCCGAAACCCTCTGTATACTAAATTACATGAAAATTGTTGGAGCCGTTTCCGAGATTCAGATTATTATTATATTGATATATATACATATATATATATATATATACAAGAATTGCTCGTTTAAATATATAAGATAGATATTTTTGGACCGACTTACTTTATAAAGACAAGGATGATTGATTTAACATGAAATAAATAGTTTTTGTTAATATAATTCTCTGCGCTGGCTTACCTTTCGGTTTGTCTTTTAAAGAGGCAAATCGTGATTGGTCTGGCATGAAGTATATATTTTACCTCGGGGCGGGCGCAGGTGCTGCAGGCGTCGGGCGCGGCGGGCGTGCTGCACGACGTGCACGGCACGGAGCTGCCCGACCACTTCTACCTCGGCGGGCCCGCGTCGCTGCGCGGCTTCCGCCAGCGCGGCGTGGGCCCGCGCCTCGACGGCGACGCGCTGGGCGGCACGGTGGGTGTCACACTTGCTCATACTGTTATATTATTATTGTACTAGCGACATATTTCCCAATACAAACTTTCATCCCCATTTTCACCCCCTTAAGCGATGATTTCCGGGATAAAAAGTATCCTATGTCATTCCTAGGGTCTCAAACTATCTTCTTACCAAATTTCATCTAAATCGGGTCATGAGATTTAAAAAAAACTTATTTTAATAAAAAAAAATCTTTTAATTTTATTGTATACATAACTTGTCCTGACTATAACGAACACAAAAAAAAGATTTATCCAATTTGGTGCCGTCGATCGGAGGTTATGCGCGTACATACATTTTAGTGATTCATTTTTATTTATATATAGATTTACAAGCTTTTATTTAACTTTCAATGTTTGTTTGTTTCTTCGGGTCAAATCTGGCAACTAAATTTTATGGTAGTTATTACTCAACCGATTGAGCTGTGGAATTTTGCGTACACTTTTAGTTTGGATGACAATGCATGGTTAGATAAGTGACGTCATCTTAAATCCAATATGGCGGACTCCCAAAGATAACTGACTGTTTTTTTATATACCTCAACGATATGGATATCAAATGAAAGGGTTTGCTGAGAAGAATACGTATAAATAAATAAAAAAATAAATAAATAGTAAAAATTATTTTAAAAACAAGTTTTCATTTAAATGCTCTAAAAAGAAGAAAATAAACTTTGAATGAAATCAAACCCATCAATTTATTACATTGTACAAATTATATGACGTAAAAGCTTGTTTTTGAATATTTTTTTTACTATTAATTTATTTTACAATAATTTATGTGTGTGTATGTTTGTTGTTTTTTCACGCTATAACGGCTGGAGTAATATATGTATACTTTACCGTTATAGACTTAGTTATACGCTAAGTGGGTGTAATTTGTGCATAATTCCACTTTCACAGGTGGAATTTTGCACACTTGTAGGTAGGAGTTAGACACACTCCGAGATTCTCAGAAAAACTGTTACTGAGTATCTCTTCACACAACCCCGATGACTATATTTGTCATGGGGTGGGGTGGGATGGTTTTTTTTATTTTTTTAATTTCAAGGTATACTGGGCCTCCGCTATCCACCTGTACACCCCCCTGCCCTTCCGCCCCGGGAAGGGAGGTTTGGGGGACCTGTTCCGCTCTCACTTCTTCATAAACGCAGGCTGTCTCGCTCATCCTGGTAAGTTGCATTCAAAATTTAAATTCAAAATGTTTATTCAGCATTAAATTACTCCGGGTCTGCGACACAGGAGTCGACGATCCTTATATAATGAATACTGAAATAGTAATATTTTTTTTCCATTTTATGAGTGTCGACAGCGAGTTATAAAATCTATATTCTTATCTTTGGTCCGAATTTTTGAATTATAATATACCATCACATCCTCTTATTCTGCCCATTTCATCTCTTCATTATTAGAAGATGACGAGGCTCGTATGATGCTATAGTGTTGTCTTTTAACCCTCTCCCCCACAGAGGAGACGGGGCTGGCGCTGCTGGAGTCGCTGTGCGCGGCGCGCGCGGCGTGTGGCGCCGGCGTGGCGCTGCGGCTGGGCGGCGCGGCGCGCGTGGAGCTCAACTACTGCGCGCCGCTGCGGGCCGCCGCCGGCGACGCGCGCGCGCCCGGCCTGCAGCTCGGCGTCGCCGCGCACTTCCTGTAGCTCCCATCCCCCCGCACTGCAGGTGGGCGCTGGCCGTTCGTTCATTCATTTGTTCGTTCATTCGTACATTCATTCGTTCGTTCATTCGCTCTTTCTGTAGCCGCGTGAGATATATTCTATTTGTTCTTTCGTTCGTTCATACGTCGCACTTCCTGTAACCTTGTAGCATGAGGTGTGTACTGTTTGTTCGTTCATTCGTTCTGTTATATCTGTCTTGTGTAAAGTAAATTGTAAGGGTCGCTGCATAGTCAGCAATTACATTATTAAGGTTACACCTTCTTTTCGTAGTTCTTTTCTTTCGCGTTAGACGACTACACTTGCCCGTAGTTAATTTGTAATTAATTGCAATAAATATTTTTTGTTTAAAAGCGCTTTGATAAAATAGTTCTTTCATTCGTTCAATCGATCATTTCGTTTGTTGTGATATGTATTTATTTGTTTATTTAATCATTAATTTCTAGGTACGTTTTAACGGTTAGTATGGAATAAATAATCTATTATTATGTATATTAGTATATAATATATCGTCATACCCATCTAAATCACGGTTCAGCGGATTTTTCGTTTGTGTACAAACAAACAAACAAAAAACAATTTGCTTATTCATTCATTCATTTGGATTCTTCTTATTTGAATTTTATTGATTTATTCATACATTTATTTGGTTTCTATTACTTTTTTATATATTTATTTATAAGTACATTCATTCCTTCATATACCAATATTAATTAATATCATATGCACTTTTAGAATGTAACGATTTATTTTATATATTTTTTTACAGATAACGGAATGTTATGGTTGTTCCACGAATTTTATTTTCAAAATCAATACAATATTGTTTCTTATTTATTTTCTTCTACCGTACATTGAATTTTTGTTAATGTCGTTGCCATATAAAAGTATTTCAAATATTTATTTCATATATAAATTACAATATTTATATATTATTAGTAGGTAGTAATTGGCAACATTAAATTAGCCTGGAATTGATGTGATATCTGTCATTTTGGCATAATATGTCAGCCTATAACTTTTTTAATTATTGTCATTGTAAAATATTAATTAATAAAAAACCTAAAATATAATGACATATATAATTTTTATATAAACATAACAATATATGTATCTAATAATACCTTCATGTGTCTTCTTTATTGTATGAAATAATGGCGAAGTACATTTTATTCATCTATATAATTAATTAAAAATTCAATGAAAAAAATATTTTTAAATAAAACTATCTTTTCGGATTTTGTCGCGGATTTATTTGTATTTTTGTTTCCCGACGTTTCGAATGCTTTACAGCATCCATCCATGGTCACGGGAGAGACTCTCGATGCTGTAAAGCATTCGAAACGTCGGGAAACAAAAATACAAATAAATCCGCGACAAAATCCGAAAAGATAGTTTTATTTAAAATGTCAAATATTCGCGTAAATCTAAGAAAGTATTATGAAAAAAATCTTTTTTTGCACTTGTAAAATTATTGTTTTCATATATTTTTGTTATATAAAATATTGAAATGTATGGTAGGTAGTTCTGTCTTTATGTTTTCCCCTCAAATGTGTTTAAATAGATTTAAATTGTAATTTAAACATAGTTTTAGTGCTGTTGAAATAAAATGTTATTTAAAATTGATTTGTTTTATTACTACTACTTTCGCTTTACTCCAGTGCTAGTAACTTTTGCAATTTGATATATATATATATATATATATATATATATATATATATTGGGACACACAGTCTAGTCTGGTTTTTAACCTCGGAGACAAATCTGACGTGAGTTGCCAGTTTTTCGCAATTCTTAAATTGTGATGTGCTGTGATTGCTTTTGAATTAAGCCAATATTAATAATTTTTAAAGTAAGTTCTGTTTGATTAAGAAAATAATTATTATAAAGTGCAAAATATAGATGGGAAATTCAAAGTAGTTGAAACGCAATGCCATTCGTCAGACCGAATATGACGTCAGAGTATATCTTAACAGAGCGATTAGCGATTGAGTCGTTGAAAAACAAGGCAGTGGTAGCCCAGTGGTAACGCACTCGCTTGGGAAACCGAGTGAAGCGTGTTCAAATCCCGGGTCTAGCAGCTCTGATATTATCATGTGCTAATCATTTCTAACATGATTACCACTTGCCTTACGGTGAAGGGAAACATCGTGAGGAAACCTGCATGTCTGAGAAAACCTAGCAAGTTTACAAAAGACATGTGAAGTCCGCCTGCACTCGGCCAGCGTGGTGGCCAATGGCCTGATCCCCCTCTTATTGAAGGGAGACCTGTGCCCAGCGTTGGGACGTTTAAAAAGAGCTGAATAAATTGAGAACAAATCCATTACTTAATATCCTTTATTATTCTAAATACTATTTACAAAACAAATAACTATAGTTCTAGTTGTTGCTTGTCTTTGTTTAAATTTAATTTTCAACCTTCAGTATTAAGTAATAAAGTCCAAATTTCCAATTTATACACATATTCAAGCAACGCCAAAGGCAAAAACTATTATCTAATATATACATCTATACATATAATAAAATAGTAAAAAGTTCAAACTTTAATGAACATTAAATATTATTTGAAAAATTTGAGTTTAAGAGATTTTTGGATATATTAGTATTATGAAAATCAAAATTATCCATTAAAAGAATTAATCTGTTTGTGTGCTTTTTTCTTAAGAACAGCTGTCTAGATTTTGATGAAACTTTGTGTATTATACAAGCATTAAATAAGAAAAGCTTATATAAAGAAAGTCATAATATAATGGTTGTGGACTAAATATAACGGGCAAAACTGTACGCATGTACTAGCTTATGGTAGTCTTATATACAAAATGTATATTTATGTTTGTTTGTTACATTTACTTTTCTATATATAAATCATCCTAAAACAAACTTTAGTTAGTTTTATCTGCTTTCTGATACCATCAAGGTATAGTGTATGTGGAATTAAAATTTAGAATTAAGGACTGATCTCTGGGTTACTATTAAATAGTTGTAATTTATAAATTATATTAAAATTGATCTTGATTGTATATGTTTTTATAGTGCAGTTGGGACTGCAACATGTCGTCTTCATTCATTACTATGTGTAAGGGAGGTATCATCGCTCCTGCTACTGATCTGGAAATAAAATGTTAGCCGTCAGCAGGGAAACCCGTTCAATTTTGAAACCGGTTTTGGTCATTAATCCGAAACCAAAATGCTTTTCGGTTTAAGGTTTCGGTTACGTTTTTCAACCGGTTAAAACCAGGAAACCGGTTTTTGACGACTTTTAGGTTCCATGATCGAAATTAACCGGTTAAAATGTGTTTTTGAGGGTTTACGTTTGGCTAGTCTTTGCTAATGGTAAAATACTTAATATAAGTATTAATGAATTAACAGTTTTATTTCGGTATGAAAACCTTAGGTTTTTGCTGTAACCCTCCTCTAAGAATAAACATTAACCATTATTATTTCAGTTTACAAAACCGTTCGTTTTTATTAACCGGTTAAAGTACCAGCGATAAATTAACCATTATATTACCGAAAACAACCGTTTTTTTGAATCGAACTTATGAAATCTTTGAATTTAATAATTAGGTACGATCAAGTTGATTTGATGAATGTTAAAAGATCAAATGTCCACTTTTTTAATCATGAGTCTAAGGTAATTCTTCAATGGCTTCTATAAAACCTTTTGAGGTAAAAAATCTAGAACACATTCAAATTTGAATGTCTCATACAATGATGTTCTCCTAGCCGATTCCGGCCACGACGGCCAATCTCATTGAGACTAACCAACTGCGCAGGAGATATTATAGTGCACAAGTGTACGCGCAGACACAACGTACACTCTCTATTCCTATCACTCTCATACTCTGGTGGGACGAACACTCGACACGACCAGTGAGAGTTAAGGCGCAGGACCGACGGCTTTACGTGCTCTCTGAGGAACGGGAGTGAAACACCGCCAACTTCTCAACTCCGGGCTGTTACTGAGGCTTACTATACAGAAAGACTCAATAACTAAACTTGGCCCGACCTGGGACTCGAACCCAGGAACTCCGAGTGTGCAGCCGTACATGCTAGCCACTACAGCACCGAGGCAGTTACTCTCATACAATACAGATGTATGGAAAGTCTCATACAATAGACACATTATTTTCTTTTTTTTAATATATTCAATATAGTACAACTCACCGTCCCTCTGAATTAAGAAAATTAAAGGTAGCGCAAGCATGTTCTGTTGGTAGGATTTCCACACCGAGTTTAGCTTCCCTTGAAGCTTTGAAAACTGAGTTTATCACTTTTCTATCATTCGTTTCTAATCCTATAATCTGAAAAGGTAATAATATTTAAGTCTTTTCTTACTTTTCATTTGCATAATATAATAAAGATTCACTCAGAGCAGTAACTAGCCTTTTGGGCCCCAATGCAAAAAAAATGGAAGGCCCCCCTGCCTATTATGAAATAATATGCGGCAATTTAGGACACTTTTTTCTTGCGGTTTATTTAAGCTTCTATGAGGGCCGTCCTTGAAAAAATGTTTTGAAATTAAATAAAGAGTCGTTGTCGCCCGCTGGGGCCCTTTTGAATCTGGGCCCAATGCGACCGCATTGATTGCATTGCATAGCTACGCCACTAAATCAGAGATATGATTGCTCTAAAATGAGAATCTAAATATCTACAAATTAATAGCCTCAAATCTATACAGATAAATAAAATTGAAGTGTATCTTTGTAATGTAAAAATAATAGCATATGAAATTATATAGTTACTTATAAGAAAAGCTCTATTTTTTAAATTTTCATTTGTCCGTATGTTCCGGCTAATCTCCGAAACGGCTGATTTTAATGGGACTTTCACTGGCAAATAGCTGATGTTATATGGAGTGACTTAGGCTACTTTTATTTCAGAAAAAGAATTAGGGTTCCTCTCAAAATATATATATGAACACACCCAAGCAAAGCGAGGGTAAGTCGCAATGGTAGTATAAATCTAATTTACACACATTCACTTTCGTACATCATCTTCCTTTCTATTTCCCAAATTACTTGGGGTTGGTCTTCCACTCTCGCCTATCACTCCTCACCTCATGATTCACCCCTTGCTCTTTCGTGTCCTGTCTTACACAATCAATTGATTTTTTCTTCGATCTTCCTCCACTTCTCCATTTACATACACTTAAAAGCATACACTTACATATAACAATATTATATTTACCAATAAATCAATTTTTGGATCTAACAATTTAAAAAATCTGAGAGCGGGTTCAGTGATTTGGTCGGCACTTGGCACTTGCCATGATAGTATTGTCCTGTAATAATAATAAAAAAGATTATAATAGTATGTAAAGTAAATGTAAAAATGTCTGTATGGTTTCAAAAGACTACCCATAAGCAAATTATGTAGTTAACTAGAATAAACCTGCTGTTAATATAAATATAATAATAACATCTCTTAAAAATAAATTACCATACTATCTAATTTTTGAAGAAACTAAGAGAATAATTTAACAAGTTGTTAAGATGCAAGCATTATCTTACCTAGGAAATATAGCTATAGGTCCCAATACTGTGATTCCATTGTTTAATCTAAAACCGTACTGAAATTAAATTATTATAATTATAATTTGAAATTATAATTTTAAAATTTGACTTAAATTCACAGAATAATATTTGCTATTATTGTGTGCTTTTTACAGATATACTTATTATGTTTTTTCATTTAGATTTACTTTTTTGTATTATTATATATTTAGACGCTTTATTTTTTTATTTATTTAAAAAATATTGACTACGATTATTAACAATATTTGTCTGTTTATTTATTACTTTATAGAGATCTCAAAGAGTAGGTAACCAGAAAGAAAATATAGAATATTATATTAAAAAATTTGAGGGATACATGAATAAAATTTCTATCTAACTTTCATTAATTTTAAAACAAAAGAAGAAATGAACTTACAGTAGCATATGAATCTATCATGAGACCCAGATCTAATTCTTGGTTGATAATTCGAACTGTTGTTTTCCCATCGCCTTCGTAAGCAGCCTTCGTTCGTGTACTGTTTTTAAAATTATTTATATTTAATTATAAATGATAAAATTCTTAAGTTTTACAAGTGAAATTTTAAAAATATAACCTTAAAAAGAATGGATTTCTTTTGATTTTAGATGTCACTTGTCTAAGTCTACTAGATAACATTTCCGAAGAAAATAATTTCTTTAATATTTATTTAGAATTATAGCTAACTGCTAGTTCAAAATGTAGAAAAAATCTGTAATCTTATTTCAAAATTTCCAAACTAGACAAATCACAAAATACAAATTACAAATGTCACATTGACATCTTTGCGTTTCGTTTAGAACATTTTTAAACTTCTACAATTTCACATTAATAAACTTTTATAATCTTAATAAAACGTTATAATAATTAACTAAGTGATATTTTGATTACATATATTTTTATAATAAAATGCATAAAATTAAATGATTTATATATAGCTAGTTGTGTTTAATATTTTGTAAAAATCATTTGTTTTGTTCCGTAGAATAGAGTACTACAATGACGTCATGGAGAAAACTTGTCATTTGTAGCAATGCAGATGCGCGGTATTTTAAAATGTAACTATGTAAACCATTGATTTTCGCAATATGTAATATTAAAAACATTAAAACTGTAACCTATTTGCCAATCTTCCGTCCATAATGATTTATTAAAATATTAAAGCTTGTGTTTCTTTCATAATATCATTACATTTAACAAGCACAAATCTTGTTATTATTAAATAATGGAGAGTGTCAGTGCTTCAACACAGGTGTTATATGCTCAAAGGGAGAATAATGCTGTATATAAAACAGAATACGAGTTGGATTTTTGGGAAGAAGTTAGAAGAAGATGGATGATAGTTGGAGTCCTTTCAGCCGTTGCTATGGCAGTTTTAACTTCACATTATGGAGCATCCGGAGGCAACTACATGCATGTTCACTTAGATTTTATTAGAACACATTGCACCCATTCGCTCATGTAATTATAAACAATTTCACTACTCGAAATCATGTTCAACTTGTACTGTTTACATTAACTTTATCTTTTTGAAACGTGCTAACATAGTGTTTTTGGTATTAGAACAGGTAATGAATAATATTTTTATCTAGTTTTAGTAGTTTTTAAATATATATTTTTTAAAGAACTAATTGAAAGTACTAATAATTCATTGAAAGTTTATTACTATTAAATATTTAAACATTTTAATATGTACATATTAATTTAATATGAGTAATATAATTTATAATAATTGTTTTATGGAATTTTTTGTATATTTTTTCCAGTATAAAGAATTTTAGATAGCTGGCCTTTTTAGACATAGCCATTTTCACTTACAACAACCTATAAAAAGGTTTTATTAAGAGTATACACATTTTTTTTCGATTTCAAGTTATATGCTAATTTTTATTATTTCACACTAGAATTTATTTTTAGTTAGTCAAATTGCTGATAAAATAATTTGTACAAAAATATGACTAACAAAACATCTTTCTGGGATGTTTTTAACAATTTATTATGGAAATAACTAGCGACTTACCCTTGCTTCACTCGGGTGCATCCTTAGGTATGTTTTAATTATTTTGAGTGGAACCCTAATTCTTTTTCTAAAATAAAAGTAGCCTAAGTCACTCCTTAGAACATCAGCTATCTGCCAGTCCCGTCAAAAGAGACTAGCTGGTACAGGCAGACAGATAAATTTTTTTTTTCTATAGTCCCTATTAGGTGTATAACAACCAAGGTCCTGAGTCAACACGATAAAAAGATATGGGCAAATTTTGATTTTAGTGAAAACTTGTAAGTACCAAAATTTACCTTAATTTTCAACTTTTTCTATTTTTCGGAATTTTCCCTTTACTCGTGCTGTACCTTTGTTTGTAACCAAATTGACAATTCTAGGTCAACCGGAAGTACCCTATAGGTTTTGGGTCGAAAACCTACATGGTAGTTCCCGTTGACCTACAATCACGAAATTTGGTAAAAAGCGAGGTCTTACAGCACAAATAAAGGAAAAATTCCAAAAAATAAAAAAGTTGCAAATTAAAGTTAAATTTATTTCCTACAAATTTGTACGGAACCCTCGGTGGGTGAGTCCGACTCGCACTTGTCCGGATTTTTTTTATTTAATTATGTTTTAATAGTACTATACTCTGTACACGGAGTGAACCATGCAAATCGCTTTCTCTGTCCCACTTTAGCATATAAACTGATAGGGACAGAAAAATGTCTAGCTCCGCCCACTAACGCTTGCAACTGGTTTGAAATCGTAGGGCTAGTTTATGTTGCTAATGCTTTAGTGAGGAATTATTAATAATTTGTAATAAAATATAATCAATATTAAAGTAAAATGAACTGTATTTTTAAATATTTGTATACATTATTTATTAATTTTCGCTTTCTAACGTATCACTGTCATGTCCTATATTGATAATAAATCAAGTAACTACACGTGAGACGTCTGAACGGTATGGAATGCAACGACGTACTAATTATGACTTCCATTGTAATCGCGGCCTAAGCGTCTTATCTCCAACTAATCATGTGGAAGCGCATAATCTCAGTACTTGGTGTAATGATCTATACGTATAATAAAATTGTAACTAAGCCGAATCTGTACATTAAATATTTTTTGGAAAATCTTATTGAAATAAACATTATTATCGATACAGAGGCCGAATCTATAGTTTTTAGAATTTTTGTTTGTTTGTCTGTCTGTTACCGCATCACGAGAAAATCACTGGACAGATTTTGATGAAATTAAGTATGATGATAGCTGGTTATCCGGGTCAACATATATACTGGATACGGATACGGGAATACTTTTTACCGCGGGAAAATATCTCATTTCTGAGAAAAAATACAAAAACTGCATTATAAGAGTATACTAATATGTAAAACCTAAGAATTTGGTTTTTGGTCATCTAAATGCGGGCGGAGCCGCGGGCAATGCTAGTCTTTTTATGAACTCATTGACTTGGTTCATTCGGCGAATTCAGTCTACAGTTTTATAGTTGCATTCAATTTACTAAAATAATAGATCAATGGAATTCTAGTTAAAGACAACAGGTTCAAATCTGTTTCTTTTCTTTACATTTAGTTTGTAATAATAGTGGTTGTGGTTCAGTGATGATGATTGCCAGACACTATATAGTTCATTACTATTTTTATTTGGTCCATAAGTAGATATCTAAATAGTGCTTATTAAAATATTGAAATATTTGCAGAATATACAAAAATTAAAGAAAATAATGGACATCTCTTTCACAGGTATTTTCCATACACAATATATAGTATATATTCCCCTTATATACATATATTATAATGCGGGTCGTACACAAGTACATGCATGTCGTACTAGATTGTACGCTTTGACAGTGCTACATGCGCATGTTGTTGGTTTAGCTTTATCTGTGGTTACGGTTAATGCTTTATCTGTGGCATTAGATCGGAGAGTTATTGAAGGGTAAGTTTGATACTTTTTATGCTGTAATCGTTTATAAACCGTTGGCTCAGTTTGTAGTGACCCTACTTGCTGTGCCAGCGGTCGCGGGTTCGAGTCCCGCTGGGGGCATTCATTTGTGTGATGTGCATGAATGTTTGTACTCCAGTCATGGGTGTTTATATTTATAATATGTATGTATTTAAAGTTATATATGTGTAGTGTGTCAACTATCTGGTATCCATAACACAAGCCTCGTAGCTTACCATGGAACTAGATGGTGCTGTGTGTTATTGTCACATATTAGGTATATATATTATTATGTATATGTACATATCATAAAGTTTTTCCACGGAAGCTTAGTCTCAAGAACCGCTAATCAGTATTTTCTGCCTAAATCGAGATGCTAATATAATAAAATAAAAAACTGAAATATATATATATATATATATATATATATATATATATATATATATATATATATATATATATACGGGATTATTTCGATTGGAATGCAAGTGATCTGCGTTTTTTAAATATATCAGCGCAGAAAAATAAATATGTAGGAAATAAATGCTTAAAAATTACTTAGTGCTCACTCTTTTTACGAGTTTAACTAATTCTTGTGCAAAATATCACGCTTCTAGATTCGTCAGTTTAACTCGTGCGTTCTATCAGTGTTAAGGCTTACGCACACCAAGTTTTATGAAAGCGCTTAGGTTGCGCCTATCATGATCGTACATCCCTTGCATATATTCTACGATGCTAAAATTATAAAATTCAAATAACTTGTGTTTGTATCGATACATATGCGTGATAATATATAAATAAATGATCGGGCGTTCAACATGCTGTTATGGGTCTCTGGATGAGACCCTTTTTTAAAAAAAAGAGTTATTTATCACTGAAAACACTTTAATAAATTCATTAATTATTTATACAACATATAGGTATATGGGATTTGAAGAGCTAGTGCTCTCGACCGACGATACTGTCGAACTAACTTTTAATTAAAGGACATAATACATATAGAGTACAAAATGGTGATAGCTAGTAGGGCTATAACATAAATAAGCAATAACCCGTACAGCCAAAGGGTATAAGAAGATTCGATAAAAAGTCGTCGTGTGCATATGCCTTTAGAGTTTTATTATGTACATAGATGTTGATGTTGTAAATAAGAATAGATTTAGGATAAAAATGAAGAATGTATAATAACCATTTTTATTTTTTTAGTACAATATTGGCATCAGTAGCACGCCCCTGCGCTTGGTTACCTCTTTCATTTAATAAAGATGGCGTCACACCGACAATTGTAGCTATAAATTATACAATGTCGTTTATATTTTCACCACTTGCTCACCTTTTCTTGGTAAGTATTAAAAAATGGCAGTATATTATTAAACAAAACTATCTTTTTGGTTTTCTTCGCGGATTTATTTTAATTTATGGTTCCTGACGTTTCGAATGCTTTACAGCAATCATGGTCACAGGAGAGATTATGATTTTAGACGTCTCAAAGGCTTTATATAGTTGTTACAGACAGCCTACCCACAAAATAACAAAATGAATTACAAACAAAAAAATGGCACCGAAGTACCTTACAATATTTGGTGCCATTTTCGCATTTTGTATTTTTGTCATAGAGGCACATAAATACGACGTAACAATAATATGATAATTATAAGTGGTCATGTACATATAACATATATATTATTATATATTTTCCACTTTCAGTGTGGTCGAGTACCTTTACCAACATTAAATAATTTTATTATAACGGTGCTAACATCGTTAGTGCCGTTTGGATTAGGATATTTATCTCATAAGACTGAAATAGGTGAGTTAGAATGTCCTGTTTGAACATGCATGTATTTCGTACTAAATACAAGTAAAAGTATCAGTCTAAAACATGTTCAATTTATACTATACTAGTGACTCACACTCGCTCCGCTCGGCTTCGTCCCTGCTTAAGTTTTAACGTTTAGTACAGATTTCTCAGAGATGAGATATTTTCTTACCCGGATAACCAGCTATCACCATACCAAATTTCATCGAAATCCCTCCAGTGGTTTTTCTGTGATGCGGTAACAGACAGACAGACAGACAAAAATTCTAAAAACTATAGATTCGGCCTCTGTATCGATAACAATGTATATTTCAATAAGATTTTCCAAAAAATATTTAATGTACAGATTCGGCTTAGTTACAATTTTATTATATGTGTAGATATATATTATACTCAGACTAAATAATAATTTGGTATCTTTCTTTACAATATCATTTATGATTTATTTATTCAATGAACATATTTTGTTTGTTTTAATTAATATACATTTTTTAGATACAACCAGTACCAAAATATCTGCTTTAATAGTGTTGTATACAGAGTGTTGTAATTTGTTGACGGAAGCTGAGGGAAGTTTGTACATAACTGATGTTATGGCAACATTGTTTCTCGGTAAGAAAATGTATTTTATACTATTGTTTCATTCAAAAGCTAAAATGAAATGAAATATTATGAACTTAATTAATGACGAAACTGTAGAATTGCCAATCTCCCGCCATTATTTTTTTTTTAATTTGTAGCGTACGAATAAATGGAAAAGAATCAGGTGCATAATGCCCTAAAGTTTAACTTTTACAACAATTTTTTTACATGATATTTGAAGGTAAAGATTGCCATACGAAAATGTTGACAATCATTTAAAATGAACTGATTACGTATTTGTGTTCATTTGTTTTTTTTTAGTATATCTCGGAAAGTTAACACCTTAGGGCATCGTATTGCTAATATTTTTGTTTCTTTCAGTCTCCTTTTTCTGTTTATATCAATTAAGTCATGCGCCACTATATGAAAAAAAAATGGCAGCGGATTGCTAATACTATTTTTTCTTATTTTAAACATACATTTAACCTAATCTCATATTTTTTCTATATATTTTAGTTATAAGCTGGTTATCTACAGTGGCTGCCTCTAGTTATTTATACGTGAGGTGCGGTCTGCTGACTTTGAATGAGGCTTACATGTTATTATTAATTGCTACTCCAAAATCCACCCATATTGGTAAGTTACAAAAAAGCGACTCATATTGGTTAGTTACAAAAAATCGGCTCATTGGCAAGTTACAAAAAAAAACAACTCATTGGTAAGTTACAAAAAAATCGAATCGTATTAGTAAGTTACAAAAAAAATCGAATCGTATTAGTAAGTTACAAAAAAAAATCGAATCGTATTAGTAAGTTACAAAAAAATCGAATCGTATTAGTAAGTTACAAAAAAAATCGAATCGTATTAGTAAGTTACAAAAAAAAATCGAATCGTATTAGTAAGTTACAAAAAAATCGACTCATATTGGTTAGTTACAAAAGATATCGACTCATATTGGCAAGTTACAAAAAATCTATTCTTATTGGTTAGTTACAAAAAAATATCGACTCATATTGACAAGTTACAAAAAATCCACTCATATTGGTGGTTGGTGGTTAGTTACAAAAAAAACCACTCATAAGTTACATCACAATTACATAAAACCCTAGCGACCCACTATGTTAGTGTATTCACTCTCGGAAGATCTCATGAGGTACTTTTTTCCCCAAATAGTTTACAAATATAGCTTATTTTTGCAAAATTTTTTACATATTGGAGACTTTCCTAACTTCCTAAATCCTGTTGGAATGACCGTGTGTGAAATGAAGTTTTTTGATTTTATATGAAAAAATGTACATATTTCCTTTCATATAGTAGATACAAGTGAGTTTTATTTGACATTCAAAGGGATCGATACTAGGATTTAACGACAGAGTGGCTCTACAATTGCCTTTGCTAACTAAGCTGTTTCCCGAATGTCATACAAAAGTACGTAGGCCAGTCGGGTGCGCCTTCTCACTTACGATTTCCATGTCTAAACAAGACCTTCTTAGACGACTGTATGTATAAGTAGACTGTGGAGATATAGATAATACATATAATGGATATTAATTATTATGTATATATTTTAAATTTTAGAGTGGTTATCGTCATCTGTTTGCGCGTCGGGACTCGCGCGTCTTCCTGCAGTGTTCATTGCGCCTGCGCAGGCTTTGCTACTCGCAGCTATCACGTCCGATTATCAAAATGGCGATGAATTGCCCAGATAGAAATAATTAAGCTTTATTTTATTATTGCGATACAATTAATTCAATAACAACGAATAATTCGGTTAGCTCAATTAATTCAATTACGATGAATAATCGAATTATTGCAATTTATACAATTATTCTAATATTATATTTCTAAATTATATTAAGTGTTTTTTTTAAATGTAATTAGAAAATATGTTGTTAAATCTAGTTATTATAAAAACGTTCTAGCTAATAAAAAAATTAAATAATTTGGCGAACATAAAAATGTAAATGAGTTTTTTTTTTATAATTTCAGACGTTGAAATGGGCTATTACATAGGGTTATATTTGATTATTTTTTCATACGAAGTAACAAGTAATAAATAAATCAAGTAACGTTAAATATTTTAAATAAAAAAGAAACGAATGAGTTAAAATGAGCAAGCGATGAGTAAAAAAAAATGTAGTTTTTTTTAAACTGGAGTGCATACAAATAGTTCCTTTATAAATTGTTTCCATTGCATTTTGCTCATATTTAGAATGTTCATTCTAAGTTTAAGATTTAGTTATTTTTGTACTATTTCCAAAAGTAGATTCAAGGATTTTAAAATTTTTATCGTATAGTTATTAGTTAATAATGAAAAACAAACAAGGTGTTTGAATATTTCTAGTGACACTGGCATTAGTCGTCCGTCTCCATTTAAGTTTTTTAAAGGCCCTTAAAAATAAATAGAAAAAATAAATTCTTTCAAAGATGCAGTCGTGGTATATCTGTTTTGTTTATGACATAATATGTTAGCAATATGGTGCCCTAAAATATCATATTTTCAAGAAATCTGCAGAAAGGATACTCGTAAAATTAAATTGCATAAAGTGTGATTCGTTTTTATTTTTATTGATTTCTATAGTTATATATATATACCTTCAAATGTTTCGGGAACTTGAGTCTTGACACTTTGGGGCACTTTGGAACACATATTGCTGGTATTTTTATTGAAAACAGTAGCAAAAAACAGCCACTAAATAGAAAAAATGGCGGCGATCTATATTAAAGGTTTATCCTTGTACAACAGATAATAAAAGGGATAAACATTTAAAGAAAAGAAAAAAATTGTGATGTAATAAAAAATAGAATTTTGTTAGATGCCATTTCAATAGTTGAGATGATTTTTGACATAGGGCGGGTATTCCAATCATCTTATCAAGTACACGGAAACAAACACCAAAATAAATTGTGACTATATAAAAGTGAAATAAATCTATTGTTTTATTTATCTGTATTCGTATATTCTTTCAATAACTCTAAACTGTTAATTGAAAGAAATATCAGCCCTCAGAAAACTATAATAATTGTACAATGAATATTTATTGTTAAAAAGTTAAAATTGAAACATCACATTTTTTGCTATTATTTTATTTTAACTAAAATTATCTAAGTTTGCACATAGAGTATTATTAAAACACCTAATTTGTTTTTTTTTAATTTTTTGGATTCAGTTATTATGTATAACAAAAAACTCCAAAGAAATAAGAGTTTTGATATATTATAAAGAAAATAAATTGCAATTAAAATAGCAATTTTTTGCATTAATTCATTCTATATTTATTTTTTGGAAATATTCTATGTACAAGATAGACCTTTTTTTTTAATTTATGTCTAGATAGATAACAAAAATAAAGAGACCAAGTTAATTATTGTAATATATATTTAGTGGCCTTACATTGTCAGCCTTTGCAGTTGTAATAGATGGTAATAATAGTAAGTTAAAAAAAAATAGGTGAAAATAAAGGTTTTCTCTTCCTTCCTTTCTTCTTTAAAATTTTTAAAATGTGAATCTTGAAATTTGAAAAATAATTTTTAATTAAATATTTGTAAGTAAGCATCGTAATATTTGCCTTGTAGTATAGATATATAGTAAAGAGTTTTTATACATAATAAGACGTGTTTTTCTTGACAATTTCTTTGAACAATATGAGCAAAAGACCTAACGTGAGATTCGAATCCGCGACCTGCTATTTCTAATCATTGCACATAAATAAATTATGCGCTATGGTCGTTATTAATTTTTAACTAGCGACTCTCCCTTGCTTCGCTCATGTGCGTCTGTACGTACCTAGACGTTTTAATGTTTTGGAGCGGAACCCTAATGTTTTTCTTAAATAAAATTAGTCTAAGTTACCCCTTATAACATCAGCTATCTGCCAGTGAAAGTCCCGACAAAATCAGACCAGCTGTATCGGAGATTTGCCAACACAAACAATACAAATTTTCAAAATTGTGCTATTCTTGTATGTACCGTTTAATAAAAAGCATTATGCATTTAGTAGAAAGCTATTATTTTGACATTACAAACAGACACTTCAATTTTATTTATTTGTATAGATTTTTTTGAATACATATTGATTTTAATCAAGCAGTTGGGGAACAAAATTTTACGAACTTTGTATTTTAAACTGCAACGATGTCTTAAATTTTCAAATTATCATACCACGTGACTGAAATTTTAAAATTACATAACACAAGTAGTCAAAAATTTAATGTTTTAATATTTTATATGTTCTTATAAGTTATATATAATTCTGTTTTGTTCGGCTTCTTACTAATAATTAGTTAATTTTTGATTTACATTTTGACATTATTTTATTTATAAACATAAGAATTAAGAATTTAAAGCATTATTTTAAGATGAATCCAAATTACGTAATTGTTTTTCTTGGATTTTGTTAAATATTAAGATTAGGAAGCGTTTTTTTGTCATTATTATTTTTTTCCTGTCTAAAAAAATAAACCAAACCATAGGATGGAAATCTTCCATCCAAATATATGAAAGAAAAAAAAACACTAAATAATATCTGCATTTTTATTCATCGTTCAATGTTATCCAGTTATATTTTTTTTATTATGTAATTAATTTACTTTTGTAAAAATTAATTGTTCAACGCGACGTTTTAAATCCAGAAGCTCTTTTTAAACATCCGATCCAATAATTAGTTTTTTGCAGCTTAAATAGTCTAACTGATTGTTGAATAAAATATTGTTTGAAAAAAAAATTTTTTTTTTGAACCTCTAGTCCAATTTTTTTTTATTATTATTAACGTTACATGTATTATAAATAGTTATTTTGTAAACTAGGTTAATAACTGGGTTACATATCTTATTGTAATATTACTAAAATCTCTTGCTTCATAACTTGAAAAATAAAACAAATACATTTTAATTAATATTTATTGAAATTATCACAATGTCATGTTTTAAATTAACCTTAAAATTAAATTTAAAATCACAGTCAATAACTTATTAAAATCTATAGTAAAAGAAAAAAAAATTGTTTAATGATGCCCAAGTAAATACATATATGTACAAAATTCATATTAAAAAAGCACTTAAATAAAAATAAAATATTATTACGAAAAAAATTATAAAACAAATGAGACATTTCGCAATTATAACACACTAGCGGCTCACCTTCGCTTCATTCCGGTTCGCATCTAGAATAAAAAAAAACAAAACTATCCCACGGGAAACGTACATTTTTTCCGGATAAAAGTAGCTATGTGCTATTTCAAATTATAATCTATCTCTGTGCCAAATTTCATCTAGATTCAATCAGCCGTTTTGGCGTGTTTGAGTAACAAACATCCATCTAAACATCTAAACTTACATTTATATTATTAATAAGATACATGTAAGGTGATAAATAAGCATATCGTTCATCGTTTTCTTTCGTGATGAGTGAGAAAACAATTGACTTATATCCCTTTTCTTACTACTAGACCCATTATGGGTACGTGAGATTGAATGAGATTTGTGAGATTGTAGAAGAGCGAGATTTCACCTTTCTCTAGTAAGAAACTATCAATTTTGTGATGTTACATAAAGAGAATTTACAGCCTTAATTTTATAATGTGAGATTAAAAAGTAGAAAAAAATTAAAATCTCAAAAAAAAAACTAAATTTTTTCATCATTTGTGGGTCCAAAGGCAAGAGCAATTATTATTAAAAGTAATTATTATATTATTATCATTTCTGGACCTTATTGATTAAGAAGAATTATTTGTATTTTTATTATATATTAAACTAGCGGACTCGACAGACGTTGTCCTGTCTACACGTCTTTAATTTGAAAATTTCAAACTTTTTTTAATAAGCTAAAACATTCTGGACCATTTTGATGAAAATTATTATTCAAATTGTGAATCTAAACCATTCCCAGATCCCCTTGAACACACACAAAAAATTTCATCAAAATCGGTCCAGTCGTTTGAGAGAAGTTCAGTGACATACACACTCACAGAAGAATTATATATATAAAGATGTATCAATTGATAGTGCGGATTGCGAAACCGCATATTTTTAATTATTGCTGATGGCAACATATTAGTCAATAAAAAAATAGAATATAAGAATATTATAACCTAAAAATATTTAAACTAATTAAAATTACAATTTTATCTACATAATTATTAAGTAATAGCTCATTGTGTCTCACTAAATATGCGCAATGGCTGCTTCTCACTAGAGAAGACAAGACTAATACCAAGCTCTTAGACTAAAGAGTTATACATATACATATACAGAACCCGCCAAAAAAATGTCAAAGTCAAAAATAGTAGTGTGATTTGCTGTTTATTATTGATTGCTACTATTCTCAAATTTTGCCATACATTTTATTTACTTTCTATAAAAAATAGAGGAAAATTTTGCATTTATTTTTGTGAGAAGAAAATATTAATAAGAATCATTTGTATTTTCAAGCATTAGATCTCTTTCCTCAAAATACTAGTATAGTATTTTAAAATATTTTTGTTTGGCTTCATCTTTAGTTCTATCACGCTCTGTCTATTTTATTCTTTAGTCTAAGCACCGACCATACTAAAACTCTAAATGGCAAGCGAAAAGCATATTTATGTTCCATATTTTTTACAACACATTTTTAATAAATTGTATATATTTTTTATTATACGGTCCATATTTTTTTCTTAAAACTATGTCCATTTTTTATATAGAAAGCTAAAGTTATTAATTTAGTAAATAGGAAATATTAAAGTAAATTGATACGAATTAATTAATTTGAATTGGATTATTGTGTTGTTCATCCACTCAATTTTGTTATAATAAATCGAGAATAAAGTTATTTTTTAGATACGGTACATTTTTTTCATAACACTTTTTTTTTCAAAAGAATTATTCCATTTTTATATTACAATCCAATACAATTGAATTTTCAAGTCTTGGAACTATTTTATTGATAGATAACTGTCAAAGTAATATCTAAATAAATAACTAATTCGTAGTTTGATTATCCAAAATTTAAATATTTCCTAATAAGGCACAAAATGTTTAATAAAAATATACCAAAGTAAATATTTTCATATAAAATTTTGGTAAAATTAATATTTAGGGACCGGACGGTCCAAATTTTTTAAAATTAAAACTTATGTAATTGACTATCATCTATCCATGTAGATAATATAATTAAAATCAATCAATCATTAAAAAAGCATGGACCACATTTTTTTAGTATTGGACCATCATAAAAACTAACAATTTGTGCTCATTCTAAAAGTTTTCTGAGACAGTCAGTTATGATTGTGACATATTGCAATTGGTGCAATGACGTAAAAATCGATAAATATTCATATCAATGTGCTTCAACAAAATTGATATTAACAATCCTAAATCACTCTCTCGTGGAACCTTAACACCTTTGTAAATAAAAATGACTCCAGCCTGATTCGAACCTGTGGCTTTTAAACACAATTGCAGTATCATAAAACTGATTTGAGACGTAATAAAATATCGAACTAAAATTAAAAATATGGTCCAAAGTTGGTCAAAAACAAAATGCTAAATACAACTAAACTTCATATAACTGAACACAAAATCTGACGTTTCATTAAATTGTACTTAATTGTAAAGAAAAATATATATAAAATCATCATGTTGATCTGTTAATTTGCTTGTTTTGTTCATTTACTAGTTATATTTATTTATATCAATAAAAACTAGTTCATCTTCTTAAAAGTATTCAACTTCAACAAACAGACTGATCTATATATTCTAATTATATACTTTTAAAAGTTATGAATTAGGTTCCAATGGCCCTTGTTGTTGTAACAGCTCAAAGTACAAGCCTCGTTTGCGAACCAATTCTTCATGTGAACCGCTCTCTGCTATTACACCTGGAAGGAATAAAATATTTATTAGATACAAGGTTTTGTTCGTGGGTTTTCTCTTATGATGGGTAAAAAAGGAAATCGCTATCGATAATGAAATACTAAAGAATGAATGTATGGATTCATAATTTCATTCATTCTGTCATTCATTCAAATCCTTATTAGTGCTTAAGTTTTCGTAGAAATAAACGGGAATCGAACTTCTGAACTCCGGTAGAGTAAATACCTTTATCCACCACGCAGATGATGTCGGCGTGCCGCACGGTGGCGAGGCGGTGCGCGATGATAACTGTGGTCCGGTCTTTAGATGCTATTTCTAATGCTTTTTGGACCACCTGAAAAAATATGGTGGATTGTTTTATGATTGCCAGCTATCGTTTTTGTGATTGAACCAATCGTGAGAGAATTCTACACTGAGATAATATGTGTTGGGTGATGGTCCATTATTTACGACCAGTTATGGATAAAGAGCTAGCTAGATATTGGAGTTGAATTGAAAATTAGTCAAACAAAAGTTAGCCTGGAAGAAATTGCTTATAGTGATAAATCCTGCTTTTGTTCAATTTTTATTTATTTGTTGTTTTTGTATTTATTTTCTGTTGTGCAATGTCTAGTTGATGTCATAAATTTTCTTCTTCCTAATTTATTTTTACGAACTTCCACATTTAAAACACAAAAATTTGTAGATTACAAACAAGGTAGTTTTAAGTATTATAAAGAAATACACAAAACTTGCCTTCTCACTAGCAGCATCTAACGCAGAAGTAGCCTCATCCAGAAGTAGGACCCTGGGGTTCCGCAGCAGAGCCCTAGCGATGGCCACTCTTTGCTTCTGCCCACCAGAGAGGGCCGCGCTGCCGGCTTCTAAAACTGTGTCGTAGCCCTGAAATATTGAGGAGTTGTTAATTGAAATTGCAAAAAACTATTCTAATGGCATTTATTAAAAAATATTTCCACACTTTTGCAGATCTTAAAAGTATGTATCTTATAAGCATAGAGAGTTTCTGGCTCATAGATGATAAAATACTATCTAATAATTGAGAGGCATTGGTAGCCCAGTGGCACTCGCTCTCTTGGAAAATCGAGTAAAGCGGGTTCAGATCCCGAGCCAACTTCTGGTATTTTCATGTGCGAATCATTTCTAACATGATTACCACTTGCATACGGTGAAAGAAAACATCGTGAAGAAACCTGCATGTCTGAGAGAACCTAGCAAGTTTTCGAAAGAGAAATGAAGATCGCCAACACGCACTTGGACAGCGTGGTGGACTTTGGCCTGAACCCTCTCGTATAGAAGAGAAGCTGCACCCCCAGCAATGGGACGTTAAAAAAGGGCTGAATACAAAAATAATAGACCTCAAATCATATAACACAATAGCCAATCTACACTAGACACGTTTCGTATATAATTTCCTTACCAAAGGTAACGTGGAAACGAAAGAATGCACATTGGCCATCTTCGCAGCATCCAGAATCTCCTCGGTGGTGACTGGTCGCGAGTTGTCTCCGTACGCGATGTTGTCGCGGATGGAGCGCTCGAAGAGTACCGGCTCCTGCTGCACGAGGCCGAGCTGCGCGCGCAGGACGGGGAGCGTGAGGTCGCGCTTGATGTCCCTCTCATCCAGTTTCTAAAACAAGTAAAGGTTAATTTGTATGTGTGTATGTTTGTTATTTCTTCAATAATACTTTCTTATTTACGCGAATATTTGATATTTAAAAAAAACCTTTTTGGATATTTAGCGGATTTATTTGGCTTTTTGGTTCCCGACATTTTGATGGATTTACTGTAATCATCGCTGCGCGAGAGAGAAAAATCGAAAATATAGTTTTATTTATTTCTTCAACCTGAAACGAGAGTAAGTTCCTAATTAGAAATCAAATTCTCACTGGCAGCTTAGGTTCGAATTCTACTGACTGCGAAATATTTCAAGAAATATTGACTTATTCAATTATTTTTAAGCTAGCTAAGGCAGCTAATTAATGATCAATTTCATAAGCGCGATCAAAGAAATGCGATGTATATCGAAATTATATATTTATATTTGTTTTTGTAGTTGTCGTGGTTATTTTCAAATTGATTCAAATTTTCGAAAATCTAGAATGAAAAAAATAAGCTAATATCAGAGCTCTGTCCCTAGTTCTAATAGTTAACTAATTTGGAACTTTCACGTAAATATTTGGTGCCTGACGTTAAACATATTTATAGATGAAATATCGTACCACAACTCCTTGGACAGGATCGTAGCTCCTCAACAGAAGATGCATGATCGTTGACTTTCCACACCCAGAAGGTCCAACCAGAGCCAGGGTCTTCCCGGGAGGCAGTTCCAGGTTCAGACCCCTTAGAACTGGCACGTTAGGTCTCGTGGGATAGTGGAAGTGAATGTTGTTGAAGTTAAGCTTGCCTGTCGCAATCTGGAAAGTAAATTATACTAAAAAAAAAGCCATATTTGTGCTTTACGTATGGTTTGTATGACAAATACAAACATTCATTGTTTTAAGTTTTCTTTGAACATATTTAAAGTTTTGCCTCCTTTACAATACAATATTTGGCAAAGAATTGTAATGCTCTTTTCCTCAATGTCAATAAAGTAAATAAATATTTTAATATAATATTTAAAAACTATAAAGTAAATAAAGTTATTAAAAAAGATTCTAAAGTTGTGAATTTTTCATGAGAACTGGAACTAGAATCTAAGACAAAACGAAGACCAATATCAATAGAGCCTTGTCTATTTCTTTCTAATACTATGGTAAAGATATGTACACTCTCCTTATCTACTCTAATAAACACGGCAAATTTCATTTACCATTTTGCAAAATAATCGAAATATTATTTCAATTAGCTTTCTATAAACAGTGCTTACCCATGAAGCATCATCTACAGCGGTGCCTTCAGTCTGGACGAGCGGAGTGCGGCGCAGCGCGCGGACGATCCTCGCGCCGGAGCGACGCGCCGCCGCGAAGTTTGGAGCGAACGATAGGGCCTCTGCTAACATCCATGCCCCATAGATCAGGGCTTCCGAGACCCTATAGAAATAAAAGAAATGAAAAATAAGGATTTAGGATATAGTCAAGATTTTTTTTTATGTTTATCAAAAATTTGCTAAAGAAAGTATAAAGATATTTTCCAGTCAATCCGTAAATTTGATAGAAAATTTTAAATAAAACTGTCTTTTCGGATTTTTTCGCGGATTTATATTATTTTTTGATTCCCGGACGTTTTACAATTAAAATTGATAGAAAACTTTAGGAACAATACAGTGCAAAAATCTTCGTTATTATAAATCTAGACTCTGAATATATATTCTTATTCGATGTGTATGTCTATTCTCTGCGAACGACTGAAGAGATTTTGATGAAATTTTCGAGCAATCTTCAGATAAGCACAGCGGGTGATCCTATGAAGTTTGGTAGCGATTTGCTTAATTCTTTATTTATTTATTTATTTATTTATTTAATCATATATTTCAGGCAATATTTATAAAAAAGTCTTAAATATGTAAATAGAGGCCCATAACATATATACCTTAAAAACTAACGTATATATTAATTTTAAAACTTAAAAACTATTTGACACGTAGTGTAGACGTGTCAGCGGGCAAACGATCTCGGAACTTAAATTTAGTTTAATTTATAATAACATAAGACAACTTATGTTATTATAAATTAAACTATATTTAATTTTAATTTATAATATTAACGACTAGCACTATCCGCGGCACCGTCCGCGTTCAGATGACCAAAAACCAAATTTTTAGGTTTTACATATTGGTATACTCTAACAATGCAGTTTTTGCATTTTTTCTCAGAAATGAGATATTTTCTCGCGATAAAAAGTATCCTATATGTTGACCCGGATAACCAGTTACCATCATATCAAATTTCATCAAAATCCCTCTAGTGGTTTTTCCGTGATGTGGTAACAGACAGACAGACAAAAATTCTAAAAACTATAGATTCGGCCTTTGTATCGATATATAATAATACCTATTTCAATAAGATTTTCCAAAAAATATTTAATGTACAGATTTTACTTAGTTAGAATTTTATTATATGTATAGATACTCCCCAACCCAGAACCTATCTGATTATCCCATGAAATACTTACAAGATAGCGTATTCATAGTTCATGTCCTCCCTCGCGATGAGGTACCCGCCGTACGCCAGCGACACGGCGTACCCGAGCGTGGGCGCGCACAGGCACAGCCCGTACACCGGCCCGCGCACGCGCCGCGCGCCGCCCTGCTGCTGCGCCTCTTGCAAGGCCTTCTCGTATCGGTTAAGAATGGCATATTCCACTCCTGTTTAAGATATGAGTTGAATGGTTATATCTTTCTTTTATTGTTTACTTTAAAAGTTATGCGATACTTAAATATTTGAAGATTAAATTGTCGAAATTTAAAATTCAACTAGCATTGCCTGCGGCTCTGTCCGCGTTCAGATGACCAAAAACCAAATTCTTAGGTTTTACATATTAGTATACTCTTACAATGCAGTTTTTGTATTTTTTCTCAGAAATGACACATTTTCCCGCGATAAAAAGTATCGTATATGCTGACCCTGATAACCAGCTATCCTCATACTAAATTTCATCAAAATCCCTCTAGTGGTTTTTCCGTGATGCGGTAACAGACAGACAGACAAAAATTCTAAAAACTATAGATTCGGCCTCTGTATCGATAATAATGTCTATTTCAATAAGATTTTCCAAAAAATATTTAATGTACAGATTCGGCTTAGTTACAATTTTATTATATGTATAGATTTCTGGAGGTATAAAATATAAACTTGTCTAGATAGGGCAACTGTGATTCGTGCGGGGATACGAGTGGCATACATCATTTTTTAAGACAGTTGGGAAATCGCATTAGGAGTGACGGGTATCATTGCCACGATGCCACTACAACGCTTTAACTTCGAAACCTATGAAAATTGTGGTAGTTTTTGACTTGGTTTTAATATTTCATAGCAGTTTCGTAAAAATGAATGGGCTTTGTGGATTTTTGTACTGTAACTAACGACTTATTCTCGCTTCGCTCGGATGCGTCCAATAAGTAAGTTCTATGTAGATAAAAATAGTTATTGTGAGCATATCTTATGAGATAGACAAATGCTATTGTTAACTTTTCTGTAGGCCTTTTAAAGATCTACAATTTTCTAGTACATTGTTTTGATGTATCTCTTAAAGTTTAGACAGCGTTAGACATGTAAATTTCCATATGAACAATTCAACAGAATCAGTTATTGTGTTTTCCCGTGGGAATGAAAGATTATCCTTAAGTAAAAGTTATCCTAAATATTGATCCCGGTAATAAGTTATCAACTACATATTATTTAGTTAAAATCGGTTCAGTACTTTTTGCGAGAAACGCACATAGACAAACAGACAAAAATATTCAACAATTATTATTTTGGGTTCTATTTCTGTATACAATCATTGTTTTTAAAAGATATTTCATGTACAGATTTCGCTAAGTATTTTATTATATGTATAGATAATACATACCCAAGCTATGCACAGTGCGAACATTCATCACGGCCTCAGTCGCGAGACGAGACGCGCTCTCTAAAGCGAGCCGCTCTTTCACTTCCGACTTCTTCGTCATCCAACCTTCTAAGCAGATACCACCTATCACCTGTAAATATTTATTATTTTATAACATGTGAGAGTGTGTCGATTTTTAGTTTCATGCGGCAACATAGCGACAGATCGGTTTAACAGGTTTATAATTTTAACATTTCATCTTTATCCATTATTTTCGGATAATTTCGCGGTTTACACAATTTGGTTTCCAACAACTTATACATCAAAATATATTTTGAATTTTTGGCAGAATTAACTATTATCCAAATATACGAGAACCTTAATTATAAGCTATTGCGTAATTTAGTTTTTATTACATCCCAAACATCCTAATTATGTAATTTATATTCAGATCTCATTTGAAACATTCAACACTTGTTAATACGGTGAAGGAAAACATCGTGAGGAAACCTGCATATCTGAGAGAACCTAGCAAGTTTTCAAGACATGCTCAGTCCGCCCGCACTTGGCCAGCGTGGTGGAGTATAGCCTGACCTATTTATATTGAGGAGAGGCCCACCCCCAGCAGTGGGGTAGGAAAAATTACTGCATGTGTCAAAATGTTGCACACAGAACTAGTATCCCCTTCGTATTACGGAAAGATCCGTTCTTAACAGGGGGACGTTAATTAGCTAAATATACTTACACACGGCACACTCAGCAGGCTGACGAGTGTCATCTTCCAAGAGTACGTCATAGCCAATCCCACGCCCAGCGCCATTGTACTGATGCCTTGCAGCATAGTGCCCAGACGAGTACCTGAAAAATATTCATTAACCAATTATGGTTGGTGTCTAATTTTATGGTAAAAACTCTCAACACGGTGAAGTAGGAAGAGTTATTTTTTTTTTATTTCGCCAGAACGGCTGAATAGATCTGGATGGAATTTGACACAGAGATAGATTATAGTCTGAAATAGCATATAGGCTACTTTTTATCCCAGAAAAATATATGGTTTCCGTGGGATGGTTTTTTTTATTGTTTTTCACTAGGGACGAACCCGACCAAAGTGAGAGTGAGCCGCTAGTATATCTATAAATTTCGATTTCGAAAATGGCTCTAACGATTTGGATCAAATTTTGTATTTAGGAAAGGTTTTGCTTTTTAAGTTTATCTATATAGGTGTCTTTTTTGAAAAAACGCCGCTCAGTTTTGAACGTCATTATTGTACATTTTCAAAATTTCTTTAAACTTCAGTAAGTCTGTGAGAAGACGGAAGTCAGGAGAGAGTGAGTTCAAGAAGCTGGCTTATCCAGTAGAGTGCACGTACCGGTGGCGCCCTGCACCGCCGCGCAGTCCGACGCCAGCCTCGCGCACAGAGCTCCCACCGAGTTGGCCGGGATGTCGAACCAACCTTGTTCCTAAAAACGCATAAGTTATTAGTAGTCTTTACATTTTCATGGTCACAGACAATATTAAAACCGGATATTTACCATGTTTGTATTTACTTTTGAGAGTTACACCCGTGACCATGGCGCTTGTAACAGTGCCGTACTCTCATAAATAAATAAAATAAAAAACCTCCCGGTACACATACCGTTTTACATCAATCATCATAATAGTAAGTATAAATAATTATTTTTTTGTATGTTTTATACATTCATTTTGTTAGAAAATCAAAACTGTAATTTTATGGTATATCAGAATCGAATGTATTGTTACCTGTACTAAATAGTTCTGGAAGGTCAACACTCGCAGCCGGTCCGTCAGGCGCGCGCCCGCCAGCCCGAACAGCCAGGTCTGCAGGAAGGTGACGAGGCCGCTGACGGCCGCCGCCAGCGCGAACATGCCCGCGTAGAAATGGGAATGGCGTAGGATTTCATCATGGTCTGTCCAGGAGAACATCTGAAAAACATATATTTTTTAATAATGATTTATCTCATAAGATTTTGTTACAGATTTATGTGCCTGGGTATAGAGTAGATTGTATTCATCCATTTTTAACGTCTGTCTGCTGGGCATGGAGCCCCCTTCACTACCAGAGAGATTAGGCTTTACGTTTGTCAATTGCGAGTTGGCGGACTTCACAAGTGTTTGGAAAACTTGTCAGGTTTTCTCAAAGATGTAGGTTTTCTCACGATGTATTCCTTCAATTCAAGTTTCTTCATTCAAGTCGTAATCATGTTGGAAATGATTCGCACATGAAAATATAAGAGGTGTGGAACCCGGGATTTGAACCCGCTTCACCGGTTTCCAAGCAAATGCGTTGCTAATGGTTAGAATACAATTTCAGTCCTTCAATGAAATTCGAACCAGTTATAAATGTAATTTCTAATTTAGTTGTTTCGAAGATTTGCACAAACAATCATAATTCTCAATTTTTATAACTGAAAAAAAAATACAAATTTATATCTGCAAAGATCACTTACGCCATATAACTTAGAGAAGAGTAAAGCGAACACGGGCATGGTTGCTCCGATGACCAACGAAGCCAGCCCTCCTCCAAGCAGCAACGGCCACTCCTTGCTGTTCAGCTTGAGGAGTTGCCAGGTGGTGACATCTGTTTCCTCCTCTTCAGGAATGACTTCTTCCTGTGACATGAAGATATAAAATTCTTAAGTCCAAAGTAGAGGAAGTATCCACTATCAAATTTAGTATTAAATTTTTCTGAAGGTTCAAGCAATAAAGAAGTTTAAGCTATATCGCACTAAAAAATATTATTTCATATAATAAGTCATGTCATTGCCATTGAATCATTTTAACAGAATGCTAAAATATAAAAAATATACGAAAAATAACATGAAATCTGTGCTCGACTGACATGTTTTGAAGCTATTGACAGCAGAATTGAATTGAAAAATAACAAGAGTTTATTTCCTAACCTCCTCCACAACAGCAGTGGCGGGAGTGGCTTGCGTCATCAGCGCACCCAACCTCCGGCTTCCTCGAATGAAGCTGTCTCGCACGATGGAGTCTGAAAGTAAGTATAGTTAGTACTTTCTTAGATTTACGCAAATATTTTAAATGAAACTATCCTTTCAATTTAAACTAATTAAAATATATATAAAAAAAAGGTTTTATTTTAAAAGAAAGTTTATTTCAACTACGGCTTCGCCCGGATTCTAGCTTCGGATCGCTAACAAATGTCACAGTATCACCCGCTAGGCTTATCTGAAGATTGCCCAAAAATATCATCAAAATCGCTCCAGTGATTTTGTGATCCATAGGGAACATACATACATACACATCAATTTTTATCATGGTCATTTCATTTTAAGAGTCTTTTACTGGTTATTAAATATTGATTTTTTTTAGCATCTATCAAATGTTTTTGTGTCAGTTCTATTTAAATATTTAAACCGAAAAAATATTAGCACAGAAACAAATAAAAAAAAGTAATATTTGGATCTGTTTTTTGGCGAAAAAATAGAAAAAAAATATAAAAGTCAAGAATTGTATTACCTTTGGAACACACGCTGCTATTTCTTCGAATTGGTCTCAATTTGATCTCGGCCTCACTCTCTAAAAATTCGTCGTCTTCATCCTCATTCTCCGGCAGAGGTGCGCCTGCACTCCTATATTACCAAAAAACGAAAGTTTAAAGGTTATAATTTTCACTTTAGGTATTATAATTGCGTTATTTTCTATAATATTTTCTTAGATTTACGCGAATATTTGGCATTTTAAATGAAACTATCTTTTTGGTTGTTTTTCGCGTATTTAATTTACGTGTGTAGCCACTATCTGTAACAAATAATATAAATAATGACCTTTGAGACGTCTAAAACCTTAGTCTCTCCCGTGACCATGATTGCATGATGCTGTAAAGCATTCGAAATATCCGAAAAGATAGTTTGTTTCATTTATAATGTGTTAATTTGTTTGTTTCCACCAGCAAAGGTACAACCAATCCCGTGGGATATTAATATGTATATTTAAAATGAAGGCCAGGTTTCTCTTCACGGTTTCTATATGTATGAAAGCAAATAACCTATGTGTCATGTCATCTTGTAAAAGTCGCCAATATGCGCCTTTCTTCTCCAGTAGCTCGAGGTGAGTCCCCTGCTCGAGAACTGAACCCTGTTCTATGTAGACTATACGAGAGGCATTCACTATTGTTGAGAGTCTGAAAAGAAAATGAAGATATATTTAGAAATATACGTATAATAAAACTTTTGCATAAAAGCTCGTCTGTCTACTTTACCAGAATTTATTTACATAAAGAATGCGTGAGAACTAGAGTGAGAGAAAGAGAGTGAGAGAGAGATTTTAGGCTAAATTCTTTGTTAAACTCTCATTCTGATATATGCGAGAGAGAAAGAGAGAATTAGGGAATGTGGTTATGTGCTAAAAAATCGCGTGTAGTTATATAATAATTTAAAATACCAACCTGTGTGACACCACTAGCGTAGTTCTTCCGACACTGGCAGCATCTAGCGCAGCTTGAACCTAGAAGAATAAAATCATTTTTTAAAATAAAAATATACTTAGCTATACCTTAATATATTACTAGCAGAAAAAAATGACTAACTGATCTAAATCGCGCTTCACTTATTACTTGTACTGTTAGATCTTGTTTTAACGTCAATATTATTTAACGTAGCATACAAATTATAATTTTCGTACTATAAGTGAGAGTATTTCACCATAACCACTTCTAAGAAATAGCGAAAAAAATCTTAATCACTATTACCTATAATGCGGTTCAAACAATGAAGTTTCACGTTTCAGTTTAGATATTTTTATGGTAATTCTGCAATTTGTCAAACCTGTCTCTCAGCAGCGGGATCCAATGCAGAGGTCGGTTCGTCCAGCAACAAAACGGCAGGATTCCTCAAAAGTGCTCTTGCTATTGCGACCCTTTGTTTCTGACCTCCTGACAATTGAGCTCCCTTCTCACCCAGAACGGTATCGTAACCCTGAACATAATATAAAAGAACATACTTATTATGATTTTTTAAAGATGAAGTTTGAAATATTTGTGTATTTGGGACAAAAATATTTGCGAAGAAGCGAAGGTCAAGGGTGAAAAGTTAAATTCATATATATCTTTTTACTTCTCTTGGAGAATAAACTGAGAGAGAAAAGCAAAACTTTTCTTCGAACACTTTTCCCACTTTTCCACATAAGTGTTTGTTACATTCTATTTTCCTTAATCCCAAATTGAAATTATGAATTATACATTTGATACATATTAAAAATTCAAATTCAAATCCTATTCCTATTTGAAGATGTACTCTCACAAAAAAACATCTATTATTTAAGCTCAATTCAATTTTCTAATTAACGGCTTTAAAGCGTGACAGATGAGCACAGTTTACTTCGTCAATGTCTTTAGATGAATAACTTACATTAGCTAGCTTCACTATAAACTGATGCGCGTGCGCAATTTTCGCAGCTTCTATCATCTCCTGCTCCGTGCCATTGTCTACGCCCATCATGATGTTGTCTCTTATTGTTCCACTGAATAGTACAGGTTCCTGACCCACCACACCTATAAGAATGAATATTTGGTCAGCGGGAATTGCGATTAAACATACTGGGGATGGAGAACATGGAGAAAAAGTTATATTTAACTGTGACTCTAACTTTTTTCTAATCTTATTGAATTAAGAACACTGGAGGTACCTTTTTTACGCCGATATGGCAAAAAACACTAGATATGAAAGATAAAATAGGCCACAAACTACAGTTACTTATCAACAGCCAGGTCGTAAACTTATTTATTACCATTCCTACATATTATAAATTAAAATTCCACGTCACACTGAGTTTGTGTTTGTTAGTGCTAATCTTAGAAATAACCGTACTGATTTTCATACGGTTTTTACTAACAGAAAGAGGGATTTTCTAAGAAGTATATAAATAACAATTTTGTGAAAATAAGCTATCGGTATAAGCTTTGAAAAAAAATTGGACTTTCTGAGAGTTTCAGCAGTATTACAAAAAGGAAATCTAAGAACAGATAAGGTGGATTACTATTTATGGTATGGAGAAAAAAACAAAACCTCAATCCAACGTACCAATACTGCGTCTAAAATGATGCAAATGTAGATTGTTCAGTTTCTCTCCATCAAAAGATATGTTCCCGCTATCAGGCTCGTACGCTCTCTGCAGGAGCTGGAGTAAGGTGGACTTCCCACATCCAGACCCTCCCACGAGAGCTACCGTCTCCCCGGCGTTCACTCTGAGAGTGAGTCCTCGGAGGACCTAGATTTGTAAATTAGGTAGATTCATGTTATTTTTTAACAGGAGTTTCTTTCTTTATATATTGGATTAAATTTATTTTTATGGTCGAAATAGTACCGTAGTTAATGAGAAAGAAAAGTCTTGGGATAAGAATTCTTACGATGTACTAAAATTAGCATGATCCGTGCTGAGTAATAGATTTTATTGGCAAATTTTGCTGTTAATCAGACACATTTGTGCTAATCTGTTCTAATGCACAATCTATATTATAGATAAAGTCTGGAAATATGAAAACCATGAGGGACTGATGACAATTTATTTACATGTATTGAATCGCGTTTCTTTTTACTTCAGCCAAAGTAGCATTAGTGTTTATTATTTTTAACTTTATCTAATTTATCTAATTTTTTAAGTTTTATCTAACTTTATCTAATTTATCTAACTTTATCTAATTTTTTAAGTTCTGATATAACAGAATATGATAACTTACTTTTACATCCGGCCTTGAAGGATAGTTAAAGTACAAATTCTCAAATACGATGTCGCCTCTAAATTTCTCAGGTTTTATTCCTGAGTCGTTAAGAGCGTTAATTTTGGAATTCCTCTCTAATAATTTAAACAGTGACTTGGCCGCTCCTCTCGCGGTTGAGAATATTTCCAGATGGGGATTGCACATGGCTATGTTTTGAGCGGCCATGAACGAACAAAATAAGACCTGGAAGAAGAAATGAAAATATTTTCTATTAATTTGTTTAATGAACTATGCAATTTTGAGCGTGGAGTTATATATAACTATATAACTCCAAACTCAAAATTGCAGAATGACCAATAATGGTGATGACCATTAACCATGTTCATAAAAAATCATATTTTGGTTCACTTCAGACTTAGCTACTAGCTTAGACTATATATATATATATATATATATATATATATATATATATATATATATATATATATAGTTCTGAAAATATATGGCGAGAAACTAAAGTTTAAATTGTGGGTAGGCTGTCAGTAACTATATAATATACAACTATATAATATACTATAAACTATATAATACTTTTGAGACATCTAACAATTCAGTCTCTCCCGTGACCATGATTGCTGTAAAGCATTCCAAACGTCAGGAACCAAAAATCAAAATAAATTCGCAATATAATCCGAAAAGATAGTTTTATTTAAAATGTTTAAATTTATATATTAGGAAATTTTATCAAAACAATTTTAAATAATAATTATTGATATAAAAAAGAACAATTTAAATTGGATCTATACACATATTTTAGTGCTACGAAAACACAAACGGTTATCGAACTGGTAACATTCTTTAAATGTCTAAATCAAAGGATAACTAACCGTGACTAGTATACCAGGGTGGTATGTCCTCTCGTCGATGTCCAAGTCCAAGTCCTGAACACATAAAGCGGCCCCATATGCGAACACTATAGCATTCAAACTGTAGGTCAAAAGCCAGCCCAAGCCTGCGCCCGCGCCGGACCACGCGCAACGTTTCTTTGCCGCTTTGTTGGCGCCTGTTAATGCTTCTGAATATCTGGAATTTGGATTAAACCGATTGTAAATTCTGTGTTTTCATATTATGTTTTACAAACATGGGATTTAGTATAAATTGGGTTGGAATTTTATATATTTATGGAAACTCTTGGCCTATGAAGATGAAGTGCTAAGCATTTCTTAAAAGACATAACACCTCGTCTTATCGCCTCTACTGGTGCCAGAGCTAGCGCATTTTTCGCCCAAATTTTGCGATTCAGCGAGAGAATGCGGCTAACATTCTTGCCAGTATTCTATGCGGACATGACTTGTACAGTAATTTAGTGTACATTTGTTTTGTTATAATTAAGTATATTTGTAATTTAAATGTGTTTCCTGTATTGCAATAATTTTAATTGAAATATAAATATTATATTCATATCTATCTATATTTTCCTTGGGTTTTTTTCAACAGAACTGCTTTTTCAGCTACTGACATTAGTCACAGACGTACAATACTAACATTTAATTTAAATGTAAAAAATAATTATTTGAAAGTGTTTGTAAGTCACTATAAATTATTGTCATTTAGTTTTGGTTCATCCTTTATTCAACTATTTAAAGAATGATATAAAATATGTGAATAACGTGATTATTATAATATTCCATCTGATGGTTCCCGCGGGATATTGGACTTGCAAAAACCTTTTTAGGAATACTATATAGGTAACTAGCATTGCCCGCAGCTCCGCCCGCGTTCAGATGAACAAAAACCAAATTCTTAGGTTTTACATATTAGTATGCTCTTACATTGCAGTTTTTGTATTTTTTTCTCAGAAATGAGATATTTTCCAGCGGTAAAAAGTATCCTATATGTTGACCCGGATAACCAGCTATCACCATACCAAATTTCATGAAAATCCCTCCAGTGGTTTTTCTGTGATGCGGTAACAGACAGACAGACAGACAGACCAAAATTCTAAAAACTATAGATTCGGCATCTGTATCAATAATATCAATAATAATGTCTATTTCAATAAGATTTTCCAAAAAAATATTTAATGTACAGATTCGGCTTGGTTACAATTTTATTATATGTATAGATTAATAATATAAATTTTATTGTTCCTTACTTTTCAACTTCCACTTTTTCTCCCGAGTACGCTCTAACAGTTCGGATGGCGGACAGAGCTTGTTCCACAACTCGTCCCGCCGTCCCGTATGCGACTACTTCATCTGCTGAGCAACGGGTTTGATTCTGGAGCAAAACATCAATATTTACATTATACAGCTAAGTTATATCGCACTATTACTATAAATGCAAAAGTGTGTATTTGTTACTCCTTTACGTAAATTGTAAACTTGTTATTAGATTTTGCACCAAATCATTAAAAGATTAAATTGATGTTTACAATATTTTTTTCTTAAATTGACAAAGTAATAGAACAAGTCTGGTAAAGTAACTGAAGTTTATGCCAACGATTTCTGTTGGACTTTATCAACAAATTATCTTATTTTTTGACCACCTTAAAAAATGAAACAATTATTTTTTAAAATTTCATATTGAATACCTTAGCAACAGTAGCGGCAACAAACAAAGCAATGGGCACAACGGCCAGGCCCGTGAGCGTCAGCTGCCAGCCGTGCGCCAGCGCGACGGCGGAGGCTGTGAACACACTGCCAATGAGGTACGACGCCATCGCCACGTGCTGACCGACACCCATTTTCAATTTGTCTATATCTCTGAAAGGAAAGATAGATTTCTATATTTCTGAAAGAAAAGATTGCTTTTTGTTTTTGTTTGTTTAAACGCTTTAATCTCTGAAACTACGAAGTACTGTACTCTCCAAACGACGTGCAAATTGAGAGTGCTAGTTCAAATTTAAACTTTACACATTCTTGGTATTTCAGAAATACACTTAATATTTATCAAAAACTCTACTAGCGGTTCAAAAAATATGACCTCAGTCTTGAGAAGAACTGCTGGAAAAAGGCTGGTCTACACCTCTTTTTATGTTTAAAATATAACGATAGTCTATTTATATAACTTACTCTGTGAGTGCTGACGCAAAATTCATTGTGGTGTTTGTGTCGAAAAACGCTGTCTCTTGACTTAAAACTGATCTAAGGAGTTTCCATCTTAACCTCGTTATCTGAAATTACATAATTTTGGCTTAATTGGTATTAACTTGCAACTGTAAAAATATAGTGCATTATAAAGTTGTAAAAAGTTATAGTTGGTGTGAGATAATGCGAAAATGAGCTTGTTCTTGTTTAAAATTCAGATTTTAAAGTATATCCATGGGTGTATTTCAGAAATACACTTAAAACTTTGCCAAAACTTTGCTAAAAACGAAAAAAATGCCCAAGTCCTGAGACGAACTGTCGAATGAAGCTCGGCGGGACTATTATAGAGATTTTTTTTAACTTTTTATATGTATATAAAATTAAAAATTTACAATATATAGAGCGTTGATAAAGCTGATTATGTCAGACTACTTTTTAAATGAAAAATAAATATTTTCGGCTTTTGTAGCGGTTTTATTGTATATTTTTGCTCCCGACATTTTTGCTAAAGACCACAGAGAGTATTTTCCTGAAAATTTTCGCCGAGATAACAACTTGGAAATTGGAGTATTAGATTTTAATATTGCAAATCATATTTTCTCACAAGTTTTAGTTTGTTATATAATATTTTTTTGTAGGATTTTCCCTAAACCTTATTTACTTTACGGTCAGGTCAATTATATAATACTAGCGTTTCCTGCGGCTCCACCCGCATAGTACATTTATCACCAACATATCATATACTAAAACCTTCTCCGAAACACGCTGCATCTTATGGTATGAGTATTATTCCGATCGGTTCAGTAGTTATCGCAGTATAACCGAACAAAAAAATCGGCTCTCCATTTATAAGTATAGATGCCTCTGAGGTTTAAGTTAGTATGACATTTTCTCAATTTGCAAAGACCTTTATATCTGTGAGTTCAACGTAATTAGGTTATACCAATATTTTAAAATATATGTATGTACTAGCGGACCCGACAGACGTTGTCCTGTCTACACGTCTTTAATTTGAAAATTTCAAACTTTTTTTAATAATTTTTTTGATGAAAATTATTATTCAAATTGTAAATCTAAACCATTCCCAGATCCCCATGAACACACACAAAAAATTTCATCAAAATCGGTCCAGTCGTTTGAGAGAAGTTCAGTGACATACACACTCACAGAAGAATTATATATATAAAGATAATATTATAAATAGCAAATAAAATGTTCAATGCTACCTTTGATGATATGTCAATGCAAAATGTCAGGTTTTAAAACTGGATATTTTAGTTTTTAATACGTAAAACAAAAAAAACGTTCCATCTAACTCCTGAAACTCGTTACGCCTGTGACCTTCACCTTACCATACATGTCTTGATCAATATCAATTTTTTTCTAAAGTTCGAATCTATAATAAATATGTGACTTCAAATTCCAATTCAAATTTTAATATGAACAGCTTTACAGCAAATATAGTTACGAGATAGTTTCTCAGTAAGAAAAATACCCTTAACTTAAAAAACTCATAAAATCAATGGGGCATAATATGAAAGATTGCGAAGAATTATTTAAAGTCCAAAATTTCAACTATTAACTAAAACAATCTTCTTTCATGTCAGAGGTTAGTATAATAGAAATAGTTTTACCATTCTCGATCCAGCCCAATTGGCAAGAGTGACGGCTCCAGCAGCTGCGACCATCTGGCACGCCATAATGGCGAGACTGGCGTATGCGAACGACATCGAGTCTTCGACCAACGCGTCCATGTGAAGGGTTCTGTTGCCATGGTCTCTGAAAAATAAAAGAAATATTGTATCGATATTGTAAGCCCATAGAAAACACTTTTGATGTTCTCCTGACCGATTCCGGCCACGGCGGCCAATCTCATTGAGACTAGCCAACTGCGCAGGAGATATTATAGTGCTCAAGTGTACGCGCAGACACAGCGTGCACTCTCTGTTCCTGTCACTCTCATACTCCGGTGGGACGACTGCTCGACACGACCGGTGAGAGTTAAGGCGCAGGACCGACGGCTTTTAGTACACTCCGAGGCACGGGGGTGACACACCGCCAACTTCCCAACTCCGGGCTGTTACTGGGACTTACTATATAGATACCATAGAAAAAATAGTGGTCACTTCAGTTTACTCAAGTGTCTTTTTGAAGTGAAACTTCTTTAGAATCGTTGTGATTTGAAACTCGATGCAACGGTTTTTTTTATTTTTTTTTTATTATTGTGCGATAGGCTTGCGCTTGACTACAATCAGCGCTGAGAAGCACTGATGAGGTCTAGGATGGATCGCGCTTGCCTAGAAAATGCCTATTCACTTTTGCCCTGATGATTCTTTTGGTAGGTTATATTGGTACTAATAACATAAAATACTATTAAAAAGAAAGGTATTTTTTTATAAGGTGTTAAAAGGTTTTGCCTGATCTGTTGAATTTTCAATAAAAAGTAGGGAAAATGTATACAAATGAAGTATATTTTAAAAAACATATTGGGATTTTAGATTTCGCGGCTGGAAGAATTTCAAAAGAAATTGGAAAATTTGTTCACAATTCGGCTTTTTTTCAAATTAAATAAATAAATATGTTGTTACATTACCACTCATTACCATCTAGTTCCATCGTAAGCTACGAGGCTTGTGTTATGGATACCAGATAGTTGATACACTACACATATATAAATTCAAATACATACATATTATAAATATAAACACCCACGACTGGATTACAAACGTTCGTGCTTATCACACAAATGAATGCCCCAGCGGGACTCGAACCCGCGACCGCTGGCACAGTATACAGTGGAGTTACTATAAACTAAACCAAACGTGTCGTCAATTGGTACATTTTGACTTACAAAAAATTATTCATAGAAAAACAATACTAATTACAATAGATATAGAACAAAATTGTAAACACAACATTTTATCTATTTTTTATAAACATGTAAGAAAAAAATCGTCAAATTATAGGTACATGTCTTTTAATTATAGTTATAAAAAATATTTTAGTAATCCACGTGGGATTGTTTATAATAATTTTTATGTAACAAAGAATTCGGTTAAGCGTGAGTCGGATTCGCCATTAGTGTTCTTTATTATTATTATTCTGGTGTGCTTACAATTTCCTATATATATTTATTTCGGACTAGATTTTACGGCGCCATTTTGTCCGCAAAAATATATATTATTTAAGTTTAAAACAAAAGTGTTGCCATAGTATACAATAAATGGATTACGATATTTTTATTCGTAACTAGCAGAACCTACAGCTTCGGTCGCGCTAAAACTATCTAATCTCTAAAAAGGTAGTTTCATACAAACTTTTATCCCCTATTTTACCCTCTTATAGGATGAATTTCGGAAAATGCTAAAACACGTATTTATTTATTTTTATTGAAGAGCCAACCAAGTTTTACGTAATTCTGATCATAAATATTTTTTGGGTTGTATTAAAGCCTGTTTTCCCGTGGGAATGAGATAATTTCTCGCGGTAAAATGTAGTCTATATCACTCTCCAGCTCTCCAACTATCTCCACACAAAAAATTACGCCAATCCGTCACTCTGTTTCGACGTAAAAGAAGGACAAACAAACACATTTTCACATTTATTATATTAGTATGGATAGATTCAAGTATTTTAACTAAAAGCGTGCGCATACTTTGTTTGTAGCTGACAGAAGTGCACAGAACAAAATGTGGCGTGTATGATGCAATATGGGTCAAAGCTCAAAAGCCACGAGCTCGATCCCGCGGGATGAATTGTCGAGGAAACACAAGTCCGAGTTTATTGAGAGTGATCGTGATGGGAATTGCCACCAATTAGGAGTTAAATTAGTTATATTGGTATGAAGGAAAACATAATTAGGTGACTTTATCGTTGCCTTAGTGCATATTTGTTAAAACAACCAATATTTCTTGTACTTTACAGTAGACAATTTTATTTCTCTATTATAAAAAAAGGTTTTCTAAGATTTATATACATGTATAGATAAAATACATTTTTTCCACTTTATTAAAGCTAGCGATTACGTTTTAACGTTTAGTATAGATCTCTCAGAGATAAGATATTTTCCTGCAGTAAAAAGTTTCCTATATATTGACCCGGATAACCAGCTATCATCATACTAAGCATCAAAATCCAGTTATTTCTCGTGTTGCGTTTCCAGACAGACAGATAGACAAAAATTCTAAAAACTATAGATTCGGCCTCTGTATCTATAATAATTACAATTTCAATACGAATTTCCAAAAAATATTTATACAATAATATTATTTCAACAACTGTAGATTTGTAGTAATAAATGAAAAGTTAGCTTTCAAATGAAAAAATTGAAAGAAAACATTTTCGCTAAGAAAACTACTATAGACCTATTGATACAGTGACAATGCACCTGCGGTTCTGCAGTTTTGTAACATAAATATATATATATATATATATATATATATATATATATATATATATATATATATGTATATATATATATATATATACTAAGTGCATGAACGAACCGTAGGTGTTATGGGCGACACGTATTGCTTTCCATCAGGTGGTCTGTCTGCTCGTTTGTCACTGAGCACCATAAAAAAAATTTACTGGGGTTTTGTTTATTTTTTACGGAACTCTAAAATACGTGTTAAATCAACTTAATATTAACAGAACTTGATTTTTTTACTTACAGATTTCGTACAAAAACTCAATACGAGTAGTACATAAGATATATTAGTCACGTTAGTTTTTTAACACTGTAATTGGAAGTTAAAATATAATTTTCTGAGCAAAAAACCTTTTTTAAACATCGTATACGAGTAAATTTAGTCGTTTTTGTCTTCACAAATTGATTGTCCACTGAATGTGTTTTTATTGTATTGTAGTTGATTCTAGCTTAGACTAGAATCTAGACTATATGGAAAAAGCTGTTTTAATTTTAATTTTATAACCTGTACTAGCGACTCACCCTCACTCCGCTCGGGTTCGTCCCTACTTACGTTTTAGCGTTTAGTATAGATTTCTCAGATATGAGATATTTTACCGCAGTAAAAAGTATTCAAATTCAAATAATTTATATGTTGACAAGGATAATCAGGTATCACAATACCAAATTTCGTCAAAATCCCTCCAGTAGTTTTTCCGTCATGCGGTCACAGACAGACAGACAGACAGACAAAAATTCTAAAAACTATAGATTCGGCCTCTGTATCGATAATAATATCTATTTCAATAAGTCTTTCCAAAAAATATTTAATGTACAGATTCTGTTTAGTTACAATTTTGTTATATGTATAGAAGAGAGTCAGATTAACAATGATTAGTTTTTAAACTTACAATTTCCTGCCCCCTCCAAATAAATGTAAGATCAGGGCCTTTGAAGGAGGTGGCTCGGCGTTGTGACGTTGGATGAATAATGAGGTGAGCTCCCCATAGATGAGGACTGCGGCCACCAGGCCTCCGGAGCACAAGACCCCTAGCAGGGCTCCTAAGCATGTGCATAGGACTTCGCCCCATGTGGAATATCGCCACTGAAACAAAAAGGTATATTTACTATACACAATGCCTGGACGAACGGTTTTCCGGAAAAGATGTAAAAGATATAATGAACTTAAAAAACCAGCAAGCAAAACCTTATCTAAACACAAAACTCGGTTTCCGAGTACTTGAAATTATATACAGGAATTGTTCATTCAATATTATAAGATACTAGCGACTCACCCTCGCTCCGCTCGGGTTCGTCCCTGGGGTGGGGTCTGGGAGGACCACCCTTATCCTTATCACTTAGGGGTATGAAAAATAGATAGTAGCCGATTCTCAGACCTACTGAATACGCATATAGAATTTGGTAAAAATCGGTACAGCCGTTTCGGAGGAGTACGGTAACAGACATTGTGACATGGAAATTTTATATATAAGACTAGCGGACCCGACAGACGTTGTCCTGTCTACATGTCTTTAAATAAAGATTATGCTTAATAATGTCTTGATTTGTCTATAATTTTCAAACATTGGACATTTTAAATGAAACTTTTTAGCAAAATCGATCAAAAAATATGTTTTTTTTGATCAATGCTTTTTGGTTTCCGATGTTTCGAATGATTAACATCAATTATGATCATTTGAGAGAGACTGACCTATTATTTTGATTACATTTCTCAAAAGCAAATATTTTTAGAGTTAAGAATGGGTGCGTAAATGTGTTTATTGGATGATAATTGTCGTTTTCTTTTAACTCGCTTTAATTAGTTTCATTTGTAACTAAATTACTAATTAACTGATAAAATTTTAAGTCTTTTGATAAGTATAAAGGACTAGCGACACGTTCTCGCTTCGCTCGGGTTCGTCCCTAGGTTGATTCCCCATACATACGTTCATCCCCATTTTCACCCCCTAAAGGGATGATTTCCGGGATAAAAAGTATTTTATGTCCTTCCCAAGGTCTCAAACTATCTTCTTACCAAATTTCATATAAATCGGTTCATTAGATCCAGAGATTACCCCCTACAACGTCACAAACTCACAAACTTTACCTCTTTATAATATTAGTATAGATAACAATACAATAAAATTATTAAATATCATAGAGTTTACTAGCGGACCCGACAGACGTTGTCCTGTCTACACGTCTTTAATTTAAAAATTTCAAACTTTTTTTAATAAATTTTTTGATGAAAATTATTATTCAAATTGTGAATCTAAACCATTCCCAGATCCCCTTGAACACACACAAAAAATTTCATCAAAATCGGTACAGTCGTTTGAGAGAAGTTCAGTGACATACACACTCACAGAAGAATTATATATATAAAGATAAGTAACCAGTGAAGAGCCACTGGTTACTAGTAAAAGCCCTCGAAATTTGGTCCATTTCATTCATTTTGACGAATACGACGAAGAAAAACTATAATTATTCACAGATTGAATTAACTTTTAAAGTTTGTGAACCAATCTAATGGATAGAACTGAAATTTATTAATGTTAAGACACCACTGTATGTAAATAATTTAGATGTATGTATGTTATAGGTATCTGCGTAACTTTGAATTTAGCGAAGACGGGGTGAAAAATTGGTATGTATTCAGATTTTTTAATGTCCCACTGCTGGGCACGATCCCACCAATGCGAGAGAAATCAGACCATAGTTCACCACGCTGGCCAAGTGCGGGTTGGCGGACTTCACATGTCCTTCGGAAACTTGCTAAGTTCTCTCAGACATGCAAATGGTCTGATAAGATCATATCATGACCGTAAGTCAAGTGGTGATCATGTTGGAAATGATTCGCACATGAAATTATCAGAGGTGCGAGACCCGGGATTTGAACCCGCTTCACCCGGTTTCCCAAGCGAGCGCGTTTCCACTGGCCTACCACTGCCTCTAACAATAATATATAATATTAAATGCAGGAAATTTAATGCTTTTAAACAAAGGCAAATAAGGTTTTTAAGTATTGCAAAATACAATTTTTTATGAGGAAGACGTATATTGTTGATTAATGTTAAGTGATCTTTATTAATGACTCATTTAGTATGAGAATATTACTGTTTGTTTACATATTATAAGGTTTTTATAGATCCTGCGCAGACGCAACTCGTTCAGAAGTACTTTATGTATATATAAGTAATTAAATATCTATACTAATATTATAAATTCGAAAGTAATTTTGTCCGTCTGTCTGTTACCTTTTCACGCTTAATCTGCTGAACCGATTTAGATAAAATTTGGTATGGACATAGTTTAAGATCCTGGGAAGGATTTAGAATAGTGTTTATCCCTGAAATCGTGTCTTAAGGTGGTGAAAAGGAGGATGGAAGTTTGTATGGGAAATCAATCGTTTCTCGAGTAAGGGGTATAAAACTCATCATAATTATACTTTTGGTAAGAAATATATGTAGGTATATATACTCTACCTATTCCATATTAAACGATAAAACTTACGTTTTAAACTTACGTTAGACGAACCCTAAAAAAGAATTTAAGTTTTGCATTCTGAGTTCCTAAACCGTTCTTCCGATTGTGATGAAACTTTCCTGAGTTGTTCTGCGTACGCCGAATATTTTTGGTCGAAAAATATTTTTCTTTGTATGTTTGTCCTATATGCGTTTCTAAGCTTATTTATTTAAACTCTAGCGACGCAGTCTGGCAAAGCAAGGTTAAGCCGCTAGCCGTAGAGTGGTTATTGATTTTTTCAGAGTATCATGTTGAGATTTACATGTTCAATACTATGTACAATATTTTAATTCGACTATTGATAAAAAATTTTTATTAATAACACTAAGCCTCGTCAATCTATACTAATATTATAAAGAGGTAAAGTTTGTTAGTTTGTGACGTTGTAGGGGTAATCTCTCTACTGAACCGATTTAAATGAAATTTGGTAAGAAGATAACTTAAGACCCTGGGAAGGACATAAGATTCTTTTTATCTCGGAAATCATCCCTTAAGGGGATGAAAATAGGGATGAACCCGAGCGAAGTAGTAGTAGGTGAGTCGCTAGTAGCTATTAAAAAAAAATAAAGACAATCGTTTGACAAACAGAGGAGAAAGTAGCACCGAACTGTTTTATCTTTGCCTATTTAAATATTTCTAAAAGTCCCAATAAGAGACAAGATGTCAGATATACGTAATTTTAACATAATAATGCTAATTTAGATCATTGTCAAATATAATATGAAGTCATTAAAAATTAACTACAGCCCGAAGGTCAGGAGCTCAGTAAAAATTTATACATGTTTTAGTATCGTGGGAACCCAACTGTTTGCGCATTATGCCTTATTTAGTTAATTTACGTCGCCAATTGACACTAGCAGAGGTCACGGGTTTGATTCCGGTACGACACTGTTTTTGTGAGTTTTGTGTCTAGTCTAGAGAGAGAAAGAGAGCTGGTGGTCGTAGAACGGATCAGCTGGAGACCGGGGAAGTACCTACTACCTTAAACCCTGATAGAATATCGATGTACAGTAGCAGTGCACATCAGTGACGTTGTTAGGGTGAGGACCCATCTCGGGTGTCACTCAATTAGGGGTGACATCCTTTTCCCGCATATCACCCGATTAAATAAACGATTCAATAATGATTTTCATTTACATATATAGTAGACTTCCGAGGCAAGAGTTTATTTTTTTCTTTACGGCTAACACCGATTACCACCTTGGGTGTCACCCATGTAAGCCACTCTATTTCGATTCCGATTTATTCTGCCATGTTTAAATTTTGTTTTATTTGCCAAAATTATTAAGAGAAATAAATTAATGGATGGTTTATATCTTACTAGCATTGTCCGCGGCTCCGCCCGCGTTTAGATGACCAAAAATCAAATTCTTAGGTTTTACATATTAGAATACTCTCACATTGCAGTTTTTGCATTGTTTTCTCAGAAATGAGATATTTTCCCGCGGTAAAAAGTTGTATCCTATATGTTGACTCGGATAACCAGCTATCACCATACCAAATTTCATCAAAATCCCTCCAGTGGTTCTTCTGTGATGCGGTAACAGACAGACAAAAATCCTAAAAAACTATAGATTCGGATTCTGTATTGATAATAATTCTGTATTGATAATTATTGATATAATTTTTGTCTGTCTGTCTGTTACCGCATCACAAGAAAATCACTGGAGAGATTTTGATGAAATTTGGTATGATAATAGCTGGATGTCGGGGTCAACTTTTACTGAGGAAAAATATCTCATCTCTGAGAAATCTATACTAAACGACATAACGTAACTAGGAACGAAGTCGCTAGTTAAATTTAATGTCAGTCAGTACATGAGGAATCTAACACGGTTGTATTATTTTTGCATAATATAAGCAGATCCACTGGTTATAACTACTTTTTGTTATAAGATCTCTTTAAACGTGTACTTAAAAATACACTTAACCTTCACGTTGACAAAAGTGATAGAGAAAGGCAAATCCGTGTCCAAAATAAATTGTAAACGTTTAGATAACGAGTAAAGTTTTTATTTATTATCGCAGACCGCTTACATTCAGTAACTATTTAACCGACTACGGAAAAATGGAGAAGCACTCAGTTCAATGTCAAACTCATGATATTCAAATTGATTCAATATATTCAAATATACTTTTACAAGTAATTTTTATTTCAAACTAGCGGCTCAAACTAGCTTCGCTCGGGTTTTTCGCTAGGTACGTTATGTATTCAGTCCGGTACGTTATAAATAGATATAAATAGTTATTAGCCATCGTTAGCCATATAAATTTTATATTTTTTTTTGTTAATTTTTCATTTTTTTCTCTTTATTAAAACCTTCAGTGGACCTTAAGGAACATACGATAAAAAATTTTAACCGAATTAGTCCAGTCATTCTTGAGTTATGCGCTTACCAACATTCATTTTTATTTATATATAGATAAAAATAATTTAATGTGTTTTTTCGCAGAATTATTTTGATTTTTGACTCCCGACGTTTCGAATGCTTTGTGGCAATCATGGTCACGACTCGCGGGTCACAAAAAACCCGGAAAGATTATAATTTTATTTTAAATGTTAAAATAATCGCGTAAATC